ACAATACGACCCACGGGTGGGTCGTAAGTTTGGCAGAGCAAAAAAGGCTCCTGTCCGAAATGGCAGTAATCGAAAAATCGGCCTTGTCGTCAATGTGTTAAATTGGACTTTTTTCGTGTTGTGATGCACGTCCCTTCTAATTCGTGACATCACTCAAAATAAGTATTCTTAAAGGCAATGTCCCACCAGACTGGGGTATCTGGCTCCCGTAATCATGTAACAGTAGACCCCCTACCTAATCGATGTCTGAAGTTCAGAGCGAAAACGGGGGTCTACCAAGCCTAAAATTTGCTCCCAAAGTGGGCCGAATCTTACTTTATGCTCGGGCGATTACGAGATGGATGCAAGGTAGAGACGCAGAGTTGTTGCGGGTCCCTGCGCTCATGACTGTGTGCGCTACTCTGACATTCGGTGCGTGCGGCGCGCGTTTGTTAATGGCAAGCAGTGCGGCCCGCGCGCCTAGATTTACGGGCGGGGTCATGCACCGTGCGGCCCGCGCGCCTTGTATCCTTAGCGTACGGCCCGCGCGCAATATATTCTCCCCGTGCCGCCCACTCTGGCCTTGCAATCGATATTGCTGTGTGGGCGGCATTCGGCCCTACCGTAAGATTCGGCCCACTTTCGGCCACCTTTAAATGTTCGAAACTCGTAATTAATAAAATACGTAGTGTCTGGATAAGTTAAACGATGGATGCAAATGCGCCAGAAATTAATATGAATTGCTGATGTTGGACGTTTCGGTGTCGAAAAAGACAAAGAAGTCTGCGAATGTAAAGAAATCACGCTGATTACTGTTGGATGCCAAAAGAAAACGTAGAACGGGTGCTGAGGTGTGCATTTTCACCTTATCGCTGAACAGGTAGATTTGTCCAGAACCCGCGACCAAAAAATTAATAGTCGGCGATTTTGTCGCTCTAACCATAAATTCCCCAGCGACGGGATCGCGGCGATGAAATTGGTGCAGTATGGCCAGGGCTCTACCTCTTCACGTTTTACGATTGATCGTTTTTTCCCTGTCACCACACTGACTAAAAGAAATTCGCTGATTCCATAGCTCGACTCTTGTGCTCATGCATTTATTATTGTTTACACCTCCGACTACTTGAAGAATTAAAGTCACTCCATTGACATTGTGTACAAATGTTGTAAAAAGATTTTAATAAACATCCATTTGAACACTGCAAAGTACGTATAAACTCAAAAGTGAGTATGAGATGCATTCCAAAATTCCCAAGGGAACAGCGGTGAGCGAAGTTGCGGTAGTCGCATATCACAACGTCATCGAGTCTCGCGCTAAAGCTCAGATTTTCTCCCGGTTTGCATGAATGCGAGAGAAGTTGTATCGGGCAGTAATCTCCCGATAAAAATGCCAGTGTCCGGATTTTCTCGCGATGAATTTGACTAGGTTCCGCAGTCATTCTGTCACTAGTTAAATTTTCTATGCGCGCGAGTTAACCACGAATGCCTAAGCTACCATAGTAGGCGGCCTTGCATCGGCTTGGCAGCCCTCGTGATGGGTCCGCGCGCAAAAGAATGCAAGCCGAAGTCGTCCTTGCGGTAAAGAGCACAGGTGCCTGAGCACTGTCACTGAAAGCCAATACCTGCGCTATTTCGAAAAATTAGGGCGTAGTATCTACGTTCACAACCCATATGTATTTTTTCAACATGACGTGGAGTACGTGAATTCTAAGGCTCCACCTCGCTTCAGGCTTGCGCCACGTGCGTGCGCATCTTTGGCCTGGTGCGGCAACCAGGACAATATGGGAAAGCCTGCACAACTCACGTCAAACGATGCGCCCGCAACGTGGCGCAAGCCCGAAGCGAGGCGGCGCCTCACCAATCCACGTAATGTGCGTCATGTTGAGGGAAGACATAGGGGTTGATATCGAGGGTAGTTGCTCTCTCCTTCTCCAGTGGCCGTATTCATCAACGAACCCAGTGGTTCCGCTACCTTATGCAAAGACAGTGCCCGTGGATTGGATCGATATCCACAAAAGTCACTGCTGGGTTTGCGAACCCACTAGCTTCGTAAATACCGATCTCGTGCGATAAGCCTACCCAGTGGGTTCGTTGATGAATACGGCAACAAATTTCATTAATTTCAGTCAAGCAAAAATCCCTCCAAAAATATCAGTTTCGCTTCATGTTCTTCATTATGGGCAGAACACATCTATTACTATTTTTTTACTTTGCGCTGGAGAGCTATGACTTGAACACATAGGTGAGTCATCGCGAGTTACATAAACTATGAGCATTTCAAATACTACAAATTGCCATTTGAACTATGGATGTTTGAAATTCTACAATGAAAAGACAAACTGTAAAATTCTGAAGCTACCTGCTGTACACCTTTAAACTCCAAAACTGATACCAAGGGTAATCAAGTTGAGTAGTTCGGTAAGTACTGCCATGTAAATCACGGATTTATAACTGCGGCATAGGTGAGTCGTGAGTTGTGAGTTCAGTTGTGAGTTGTGAAAAAAGTGAGTTGTGTCCGTCCTTTCTAGTTCTGCACGGAATCGCCCGGGCTGAACGCTCGCGACCGTGTCTCTTGCGGGCTAAGGCAGGGTTCATACTGAGCCGCACAAAGCGGCACAGTTCCAGCACAGCGCTCGAACTGTGCTCGAACTGTGCCCGAACTGTGCTGCTTGGGCAGTTGGAGTAATTTGACCGTTTCTGACGGTTTTTCTTCTAGATTTCGCTCATTTCGGGCCTTATTCCTCCACCCCGCTTTTCCTTTTGATGAGTAGAACTCCGAGCGCAAAGCGGGGTTGACGAATAAGCGCTGTTTTGCTTTGTGTGTCCGGTTATGCGTGTTGTTCCGCTCGTTCATGTCTCTTCGTTTTATCCTTGCATAAAAGTATTCCATTTTTTTCCAGGAGGCCGCTGCAATAATTTCGCAGGCATTTTTCTTGAAGGAGAGCAAAATTAGTGCAGAAGAGCAGGAAAGTCCATCAATCTGTTGGCCACTATTGTGCTCCTAGCCCCTTTTCGTTTTCATTTCATTGTTTTTTCGTTCTTTGTTACCCCGCTTCCCTTTTTGTTGTGTAGCGCTTCGAACTTGAAGCGGGGTAAACCAACGAACGCGGTTGTGCTTCATGTATCCTCTCAGCCGCGTTCTTTTTCCATTTCATTGCTTTTTCGCTCTTTCTTCTACCCCGCTTCAAGTTCGAAGCGCTACACAACAATAAGGGAAGCGGACTAAAACAAAGAACGAAAAAACAATGAAATGAAAACGAAAAGGGGCTAGGAGCACAATAGTGGCCAACAGATAGATGGAATTTCCTGCTCTTCTGCACTATTTTTGCTCTTCCTCAAGAAAAATGCCTGCGAAAATATTGCAGCGGCCTCCTGGAAACAAATGGAATACTTTTATGCAAGGATAAAACGAAGAGACATGAACGAGCGGAACAACACGCATAATCGGACACACGAGGCAAAACAGCGCTTATTCCTCAACCCCGCTTTGCGCTCGGAGTTCTACTCATCAAAAGGAAAAGCGGGGTGGAGGAATAAGGCCCGATGAGCGAAACCTAGAAGAAAAACCGTCAGAAACGGTCAAAATACTCCAACTGCGCATGCAGCACAGTTCGGGCACAGTTCGAGCACAGTTCGAGCGCTGTGCTGGAACTGTGCCGCTTTGTGCGGCTCAGTATGAACCCTGCCTAACATTGGCATTCGCGCGCATGAGTCATCATAGTGCCCGTGCTCGGCGGCCGCGTTGCAGGCACGCTAGCGTGCGTTCAGCCTAAACGACCCGAGCGAATTCGTGCAGTCGACTTTACCTTCCATGATGATGTGAATCATTCAGGGTTTATTTGCATAACACTAACTGGTTTCCGGCGATGCAGACAGAGCAACAGAGCTGACGCTGAGTTGAAAAGTTCTCATCATGGTATAACTGATGGAATTTACGCAGGTCAACTAGTGAACCAGGAAAGATCAGGAACTTGGGCCTGTATGCACGTACATCCCCGTGAAAAGGGAAGGGAGAAGGGACGCGTCATATCACGCTACTCTGGATATTTTTCTTTTTCTTTCTCTTTGTGCTATGAATCTGGTATCCTGATACCTGCGCATAATGATTGCCAGTTTATTGTCATACAAGATTAGATTTTCACTATTTTGTGTGATCCCGTGGAAATCCTCAGGGGATCACCTCTCATTTTCAAAGTCATTTATCCTCCTGAAAACTCGATGAAAATGCTGTAAAATTACACTGAGGTTGCATTACGGCACTGCTAACCATATTTATAGTAGAATCAAGTGAAAACTCAAGATATCAAAATTTTCGATGCACCAATGCTCCCGAGCTAGGGATTACCGAAAAATTCACATTCTTCCGATTCCGTTCCTCATGTCGAAATCATGCTCAGCACTGCCGTAGTGTATCCTCAGTACAATTTTACAGCGTTTTCATTGAATTTTCAGGAAGATAAGTGACTTTGAGAATGAGAGGTGATCCCCTGGGGATCCCCATGGGATCTCAAGAGATAGTGAAAATCCAATATTGTATTGCAGTAATCTGTGTGCGGGTTATCAGGGTATGAGAACCTTCATTAGCCAGATAAAGAAAGAAAAAGATGCATGGACTGGCGAGATATGACGCGTCCGCTCTCAGATCCCCCCTCCCCCTCCCCCTTCCCGCGGGGAGGATGTACGTGCATATACGTGCATACGAATTCTGGTCTTCATTAACCATATGAGACAACAAGTTGACCAATTGAATTTATTCCGAGGAGTGTATGTTTTTTGCTAAAAACAAACATCCTCCACATCTCACATAAATAGGTTATCACAATCTGTTAATGTAAGTATATCACGCGTACAGCTAGCTTCTTTTAGAGATTATCTTCATAAGTGATCACTTTGGCAATCTTAAATCAACTCCGTAGACTCATAGTCACAGTCAACAAAACCAGAAGAAAAATAACAAAGCTGAGAGCTATAAATAGAGTGGATCGTCAAAAGCAGCAACAATTAATTTCAGCTCTCCCTGGGGACTTCCATACAAATCTTCTAGTTGTGAACAAATTTCGCGCGTGTCGTTATCGATTTGAGCAGCAAAAGTGGATTTTGCCAACATTTGGTCACGTGCCATCAAGCAGTCATTCCATAGTTCTACTTCGAAATCCTGGATATGTGGACTTCTAAAACGATGCTGTGAAGATGAAGACATGGCTTTGCAAGTCGAATGAAAAAATTCACTTGTGAAAAACAAATTGCTCATTCCATGGTATCATGCCCTTGCCTTTAACAGAAGTTGTTCGCACTTCCTGTTTTCCACATTTCAAAATACAATACGCGTTGACCTCTAAATTGGCATTGTAATTGGGGGATGCCTTACAGGAAAAATCGATCATCTTATATATAAAGCTGAATGTCTGTTTGTCTGTCTGTATGTCTGTATGTCTGTCTGTATGTCTGTATGTGTGTACGTATGTTCCGAATAGAAAATTCCATTTCTGAACCGATCGGGACCAAACTTCCGGATCGGTTCAGAAATGGAATTTTCTATTCGGAACATACGGCGGAGCCGGGTAAGCCAGCTAGTGTCGTAATAAAAACTCACCTTTTTCTTGTTCTAATAAAGCTTCAACTATTGTTATCCTAATGACTGAAACAGCGTGCTTACAGCCAAATAATCCCTCAGAGGGAGCATGCTGGAATGAAGAAATGCGTTATTTCGCAACACACACGAGACAGCCTTTATTTAGACACCCGAGGCGTATCTATTAATCTCCCAATGCCTGCTCGGGCATTGTTTTACCGCTAGTATAAACAGTTGCCCGATCGGGAGATGAGTGCTCGTTTTAACGGTGGAGCAGCGCCCGATCACACCTCAGGAGATCGATAAACACCGCCCTTGGTGTGTAGCACCACATACGACATCGTTCATATCTATGCCAAGATTAAAGAACAGTCGGAGTTGGAAGATATTACGAGATGTACCATCAAGGACTTAGAATGTTTACTGAACAGCTCTTCGTATTTGTTGAACAGTCTTCCGATTAATTTATAAGTTTTATTCACGAATCGCGCCTCCGCGATGGATACGCGAGCTCGCTACTTTGCATGCCAGAGGCTTGCTAGAGTAGCAACTTTTCGCTCTGCGATGTGAGGTTCTGGTTTGATCTTTACGCATTATTTGTTCTCAGCACATCTTTCTCAACCTCAACCTCACCAGAATCACGATTTGCCACTTTTCAAATACATTTTTTCTTTCAAAGCCAAGCCAACTGGAGGTGCACCCTATCTTCAACGACTAATAAGATAATTATCATTCGCACGAGTTTTCTCAAGCATGATGAGCCCGATCGTGTTTAACACGTTTCGGACCGGTGCTTCACATGGCGCACCACGCTGCTTTGAAGGATCTATTTGACGTTTACCGGAGGTTTTCATTCAGTCCAAGGTTATCAAGTCATAGGCCTAAGCTTTTACTTTTCAGATGACTCTGTAGAGTTGTGCCGCCGATATCTGTTTAATATGAGCACAAATCGAGCAACATTTGCAACGAAGTGCGGCAAGGCGAACGACGCGTGCGATGTCGCAATTTTTCTTTGCTTCGATATCGAAGAGAAAAACCGTAGTTTTAATACTGATGTGTACAGTGTACAACATAGATACTTTTGAATACTATTAGAAACTGAGTCCTTGTTCCTATCATTCAGGAAAGCACAAAAATCCTTTTCAAGCGACAAAATTCAAACACTTCTAATTCATTCAAAACTTTGGTATGGAACTTATGTGACAAGCTGATTACAGATGTAGCACACAGTCTACGAACTGAGGTCCCTTTGTTGGCTAATGGCTGAAAGTGCACTCTTTTTCGCCGCGCACGATTTCGCGGTCCGAAACGTGTTAATGGATATTGAGCGTCGGAAGTGGTGCTCTATATCACATTCTCGCCTGGACTTGTACTCTCTTATCCTGCAAAGGACGCCGCAAAGTCCCTGCCAAATCGGTGAAAATCATGTTAGCATAATTCTCAGAGGTTTTTAAGAAAGGGAAATCAATTCTGATGAGGTTCTGTTCCAACGCCAAAGATGTAGCGAGAGAACCGAATGCACTGCGAAAGGGAAAACGATTCCTACCCTCACATCTAATGAGCGCCAAACCGCCACTCCACGCATGTTTGCATGCTCAAAGAAATCCGAACGCTCAAAATTCTTTCCAAGGGGTTTAGTAAGAAAGCTGGTATATTATAAACATATATCCCCACAATTTCTACTAATATATGTTGGGAAAAGCAACTTCAAGTCAGTAGGCTTGCTGTCAACGAGTGCCTTCCCTCTTGAAAGCAAGCCGCCAATACGAACACCACTGAGTGAGGTGGACTAAAGGCAGCGTCTTGGTAAATTAGGGAAAGGGGGATCACAGCTTTTGTGGCAGTGCAGGAGTAGGCCCCGTATCTAAGCGATAAGTGAAGCTTGGAGCGAAAATGGAGATCTACGAAGCCTGAAATTACCACCATATAGTCACAGCGCTGCGTCTTGAAAACAGTGTCCAGGCAAATCCGGGCCCATGGCTTTGCCGCGAAGCTGATAAAGGGGTCCTATTTAAGGCCCCAAGCGGGAGCGCAAATGATTTATTCACGGCTGAGAAATCCATTCCTAAGCCCCTCCCTGCGCCGTGACAACCCGCAAATGACTTCGCTCCAGTTTGCCACTGCGACCGCGCTGGGCCTCGTCGTACTAGTGAGTTACGGTCACGGCGCGGGCGTTAGGAGTTTGGTGAAAGATTTCTCAGCCTTGAATTATCCATTTGCACTGCCGCTTGGACAGTGTCTTAGATAGGAACACCTCATCAGTTTCCAGGCAAAAACACATGCGCCCAGATTTGCCTGGATTTTGCCTTCAGCCTCGGTGGGCTTTACGTCCTCATTTTCAGAACAAAATAGGGATTCGAAAACCTATATTTTTATTTCGCGCTCTTAAAGGCATTGTACGGGCAAAAACTCGACTTCTAGAAAATCCACTTCCCGAGGGTTTTACCGCAACACTGAATCTCCACATTAGAAGGTGCGAAAACGGCGAGAACATATGCTTTCCAAAGCCGCACAATTTAACATTCGACGGTCCCACCAAGGCGGAGACGCAGAGACGCTGCGACCCTACATTTTAACTGTGGCGGCATGCATACTCTGCCGCATAGCAGGAATTCGGACAGCTCGAAGGACCCCGCCCAAGGCGTAGGTTTCCCCACTTTCCGGTCGTTTTTCTTAGGTAGAGCGTTATGACGTCGCACTTGCGCGATGTTGTGTGGGGGGGGGCACTCTCGCATGGCTCTGGAATCCCAAAATCTCCATCTTGCTCGGACACTGCCTTTAAGGCAGCATGTCTGGAGTCAGTGGGAGGATAAGTCCAGGTAAACGGAAAATTTCTAGGTCGAGGGTTTGCCGGGATGCTGCATTTACGACCATCTAAAATAAACATCGTACCTCAGTCAGTTCTCGCGTTTCGATTTTACGATCTGAGTAAATTCGAAGCATGAATGTCGTTTGTTCCATCGGAGCAAATGTTGTAGGTACAGCAATGTACCTACCCACAGGAACATCCCGTAGATGAAGGAATATAGAACGGGCACCAGCGTAATCAGATACACCAAGAGGAGCCATTGCCTCAAAAGATGTCAGCTTGCATCAGTGATGAACACCATATGCACAATCAAGTGATTAAAGTATAAAAAGAAGACCTTCAGAATGAGACGACGAAGCAATATACAAGATAATATCTACAAAACAAGCACTTCGCATGCTTTCCCCTATTTACTTTCTATTAAATCAGATGAAAAAGTATGAAATTATAGGGGAAGACTGAAATTCACAATCGAACATGACCTCAGAAAAAAAAATTCATTGATAACTAGCATAAGTAAGTAAAGGCTACTGTATGACGAAGGCGCAGAAGCGGTATTAGTTGAGCAGGCGCGAACACGGCGCGCGTATCTTCACCGTTGTAATCCCTGCGCCTCATGCGCTCTGCGGCTAATGAAGCCGCGCTCGCACCCAAAGATACTGCGCCTTCGTCATGCAGCAGCCTATAACATGATGCTAAATTTCAACACGAAACGAAATGCCCCAAAGGAAGGAAACACAACGACTAGCACAGCACAGCACACAATATGTCACCTTTTTGCCTTGAGTAATACCTATTCAGACTCCCGTCATCTTGCTAAATGTAAGCATATTTAAAAAGACTGAATAATATATTCTTCTGTTGCACAAGAAATCAACTTCTGGAGGCGCAATTAAATAACTAGTTTGAGCAAAGAATCAAGTTTTCGCTACGTGGAACGGCGGCTTTGCTGTGATCATTAATTTCTATAACATAGACGTACGCATAGAACCAGAGCAGCACCGTCCGCTTATACACGTATATATGCTGTTCTTACAAAAATGTGACAAAGCTATGCTCAGAAAAATTCATGTCACATTTCAACAAACTGGTTTACGGATGAAGTAGAAAAAATCATTGCATAAAAATGATTCAACTCACTTGATGTATCCGATGTGAACGATTATTTTCCACCTTCATAACATGTATCCCAATAGTCACATACGGATCTCTACGTTTCGAACCCTCATTGGGTTCTCGCTGCGTTAGCGCAAACATGATCTCTCCTGGTTGATACACATTCAACAAGAACTGAAAGGATACTATTGGGTTAGGAAATTAAAAATAGTAAACATTTCCAAGAGATTTTAAGTCAGCAAGTGATCACTCATTCAGTGCAGAGACAGGACAAACCTGTGGATTATTACAAAATGTAGAAAAATTGTAGCAGCCACCCGCAAGGTAATCTGGAGCACCACGCTTTACACCATTAGTGGTCCACTCACCATAATATATAGCTTCGTGATATCTGCATGTTATAAATGTTTGCATAATTTTGGGCAAAGACATTACAAAACGGATGAAAAAGATTAGTGAGCCATAAAAATACCTCCGCGATGTTGAGACTGTCCGTGTGTTGAACAGCTGACATACCGAGATATCGGTAAAATATTGTACAAAAGAATACCAAGGCATCCTGCAATATCTCCCTATTTTGTACAGATGTAAAACAGATGTGATGTACCTTATATAGTATACTCATGACGCTATGCGCTGGAAATTTAGTCCAAAAAAAGACCATTGTGACCGCCAAATTTTTGTTGCATCATTGAACTTAGCACTAAGCAAGATTATCACGATGCTCGTCCAAACGAGTTTCCGCATAGAATTAAAACGTGGAATGCGTCGGTTGCTAGCAGCGCTGTAGGGGCTCCTTTAGACTACGCTACTGCAACAGCGCAGTCTGAAGGAACCTATGTACCTATGTAATGCCCAGTGCAATCAGGAGAGGTATAAAAACCTGGCATAAATCAGGTGTCCGCGGTGTATTTTGTGCTACATGCGCTTGTGGAGAGCGTTGTTGAGTAGAGTCAAGCTTAAATCAAAGGGAAAGCAGGTACAAAAGGTGCAATCTGGACTTATATAGAGCTCGCAGCGTAACGCAAAACCAATGCGATGCGGGCGCTCATAATGGCAGTTTGGACTGATCCCAGTTAGGAAAAATTATACTGCTGCACCGTCTGTCATTGGTACGGTTACACTGATAGCATGTGGACAACTCAAGGTTCAATTGACTGTGATATACGCCGATGACTACAAAAACAAGGGAAGACAACCTGCGAAACTCTGAGACGAAAACACGAAAAATTGAGCCTCACCAAAAATCGCCATCCTCTGCCTTGGTGATACCAAGAGATATCTGTTGAGAGATAGTCACCTGAACAACTTTGTTCTAAAATAGGTCCAAGAAGTGGATTTAACGTACTTGATCCCACTCTTTGCTGTCGTCGCTCCAGGGGCCGTTCCACTCTTTTTCACCCCAGGGATTTTGAAGGCGAATCATTCTGACCCGATCGTGATGGCCAAATAAAGCACTAAAACTAATATCAGTGTGGTAAAGAAGCGCATAGAGGATGAATCACAGATGCAACACTAACCGAAATGTATTCGAATTCGCATCCAGTTCCACATATTTGACTGCAGTCACAGCATATGCATGTCCTTTGACTAAGCCGCAAGATAACGTCTGCTCAATTTCATCCTTGGTATTCGCCTTAAATTTGATCAATGAGATGATGCATATTACCGAAACGAGTATTTCTTGGTAACAGAAGTAATAATCCGAATTAAACGATACACGGCGAATAGAACAACCGCAATTGCAGCGACTATCAGCGCCTCGTTGTCGAAAGCTTCCTTCAAGTTTTTGAAGAGACAGTCTGGAGCATCAGCATCTCCCTGCAATTATAACTTCACAACAGAGGAGAAACTTGGACCTTCTCTACTTACAACATGACGAGTGCTTTAGGCGACTATAAGACTCTTATTCGGGCTTCACAAGAAGTTCGCCCATGATAGCAAGAGTTCAAACTGTTCATTGCTCACCCGCAAGCAAGTCACACGGCTTTGGAAAGTAAAAGGATTTGTTACCGAAAATCTATTAAATTCGATGAGGCTGATTCTCTAGCGAAAACAACACTTGGATTTTCACCAAGCTTGGCCTATGAAGATCAAACATGAAATCATGAATATTATCTCATCCCGTGTACAATTTTTATTACATGAGTTCATGTACAGTGGTACAAGATAGATAGCAGACTCACTGAATCATAAAATTATCGTTGTGCTTGTTGGGTTTTGCGAGGTAGGAAAGGTGCACGGTATAGTGCCACATTCTCATGTCTTGCTGTAAGCTTGCAGAGAAGTGTCATTTGGCAGTTATCAAGGATAGCGTATTCAAACTGTGGCAACGCCCTATGGCAGAGATACCATATTTTCAAGGTGTAATGTACCACGGTAATCTGCTATAGTTAGTGAACCAGAAAGTGATTATGATTTTCATGACAAATGCAAATAACCAACACGGGTCAAGTTTTAGCGCAGTTTGCAGTACCAAAAATTTGCGGAACATATTGCGGAACGGCGAAAATACGCCTCCGATCAAAGGTTGCAAATTCGACCGCTCAAGAGCGCCCAAATTTCACTAGTCTCTCTCCCCTTTTCTCTCATGACACAAAAAGTGAAGGGTTTTCGAGCGAATTCTGGCCGGGGCCGAAGGATTCACTACCGGCTTCGCCTTACTTGAGTACGCTATGTGGAAGCAATCGCTTTGCGATGCACGGCTCGAGTCGAACAGCTCGTATTTGGAAACTAAGCCCTGCACTCGTAAAATTAAAATGAATTCGATATATTTTATAACTGTGTTGAGTCAATCGCTGCAGGAATTTGGCAACAGCCAAAAAGATTCAGGTCAATGTGTGAAATAGTAAAACATAAAAAATACACTCAAGCAACAATAGATTAGTGTACTGAGGCTGCGTTCAAAGGCTAGCCCCATCGACGATAAATACGCGATGCTCACGTGGGCGCTGGAATGGGGCTGGCACACGGGCAACTCTGGCGCAGCCTTGATCACGCAACGTACCGCTTTCAGAAATTTGGCAACATTGACCGTCTCTGCGACACCACCCGAAACATCCTGAAGGGCGTCAGATAGATGACCTCCTACCAAGCTTTCGTAGCAACCATATAACCTGCAAAAAGAATACTAATGAACTTTAATGAAAAAAGTCAACGAATTGTGAATGTAGACCGTTTTCACAAGATAAAAGAGAAGGGTGCTCGCGCGAGGATGACACTTAAGGCACCCGCCATACTTACCCCTCTTGATCCGCTTAATCCGCTTGATCCGCTTGATCCGCTTGATCCGCTTGCTCGCTTCTTGCAGGACGCGTGTAAAACGCGCGCACATAGCAGTCTGTCATTTGGCGTCATGTACAGCGAATTTGCTCAGCCATACGAGATTGCTTTTTACCTACGCGGCGCCAAATGACAGACTGCTGAGTGCGCGCGTTTTACACGCGTCCTGCAAGAAGCGGAGCAAGCGGATCAAGCAGATCAAGCGGATTAAGCGGATCAAGCGGATCAAGAGGGGTAAGTATGGCGGGTGCCTAATGGGTATGTTTTCCTAGGTCCGCAAACACATACAATGACGCTGACGGAAGGCAAAGAGCTACTCAGGCAATCAAAGGCTCTCAGTCGGCCCCACCAAAAGCTCCGAGCAAGCCGCCATTGCCTTATTGCCTCACTGTAGCTTCCCGCTGAGAAACTTTGCTAGATCTCAGCGGGAAGCGACAGTGAGGCAATAAGGCAATGACGGCTTGCTCGGAGCTTTTGGTGGGGCCGGCTGAGAGCCTTTTATTGCCTTAGTACATGGAAATTCATCTTTCGCTGCTAAAAGTGTTCGACCATGCCTGATGAGATTAATATAAGCAGCTAAACACAAGCGTAATGTCAGATGCTCTACTATTTTATTCAGTGTTCTTTCATCCCCTTACGAGTTATTTGTCTTCTTAAGAGGATAAATGATGACATGAAATCCCACAATGAGAATAGATCCATATACAGTGAGAAACCAACACCCTGATACTTTATCGTACAAGATTAGCCAGATCAAATTTTCTGCACACTTTTGCAACGCTTTCATTGCACTCGTAGGAAGTCAAATGACTTCAAAAAGCGGAAAGCTACAGATTTTTTTTTTGAAATCAAACAAATGATGTTGCAGCTTGTATGACGAGTTGCAACACCTACGTTCTTACGCGCCTCAGAAAAGAAAAATAACGCACGCGGCACTTAGAGAATAGAATGGATACTATCACAAACGCACAAGAAACGAATTGTAGAAAACGAATTAGGCAACCATAAACTAAGAAGTTCAGCTAAACAATAAAAGGAAAACCAAACTCACCAGAAATTGACAACAATCGGCATTCGCACCCTGTATGAACCAAAAAAATTTTTTGAAGCATCCACAAATTGTGATTTTTGATCCTCGACCTTTGACTGCTTTTGACTTATACATGTCTAGCTTTCCCAAAACCAACTATGGAGAAAATTGGCACAAACGAGCATTTTCCAAAGCCCTTCAATGTGAGCTTGATCGAGCGGACGCGGGGAAAGCCAAGATCAAAGACTAGAGTACCTGCGAGACTTATATTTAGTACTGCAGTATTATAACCATGGGAAAGTAGGGAAGGGGAAGGCCTTGTACGAGGGCGGAAGAGGAGAGCTGAGGACGCATGAGAAGGATGCTTAAAGGCAGTAGATCAGCAGAATGGACCCCTGTCAGATTTTGGTACTGTTAGGTAGCAGGCCTCCGAAGTACACCGTAGCCCAAACCCCACCCTTCAAATCACGCGCTGAGTCCTGTAAAGAAGCTTCAAACTTCCACCAATGACGCCCACCGAATGGAAGTGGGCGGGGCTGGTGGAGTTTTGCAGCTTTTTCACAGAACTTAGCGCGTGATTTGGAGGGTGGGGTTTGGGCTACGGTGTACTTGGGAGGCCTACTACCTAACAGTACCAAAATCTGACAGGGGTCTATTCTGCCGATCCACTGCCTTTAACCTTTCACGCTGGGATTCTGGCATCACATAAGCAGCATCGTGGGAGAACGGACCTGGCCTACAGACTGAGTTGAGAGGCCTCTAACTCCGCTGCACCATAATAACGGGAAATTTCGGCCAACACATGACTTTGAGATAACCAAACAACTTGCCAACAGCTGTTGCTCATTTGTAAAAGAGTAATACTTACTTCGCAAATGCTTTTTCCAAAAGCGCGGACCAGAACTCATTCGGCGTTTTTGACCGTGCAAAAAGCAAACTGCCATCTCTTGAATGAATGTGCGTGAGTGTTGGTAATATAGCACTATGACAGTAATCTGTTTACCTTGTAGGTAAAAGGTCATCGATAACCACCTCCACCCATCTTCCAAATCTCCAAAATCGAAATCGAAAAACTCCTGCGTAACAATTTTTGGGGCTCCATTCCTGTGAATCTGCGTTGGGTATCACCTAAGCAGATAAGCATCATCTTGCAAGTCAGCAAAGTAAGTCTTTGATATTGAGATTTGATCTTTCACACCCTGTTTAAAAGATGCTGGTTGTGGGTCAGAGCGGAACATGCGGAGACGAACCAACAATTTCCCAATATACCTTGAGTGACATCGTTTGGTGAAGCTCCTTCAACGAAAAGATGTGGATCGCTATGAAGTTCCTAAATAGATTTTGAGAAATGTGGAAGCGAAAACTCATGACAACCTCTCCGCCTCTCTCCAAGAATTCTTGCACCCTAAAATCTTACAAATAAGGCCAGTTTTTTGACCCAGATAAGTCCGCTCTACAGATAAGTCCTTTCTTTCCATTCTGACTACCCTATAATCTTGTAAGATAAGTCCTAAGACTGTCAGATAAGTCAGACTTATCTGCAGACAGACATGTGACCGGAGGAGGAGCTATCAGTGAGGTTTTAAGGTAAAATGAAAATTAAGCTACCACCGCCACAATTCCAGGATTACATGTACAAGTTGTCATAACCCCACTGACAGGTTACAAATTTTAAAGATAAGAAGTGCAGGTTTTATCAAACAAAAACAACGAAAAAGCTATGATAGCTTACATACATATGAATTATTCAGGATGCTAGAATACTCGAAAGCGCTTGGCACACAACTTGTTGTTCATTTCTTTAGGAGTGTAAATTATCGAGATAAAGTAAAATCCATGAATTACGAATTTCTTATTAGCAAGTGTGCATCGAGCTTAGCCTCAGAATATGGTTCATCCATTGTTTTCTGCAGGACGTGAGAACTTGGCATGCACTTAGGCATGTACAGTACTTCAAAAATGATGAATTTACAACGAAGAGTAAAACATATACGCACACAAATTGTAGGCACACGTTCATGATCAAAAAGTTTTCAAATGAAAATAGACTTACTGCCGGTCGTTTCCATACGATATCCGAGCTACGTCCTTGCTCCAGGAATAAACTAGCATTTGTCGGTGGGAAAACAGTATCAACGAAAAGCTGCCCTTTCTTTATACATGTTCGCTTTATTTTCGCATAATTCTGATTCCCAAAACGTCGCTTATTTGTCATGATTCATTGATTCCTGCAAAGAAGACGACATTTTGTATCAAACAACACTACGATGCATTCACAACTGGCGTTTATGCAAACGGAAAGTGACTTAGGCTGAAGGACAGGGTTGAAACTCGACAAGCAAATCAAAGCTTCTGCATTGTTCAAAGAAAGGCATCTAGCACAGGATGACAGATCTCCAAAAACAGAATGCAACGTACATGTTCGTCAGATATGATGTATGTGACCGTGTGCAATGACAGAAAATTCGTCGGACTCCGCGTGTTGCAACGGAGGGCAAGCGTTAGGCGACAAAACCTGCAAAACGCAAGCAACGTAAATCCCGTAACTCAAAACTATGCACCATTTTTTCATTGGCGTCGGGTAATGTATCGGCCCCGACCCCCACCCCCCCCCTGTTTTTGGCGGAGGAGACGTTTTGCACGGGGAGTTCTTTGGGGTCCAAGAAATTGGGTTTGTCGCCTAACGCCCTACACCCTGTTGCAACCCAACATTTGCGCGTTTTGAGATCTGCTATGCTGAAGCCATGATTTTTGGATGGTGCTGACCACAAACGCGTGAGAACTGTTGTTATTGTCGAAAGTGACCTTCATACGTGCAACTTCGTTCAAGCGGAAGTGGCGCGATTTACGACTGTGGGCTGCAGGACCATGATCATGCTTGAGCCACCAGTAAGGCCGCGCCAGTGGGGGCAAGATTTTGAAGGCAATCCAGGCTGACGAAAACGATAATGATGGCGAATTGTGCTTACTATCATGAGTCATTAAGTGAAGGCTTGTCTCCAAGTAGTTAACGTTGGGAAGTCTGTGCAGCAACGCAAATCAAATTTCTATGACTCGTTTAGTTCATTCGTTGACCGCACGGACTGAACATCACTGCGGAGCACTCGCCGCGAGTTAAAACACTTGCCCCAGTATAAATCCGCCATTGTATAAACCTTGCTCTTGCGACAATTCAGCTGCGCCGCGCGTGGTCCGCAGCGTTTGTGCATTCCGTGTGGTTAAGGGAGGTGCCAGAGTAAGCGAATATTTTGTTCAGGTTGGGGTCCCGCGCAGAATGGACGTCACTCACCATGCTGGCATCAATCCAAGTGACGTCAATCTGCGCGGGACCCCAACCTGAACAAAATATTCGCTTACTCTGGCACCTACCTAACGAGTCGACGATACTCATAATTTGAGACTACACAAAAGATGCACTTCCTGTTCATAAACGCATTGCAGCCAATTGTCAGCATTCTGCCATCGCAGTAAGAGTTACTTTAGGTTTACTGCATGAGGGAAAACCATAGATTATCATAGATTAAGCCGACTCAATTTAGGGGGTTATTCGACATGCTGACCACGAGTGATACTCATGCTGCATGGATGGTCCTATTCCGCAAAGCTGCGATGGAATTTCAGTATCTTGACAACAAATGAATGTTCTCCGAGCACGGAGAGAGCAAACTCATAGCAAGCTTGTAGACTTGCACCATTGCACAAACTCGACAAATTCTGAGAATCCATCTGCATAACAATGACGGTAACTCCGGAAGTTTTGGCGAAAACGGATTGCAAAACGGATTTTTTGACTTACCGAAGCGTCAAAGTTTGATTTGTCTCAAATTTCCATTTTTCCGTAATTAGCTTGGTCAATCAAGTCATAGCAATACATTATTGATATGAATAGCTGTGCTTGGTAATGTGCATGGCTTATTGTCTCTCCGAACACCTGCTAAACCCCGAATTTCTCCAAATTTTAAGAACAATTTCCATATTGGTATCAAAAATTGAAATATTTTGTGCAGATTCAAGGCTCTACATCATACTGTCAATGCCAAAATTTGATTATGTTTCTAATAGAATATGGGATAAAATCGCATTATAGTAGACAATCCTATATTTCTGCTTAGTAATCAAAGTGGTTTGTGAGCTTCAGCTATGCAGCTACCAACACAGCATACTAACAATAAGAAGACAACATTACAACAATATGAAGACACAACAGATGCCGTTTGGAAAGAGTGCACGTCCAGTGGCCGTCATCAACGAACCTTGAGTTAGAATAAACCTTCAGCCCGCATACCCGCACGCTCAGTCGATTGCCTATATCTCAAGTTATGTGAAACTTTCTTTGAGCCATTAACTCGTATATACGATCATCTCAAGGCTGAATTTACCTTGATTCAAGGTAAGTTTCACCTTATCACGTAGCAAGGTTGGATTTACCTCAAACTGTACCTTGAGCCACTGCATTTGCACTACCTCAGGGTAAATTTTACCCTGAGGTAATGCAAATGCACTATGGTATGTTTGTTAATACGCGTTGATTGCTCAAGATACGTTTCATACCTTAGTAGGCAACTAACTGAGCATAGGGTATGCGCACTCAAGATTTATTTTACCTCAGGGTTTGTTGAAGAATACCGCCACACGCACCACCCTCCGTACTGTCTCACCTTTTGCCCCACACCTACGAAAATTTGAAATCAGTGGTAATAGTTACATAGTAAGTGACTCTTTTGATCCATAATTCTTCCGTATAAGCGGTGACAAACAAATGCAGCTTAACAATTTATTAGACAATAATTAAAAGGTACAACAGCATCATAGGTGATCAATGTTGGATTTAGAAGAGCCTCGTATTGAAATAGAAAAAATAGAAGAACATTTGCGCACCTAAAGGTTTAAACTCCCAACCACGAAGCCCACTATTTTCACTATCATGTTCGCATTACCCACCCCTGATGAAAGTATTTGGAGGGAATCCTCCTCGAAAGTGATTCCCCCACGCTTTCATAGTTGCTACAAGTTCAGAATGGTTTGGAGGCTCGCCTTGTGAGAAGCAATGCGATAAAAGTTAGTATGATATTAAAAGATATTATGATGCGCATACTTGCAATCACAGGTACATCCCCATTGTTAACAAGTTTAATAGGTCTAAAGTTGAAGTGAGGAGTCGTCCTGTTCCCATACTACTTACTGGTCGATCATCATCCCTATAACAAAGGGACCTGATGAGATTGTTCTAAATCCTACGAATTTGATTGATTTATGGCCGTGTGCAGATTACTAATAAGCAATTTCCCTGAACAGGGAACAAGACCGTCGATATGGAAGGACTGAAAGAATGAGTTAGATATTTGCGGATCAGTCTTCCATATAACTCCACCATGAATCAGTAAAGCTAACGTGCTAACTTAGGAGACCGTTAGGACGAAATTGCCGCTTGTAAGCCGCAAGCAACAGATCCGAATATGTTGGCGACAATTAAAAAACACAACATTTCAAAGAGATAAATCAAGAATAAATTATCACAATCCCAGCATGCACATTAGGCCACACTTAGCGCAGGAAGTTCAGTACTGATTCACAAATGATCGAAAAACAGCATCAGTGACAGAAAATGATGTAAATCAGGACTGGGACTCCTACAGATCAATTAACAGTTGCGCGAAATCCCAAGCATTCGCAAGAAACTAGAAGAAAGAAGAGAACGTTAGGATTGCTTGGTTGAGTACACCGTCACCTTGAAGCCAAAAGCTTCTTCACTTGCAACTAGAATTATATGTCGAGATGATGATCAAATAAGAAGAATAGCCGTAAAAAGCCGTACACAGTCACGGAACAAGTCGATACGCAACAAGCAGTCCATAGAATGAATTTGAGAAAGCATGCTCATGAGCAACCAGTGTGTAGTCATCAACACCAGCACGACCCTTCTTCAGTGACTATCTGACGTTGTTTTATCGGATCCATGTTCACGATGGTAGCTGAATGTGGGAGGTAAATAAAAACTAAGCTATGATTAAGTGTCACTCACTGTTGTCAGTACGATCATCGTCCTTGATTATTCCCGGTAATGCTCCAGCTATGCGACGGAACAACTGAAATGGGCACTATGTACCATTATCTCAAATTTATGTCCCCTTGTACTCATGGACGTGCAGAACATCACATCTTTTTGCTGTGGCTAGATTCAAGAGAACTGCCTTATAAGCATATCGCATTCATTGGTAGAGATCCCCGACAAAGCGGCTGCTTATGCAAGCGAGGAGTGTGGGGGAGGGGGAGAGGGGAAGAGGGTACGGGCCTTGAAGATGCTCGAATGCCACTTTCGCACCGGCTCTCAACGGGATCAATCTCTATATGATCTGCCGCAAAAAACCAGCTATCAGTATTTGATAATGAGAAATGAATGTGAATTCAAGGTGGTAAACGAAAGACACATAATGTCGAACTTCTGAGATAAAAACCTCACGACAGCGAACACAAACAGTACCTGTTTGACATTGTAGCCAGCTTTAGCAGAGGTTTCGATGAACATGACATTGAGTTCGTTGGCTTTGCGCTGACCCTCTTCGGTCGAGACTTGCCTACAAAACGTCAAGATTCACTCAAAAAAGAAATCTCTCGGGAGAACAACTCATTCTGAAACACATTTGTAAGCAGACGATTGTCCGGCTTATTGCACAGATGAGTCGCCGATGATCCAGAAGAATCTCACCTTTTATCTCCAAGATCTGTTTTGTTCCCGACGAGCATGATGATCACATCGCTCCCCCTTTCGGTGCGAACATCATCAATCCATTTAGAGGTTTGATGAAACGAGTTTGCATCTGAAGTTGTTCATGAATTACGAGTCCCTACCTGATACTTTATGCAAACTCTGACTAGCAAGGAATGCATGTTTAGTCGAAGTGGCCTTTCTAGATGTGACGTAAACCATATTTAAGGGCATAAATTGCTGATTCCAAATCTGCCTTCCTTATCTGCAGAGCGTTTATGGATGAGGAGTTATGAGCGCTTATTTGGGCCAAAAACTGAATATGCAAGTAGGACAGAAATAGCCGTAATACTTTTTCTAGCTCTTTAATGGAGCAGTGATAATCATCAAAACACTTTATTCGAAAAATACTCTCACATAAAAAATATATCACACTTGGTTGCATTATTCAAGGGGTAGTAAAATCTAACAAGGGAATGGTCGGAAGTCGAAGTGGCCAATCCAAGCAAGATGCCCACCACTCGATGCAGCATTCAACGCTGATTTCGAATTTGTATACCATATCTGCTTATCGCCTTTGTGGACGAAGTCATGGGCAGATTTATTGCGAAAAAATCGTAAGTGAAAATTGCGAAATTAAGAACATTGCTGCACTTTCAGCTCACCTACTGCCTTTAAAAATACAAAGTCATCTAGCTGCATGTTTTGGCCCAACATGTAGCCGACATGGCTCTGTGCTGCCAAATTTGCTGTTTGCATGCACGATTTCTTAGCAAAATAACGGCTCATAACGTCGCCCACATAGGCGATAAGCAGATATGGAATGCAGATTCGAACTCAGCGTTTCATGCTGCTTCTAATGGTATGCAACTCGTCTAGATTGGCCACTTCGATTTCTGACCATTCCCTTGTTAGCAACTCATTTTATTCAAAATGCACGTTCAATTTTTGGCTTTAAAAAGCGCCCATAACTTCTCGTGCGTAAACGCTCTGCAGATAAGAAAGGCAGATTTGAAGTCACAGTTTTAAGCTCCTCAATATGGTACACACCTCATTTAGAAAGGTCACTTCGATTAAACAAGCTTCTCTTGTAAGAAGGAAATACCCAAAGCACCACAATGTCTGCATTTGATTTTCACTTTTGCCAAATATTTGGTGGGGGGGGGGGGAGGTAGAAGAGCTAGCAACACAAGTGGAAAATAAAAAACCTAGCAAGCAACGCTCTGATATAACTCTGATATGAGACCACAGAGGTTCGGTGGAAAGTAGAAAAGTCAGACAGTGAGTTTCACAAGTAGCCGTTGATGATCGTATTGAAACAAAGCTCAGTAACTCAACAACTGCATGTACATACTAGAAAATAAAATGTCGGATTGCAGATGATGAGCCACAGTCAACACTTGTCCCATGACAACACTGACCCCCCCCCCAAGTGAGGACGCTCGTAAAGTGCCGAATTTCTCGGCTGTTAGTCAGAAAAACTCCTCTGATTTGCCAAAGACACATGTCATAATTACCACACGAAGTTGTTGAATAAACTAGTAGCTATCATCTGCCAAATTTCGCGGCATTCACTAGTTGTCCCAGGAAATTATTGAAGAAAAAGTTATAAAGGTCACTTGCAAAGTAACTGCTATCTTCGTAACCTTCTAATCTAGTTTCTTTTATCTTGATGTCCATAAGAGCTTCTGTTACATCAACTCATAAGCTGCAACGTACACCTGACCAAGCTGATGCGATGTTCGCATTAACTTTAGGTACCGTCCAAAGACATGCGTTGTGTGGAAATAAGTTACGACACTAGCACTAGGTACTACGCTCTTGAAAGACGTTGGTCCAATGATTCTTCAAAAACTGCACAATTGGGTCGGAACAAGTAGGTCATTATAAATTCGTTTACCTTCGTAACACGAACGGAAGACGACGAACACAGAAGAAAAATCATGAAGAGAACACTACTTACTTGTGATGTCGTAAACTACTACAGCGACGGTGGAATCCCGAATGTAAGAAGGAATCAATGATCGGAAACGCTCCTGACCCGCAGTGTCCCAAAGTTGTAAACGAACCTAATTTAGAAAAGAAGATGGTTGACAAACGATATGATCATGATCTAAAACAAACCGTTCTGTCTTCCAAGTACATTGTTTTGCTAAGGAAATCGATACCAATTGTAGCCTGATATGTATTGTCGAAGGAGTCATACATGAACCTAGTGATCAATGACGTTTTGCCAACTAAAAGCATAAGCATCATAAAAAACCAATCAATTACTTATTGTATTGAACTTACCGCTTTGCTCTCCCAAAAAGACAAGCTTGAACTTCTTCAAAGGATTTCCAAAGTCAGTCGACATTGTATAAGCAGAGAGCCACTAAAAAATATCACAGTATTGCAACCATCACTTTTGATAATGCGATTTCGCAATGAAATGATGAAGCAAAAAGCAGATACTATCGAAAACTACTGGGAAACGAAAGAAATAAAAGCCTACATTTACGAAAACACTACAGAAACCAGTAAAATAATTTCAACAGCGCAGACCACATCTTGAATAACTTTGCTCTCATCAAGCGGTTAGGCCAACGACAAAAGAGCTTACGATTATCATCTGTTGAAGATGAACAAGATCCACATGTTGTTTATTGTATGATCACATCAAGAATAACAGGACAGACCTATGACTGGACATCCACAACTTCAATATGCAAGCAGAGTGTGCACTTTTGAATGTGCGATTCCCCCATGAGGCTTAATAGAGAGATACGAGCCAGAATCCACAGAAAGATAAAGTGAAAGCCTACTCAGATCAAAATGCCCACGAACATTCAAATGATACCCTCTTTTCAACAACATCTACAAGTCCGCAAGTCAAAACTTGAAGTGGTTTACCACACTGACATACTGAAAAATGCTGATCGCTCAAAGCTGGCATATTTTGACATGGATGATACAAAAACTTCTTCACACGTAAACGCTGTGACTTCTTTTCCAAGAGTATCTTAATCGCGTCACAAGCACAGTAGGGACCCTAGGACGTGCAGGGTGATCGTTCGCGGACCGCGTAGCATTCACACCCATTTTCCCATTTCCCTGTTATTTCAGTGCAGACCTGACGTCATCTGGATACATTTTCGGATGGGTTCTAAGTACAAAGTTTCTCCACTAGTGCATAAAAAATGGAACAGAATAGTGCAGTGCTGTCGGGTTGTTTGTTGTGGGTGGAGTGGATCATTTGCTAGTATTCGATGTACTTTGTACCATGCGCGTTTATCGAGAGAGTGGATTGCTAGGGGATCACTGTTCTAGTTACTCTTCGTTCCTTTTGCGTTCAATACTCAGAGTGTCCTTCGTTCCCCAGTTATGGAAAATTTCGCGATTTCCAGAATGTTGGGCAGGAACTCGCTAAGGTTGAGACATGGTGCAGCTGCCTCTCTGAAGCTTCTGCACAAACGTGCGCAGAGCACAGCAGGGATGTCCTTTGGTACGAGTTCAAGCTCTAGATCTCCATGAGACTCATGTAATACGTGCTCTATATTGTGATGTCAGAGGTGACTTCGATGCATCAACAACTTCGTGAAACTGCGCGCAAATTCACAGCTGAGGAGATCATTCCGGTCGCTGCTGAGTATGACAAGACTATGAAATATCCTTGGGACATTATCAAGAAAGCTCATGCATGTGGCCTTCTCAATACTGAAATCCCGGAGGCCTATGGTACGTGATCTTCCCGTGTTCTTGCATATGCGAAGTCTATAGAAACAAAATCAAAAGATGGTCTACTTTGATTAATCTTAACTCCTCGAAATAATCTTCTTTTTATTCTGGTGATTTCAATCTTGCATGTTTATCCAAATATCACGATCAGCTTCCTAGAAAGGAAGAATGAGCTTACTTCCTTAACTCAAAATGATTTTTATTGCTTGTGGTTTTTCTTGGATTTGAAAATAACGAAGTGCCACAAAAAACCACTATTGAAAAGTCGGTTTTTTCTTTCTCAGCAGGGTTCGCCTTGACCTCTTACTTCCCTATGCTGCTCTTTTATTCCCTCTCTACTAATCATTTCTGCCATTGCAACTTTAGTAAACATATTGTAGGGCTAGACATAAAGCTGAGACGTAATTTGGGCCCACCGCCTACAGCTGACCTGGAGTTACAGAAAAGAGATTCAAAGATAAAAATGTGTGTGCCTAATAGCTTCTCCACACAAATCCGATAATCAAGTTAAGCTTGGCCCATTTTTGTACGAATACCAGCACTTAGCAGGTGCTTCAAGAATTACCGTAATATTTTAACTTGTCTTATTCATCTTACTTCCACAGTCCTTCTACGCTATAAAAAATGAAACAAATGCTAATCTCAAGAATAGTTCTGTAGAGTTCCTCAAAAGAACCACAACACAAGGCTTCCTGAAGACTCGTATCTTATGCTCAGAATTTTTGAGAATACGGACAAGGCTCTGATGATACGTAATGCCCAGCGAAAGATTTACCTTCTCTTTTCCGTCTTCCGAAATAAACAACAAAAACACAAAGAAACACCTTGTGAACACTATTGTGAAATTCTTGGCTGTTTCATCAGCCTTGATAATTTCTGTAAAGTACCGTAGAGCCCACTGACAACGATACGTGGACAAAAATAGTCACAATTATTTACGGTCCTTCAATCAGAGCCAAGGAAACCTTCCGTGTAAATCGAAGATTCCTCAAAACAATTGGAACTACCTCAAATACATAAACCCAGCTTTCTACCTTTCTAAGTTCCTTTTTTTCCGAAAAGAGATACTGTAAAAACGTTTTTTTTATTTCTTTCGTGGTGTCTGTTTTCATATGGACTCGTTAGTCTTTTCCAACTTGAACATTGCTAGTTTTTATTCCAAAAATTTCTCCAAACCTCATAGATTTTTTTCCTAATTCTGTATTTGCTAGCAAACGCACGTAATGAAAGTTTTTTTTTTCGACAAATTCCGCGCTTTTTCACTTTTTGGTAAGCGATCTATCGAGAATTTCCTATGGTTCAATGTTCAAGTCGTAATCTCCGTGCTATCAACAGCTGACCCAGTCCACTATGACAGGTTACTCTTACTAGGAAGTAAATAACGTGGTCGTTTTGACCGGACAGATGACACTGCCGAAAGGTGCGATCTGCGACTTCTGCTTTGTGGTTGTTGTTGCATTTTAGACAAGCGAGCATAGAAGAAAAAATTCAACTGTATCTATCAAAATACTGAATGGATTTCCTCAAAATTTGACCATCTTCTGGTCTTTCCCTTCTTGAATTTTGTTCATAAAAAGCTGCTTACAAGACCGGTGAGACGACTTAGCGGTGTTGGATTGTACATAAACAGGGCTCGACACAGCGGCACCTGGTAAAGTTGATCGTTTTGGGACAAAAAGCAGAGGGGGAATCGTTTTTGTGGCCGAAAAGATGCAAAATTTGCGACGTGTTTTAGTCGACGTTTCGCTTTTTTTTGGAGTGAAAGGGAACTTCGTATAGGGCATTCGAAAAATCGTGACGGTGGCGCTACCGCGCGCGAAACGCACGCACCTTCTGAATTATTTTACGTCGTTTTAAGCTTGTATCATTGAAACAAATTCTTTCCTGTTTTAGCATCTCTGTAAAAGTGTTCCTTGGACATCAGCTCTTTTTAGACTAAAAACTACCCACATGACTGCACTTGAGACTGCTTTTTTTCTTTTTGTAATCGTATTTCTTAGGAACATCTATGAAAATTTCAATAACTATGTAAGATTTAAGAATAACTCGGTCTCACTCTTACTCAAACTGTTCCGATCAGGGAAGCATCGACAAAAGTAGAAAGGGCAAACTTAGGTAACGTAAATCTATGGAATTTATCATTAATGACTGTGTCAGCGGCGCTATCCAAAACTTTCAGCGGCTTTTAGAAGGGTCACATTACAAAATGGAATGGAAGAAAATTGTGAGTGAATATACATATATGTTTGATACCATAAACTTTTGAAAAACACCTCGTACATTAGATGCCGAACGAATGGTTCAATATCAATGAATCCAATTTAATTATAAACATACTCTCTAGCTCTAAAAAGATGACTAAATATCTACATGTGGTCATGCTTCTTTTTCCCAAAGTTGGATATGGAAAATTCAGATTGAATTAGTTTTTGACTTCAAAATCTTATCCGCAGCTACCGTTACTGCCAAAAAAAGGAGTTCTTCCAACTGAAACGATCCATTCTGCAAACTTACTGGTAATTTTTTGCTATACTTTTGAAGACCAGCTTACGATGTAAGGGTTCGTTTTCTTTTTGAAGTGTGACTCAAATTCGCTGCTGGGAGACGTTTGTCTGTACAAATTATATGTTTTGCACTTCTATAATTGGAGTATCTTTATTTTAGATAGGATATAGTAGCTTCGAACCACATTCGCGCTGAAATATTTATTATCTGATCATCGCGGTATTCATTATTGTTTCCATCAAACTATCCGATTACCCGAACAAGATTTTTAAATAATTAAGTGTCGAATATTCAAGAACAAGTGACTTCGAAACAAGCGATCTTTCTCATCCCTGTTTGTTCTATTTTCAAATAGGTGTACGAATTTGGTGCAAACATTACTGCAAACAGGCCCTTCAGCTATAGTTTGCTCAAACGCATTTTTTGTTGGGAGGAGGAGTTACTGTGCAGCGGCGACAAATTTAGGCCCCTGGAATTTACTCCCCGCCATTAATCGACAGATCTTTAGACTTGTGAATTTTGCTAACAGTTTTGACCGCTCGAGTTTGTAAAGAGTGGATTGTTGGAATTCCTCATTTCTCCGAATTGTAAAAAAATATGAGATTTTCGCAAATCTTCTTACATAGGTTTGGTAAAACTTTCCATCACATGTAATTTGTAAAAAATTCATGAGGTTTTTAGAGAACAAAAAAGGCTGAGAGATGGTTGGTTCTCTTCATAAAAGTATATGACATACTACACAATCCGACAAGATTTTTCTATGCTAATCGATATATATACATCTCGCTGATTTTTTTGGGGGGCTCATGTCACACCACAAAACTTTGTACAAAGCTAACCTCTAATGAAATAAATCCTTTAAGTGCAATTTTCCACAGCACAAGTACCATTTGATTCAGCTGGCCTGGCTTCGGGGAAGGCGGAGTTCTGTGACCTAATTAAGGCTAGCTAATGACCAGAGAGCACCCGTGCGGTAGAGACGCAGGTGCGTCGCGAGCGCGAGCTGCCTTAATTACGTCACAAAGCCCCGCCTTCCCGAAGCCAAGCCAGTTGAATCAAAGGATGTGTTACTTGTACAAACCACTCTCGAGAGCCTCTCGAGACATCTCAAAAGTATCACTTGAAATACTATGAAAATCAAAATGTTTTCCATAATACAGAAGGAGAGTGCTTCCGCGTATTATTCGAGGGTAATTTTGCATAAGGGAGTAGATCAGTGAAAGAAGGAAGAAGCGGACACAAGAATAGGTTACGAAGAAGGACATTGTGAATTATAATATCCTTCTAAGTACCTTGACTGGTCACTTTACCATTTACAAAATGCCTACGAAAATTCCTAGTGCAAGTAACGTCATGTTCGTATAGACTTCAGCTGTATATTGATGCTATAACCGGCAGATCAGTTTTAACTAAGAACAACTGCTTCAAGCTTATAGTACTAACTTTTGAGGCAAACAAAATTTGCTTTTGCTCACAGTAATTTTATCAGAGAATGATTGAAGTGTTTTGCATCCTACAAATGACAGAGATGTCGAAAGAGTTGAATAATCTGCGTATAAAATCAAATTTTCATTTTGATTGCCTCCTCCAGATGGAGTGTTCATAAAACTCGGTTTAGGAGGCATGGGTATGGATATGGTATCCAACGTCATTATCAGCGAAGAAATCGCCTATGGATGCTCTGGAATCGGTACAGCAATGCTAGCAAATGGTTTGGCCGAAACCCCACTGATTGCCTGCGGTAGCGAAGAGATTCAAAAGAAATTTCTCCCTAGAATGGTCGAAGAACCGTTAGTAGCAGTAAGTTCCTGCAATGTTTTGTGTGGAGCATTAGACCAACTTTGTGATTAGGCGTACTGTGTTACGGAATCAATCGCTGGTTCTGATGTTGCTGGAACCAAGACAAGGTGTGAAAAGAAAGGTGACGAGTATATCATAAATGGAACAAAAATGTGGATTACTAATGCTGGACATGCTAACTGGTAAGTGGACCGGTGCTACGCAAAATTTTGGTAGTTAATGAAGGGATCCCTTGCAAATTATTTTGTAAATTGGGATTAGGATTTTTCACATGCTTTCGGAGAGGAAAAATTGGACTTTGAGTGGCACTTCTAGTCGACTGCTGGGGTTGGACATCACAGTCGGGTTTTTGTGCTCTTTTTCTGAATTCCGGAAGATTATTCAGTCTTGTGAAGCCACAAGTTCCTGCCTCACTCTGATTTTCCAAAAACTGCTTGCTGCTGTTTTGATGGAGAATGTTTTTGATGAGCGTCTTGCAAACCATAGACGGTCTTGCAAAGTTGACGGGTTTACTGTGAAAATCCTTCTGTTAGGTTAGAACACAAGAGCGCCAAAAATCTAGGAAAATGCGGTGAAAGTGCTCAAAAACGTATGACTTTATATATAATGACTTTATTCTATATATTAGGTCGTTTTGAAAGTAATGTCGCTTTTTTCAAACGTATGCCACATCTCGTGGAACAAAGATATGTAAGAGGTTCTGGAAGCATTTGATGCAGCATTTCATTCTCTTTTTAATGGTTATGAAGTTCTTGCAATACGATCAATGAGCTTCCAGAAAAGAGTCAAAATCTGCGACCTATGCTATTTGAGATGGCCAAGTTTCACAATTTTTCTAAAATTTTATAACAAACTTCAGAAGGAGTCCAAGTAATGGATGGATGGAGCAAACCCTACGGGAAACAGCACAACTTTTTTCTACTTTCCAGAGCTCGTCATAATTTTTGTACACATTTTTTGATGGAACCACCGAATTTTAGCATTCTCGCCTCACACACAAATGCATCAAACACCAGTAAATTATCGGATTTTGAAGCTTACAAAGATGGATTATGGTTTGGCAACAATTTTACAAACCAAACGAGTAATCACCGCTTCAGATTAGCAACTTTCGAAAATTCTGGGTACAGCCTGGGGCGCCCTGGGAAATCCGAATTATGATGATTTTATCCCGGAAAACTTGATGAATCGGAAATAAAAAACAACCGCTAGAAAGAGGAGAAAAAGCTGTATCGAATGACACCCGAGCCGCTTGCCGGTTGTTGTTCTGTGAGTTTTGACTTGACTAAATATGGAATATGATGGCATTGAGAAATCGATTGTAGAAACTCTAAGAAGCGAGCTAAGGCAAAGAAAAAATTACTTTGTGTCCTGTAGGGTTTGCTCTATTTACCTGCCACTTGTACTTCTTCGGGGAATAGGTACGAAAATTTAGAAAAATAGCCGAATTTGACCATGGCAAAAAGCATGAGTCGCAGGTTTTCTCAATTTTTCGAAAGTTCAATGAGAATTATGCAGTGAAATTAGAACCATTAGAAAGAGGATGAAATGCTGCATTGAATGCTCCTAAGATCTCTTAAAAATGTTGATTCCACGAATAGTGGTGTTCATTCGAAAAAAGCGACATTACTTTTGGAACGACCTAATATAATGTACATATTTTTCATCATACATATCAGAGTTACCCTTCAAAATATTAGAAGAAATGTATCGATTGGTAAATTTTTCAGCTGTGAAAAGAAAGGGTTAAACCAAAATCAAAAAAATCCTTAGAACCTTTTGGCATTTTGCAACTGATGAACAAACTATGACGATTTAATTTTGGTTGAAGTTTTTCTTTGTAAGCTTCGTCTTTGTTTTGCCGCGGTAGCCAAACATAATTTCATAGACTAGGAAGTGTATGATTCCTTTTTCAATTTTGCTAAAGCGTGTATACATCGAAACCAAAGGTTACAAGTTTTCGGATGTTTTGCTGCAAAAATTAAGTCTTATCCTCTAGAAATCTGATGCTCATCTACCTTACATTTTTCAAGAGATGGTGGGTGGTTAGCTAAACCAAATATAATACGAATTTTCGGAAACTTACTAAAGGGCGATAAAACAAAAACTATTTCATGCCTAGTTTCAATCTCTCTAGGTTCTTCGTACTTGCTCGTTCCAATCCCGACCCCAAAGCCCCCGCTGGAGGAGCATTCACCGCTTTTGCCGTTGAAGGAGACACTCCTGGAATTATAAGAGGAAAGAAGGTACCTTCAGTACCATTACTAGTGAACACTGACAATTTCCCAGCTATCCTGACCTTGTAGGAAATCAATCTTGGGCAACGATGCTCTGACACTCGTGGTATAACATTCGAGGACGTGCGTGTCCCAGCATGCAATGTGATCGGTGCCCCCGGAGAAGGCTTCAAGGTAATTCCGGGATTTTGAGTTTTGGATAACTGTTGTTCATCTTTGTACGTATTTGTAAGGTAGCGATGAGGACTTTTGATTTGACGCGACCGCTCGTGGCTGCTCTAGCGACAGGACTTTCAGCACGTTGTCTCGACGAAGCCACCAAGTACTCGCTGGAAAGGAAAACATTCGGAACACCAATTGCTAACGTAATCGTCTATAAAAGTGCTTTTAAAAATGTCTCATGCTTCACAAACTTCATTGGGGAAGAGGACACATTAGGTCACCTAGGCTCCACACGCGCGTACAGCTGACACAGTCTAGTAATGTGTAGAGGAGCGCGTTTTGTTGCAAATGTCCGCGCGGAATCCTCTTTCGACGACCTAATGTCCTCTGCCCACTCCACTGCAGTCATGCCGTTATCATGAAGAGACATAGAACCCACTTCGAGCTGAGGCGATTCAGAGTTGATTATTTTTGGGCAAATTTTGGAAGACGCAAATGCTTTGTTTTTACTTGGAGCAGAGCAAAATTTTGACATTCTGATATCATTAAAACAGTATGTGACAATGTATACATAGTGAGCAATAGTTTATTCAAGAAATCTATGTATATCTGTCCATATGACGTTGACTTTTTGTTTAGACAATGAATGCAATTTATCAAATTTCTGTTAAGCAGCACATGTTTTTAGCATCAAGCCGTACAATTCATCCTTGCCGATATGGCAGCAAATGTGGAATTGGCACGACTTATGACGTATAAGAGCGCATATGAGGTGAGCTGTAAAACTACGAGAAGGGTTTCACAGAAGTATAGGCAAAAATGAGCCAAAGTAAAATGGTGTGCGAGTTGAAGCAAAGTGGTTACATATATCGAAATGAATGCTCTTCATTTTTCCTAATTTTCGAGGTACTACTGTACGCTTAATGTAGCGAGACTGTATCTAGAAGGTAATTTTTTAACTTGGAAATCAACTGTACTCCGAAAAAATAGGCATGAGATCGCTCAATATATTAAGTGGGTGCAAAACTTCGTTCGCCAGTTTTTCGAAAAATCATAACTTCTTTCGACTCAATGGATTTTTTGCTTTTATATCCATCTAAAAGAGGAAACCATTCTCTTTACAGCAGTACCTTTGCCATGAATTGGCATGAGAAAATTCGAGACTTAGAGCAATTGCTCAGAACTGACATTTTTGAAAAGGAATAACTTCAGTTTTGCAATTTTTGAGCATGCTCAAAAAGCCTAAAAACATATAGCAGAAACCAAAACAGTCATAAACATGGATTTAGTGATTTTCTCTTTCTAGCTGAGCGAAAATCGTGCTAATCGAAAGCAATTTTGATTCTCGTTATATCCCCGGATTTTCGGGACTGCGTTTTCCACGAAAATCAAAATTGCTTTCGATTAGCACGATTTTCGCTCAGCCAGAAAGAGGAAATCACAAAATCCATTTTTATGACTGTTTCGGTCTCTGCTGTGACGTTTTGAGGCTTTTTTGAGCATGCTCAAAAATTGCAAAACTAAAGTTGTTCTTTTTACTCTCATCTAACTCTCGATCTTTCTCGTTTTAGTTCATGGCAAAGGTACCTTAGTAAAAAACATGGTTTTCTCTATCATACAAATTCTGAACTTTGCAACCCTGCTTGAAAATTCTTCAATTGCTTTTAACTCTCGAACTTTCTCATGCCAGTTCATGGCAAAGGCACAACTGTAAAGACAATGGTTCTCTTTTTCAGATGAATATAATATCAAAAAACCATCGAGTCGAAAGAAAGTGATTTTTTGAGAAGCTGGCAAACGAACTTTCGCACTCATGATTTTTCACATCCCTTCTAGGAATAACGGAAATTTACTTCGAAACGCTTTACCCACCGTCAGGTATTCAGTGCTTCCGACATGACCCAGTCAGCATTTTCCTTCGCTAAAATCGTAACCAACGAATAATCCCACTGTTTGATAATTTCCCCCGAGAATGAGTATCAAAATTTTTGAAAGTTATTTATCTGTATTACAAAAAGGTCCAAATGACTTGATTGCACTTGCAAGTAGTTAACATTTTGAAATCCTTTGAAGATTTAAATGGTAAAAGGGCATTCGGGGTTATGGGCACTAAGGAATTTCGGGAAGCATCCCACAAGATTTCTTAAGGGGTGGTTAACGCCATTCCCCCACCCCCGTCCCACTCCAAATGAAAGTCTCTGGATCGCCAGTGATAGAGAAATATAAAGGGTATAGATAAAACACAACATCAACGCTACCAAAACTCCTCGGTTTAGTGGTGATAAGGGCGTACTTACCAGCAAATGTTTGCAAAGATTGTTAATTCACTCGCGACTTTTTTTCAGGTTGACCAAAAGCGTACGGGTTCCTACTACGCATCCATCGCCAAATTGTTCGCTGCAGACACAGCAAATTTAGCAGCCACGAACGCTGTGCAGGTATCTTTGGACACCCCAAAAACATAGATGCTCAATAGTGGCGATGTTTTAGGTGTTCGGTGGAGCAGGTTTCAATAGCGAGTATCCTGTCGAGAAATTGTTGAGGGACGCGAAGATTTTCCAAATTTATGAGGGAACGAGTCAAGTGAGTTCCACCACACTTCTGGTGCCTCGGGTACAAATTGTATCGTTTTGTCCTACCAGCAAGCTTATGAACTTTCATAAAATTTTATATAGTGCTCCTTCGGTGCCGGCAACATTTGCGCCTGAAGAATAGCCATGGGGCGCGAAACCCAAACTTTTCCTCTTATGCCCAAATGTCGTCGCCAACGCAGATGCACTATAACATCAACTCTGCTGAACTGCATCTAACTACCTAACACGGTTGTACTTTGCATTTATTCACAGCTAAAGAATTGATGCTCACAGCAATAGTAAACTGTTCTGCCACAGAAACCTCATGGATTCAAATATTTCTATAATAACTCTCAAATGGGGCTAGAGTCAACAATCCTCGTTATTAACCTCTAATTAGTCGAAAAATGTGGGCCTTTTGGATTTGAATAAGAACAAAGACGTTCCCGAGAAGGAGGTCATTTAGCGCTCTTACATGCAAGTTTGGTTATATCTAATAATGGCGTTTGAAAATTGCTAAGAAACGAAGTTGTGTGCAGCCTTAGGCTGCGTCCAGAGTTGCCTGTGCGCCAGCACCGTGCTAGCGCCGTGCCGCGCCAACGAGGATGTGCGCCGTATGGATCGATTGATGGCGCTGGCGCTGGCGACTCCAAACGCAGCCTAAACTATTGACAGCTTTCCTGAGAGTGTCTATATAATGTGATTTGCAGATACAACATCTGGTCATTGCTCGTAATCTACTGCAGAGGGTGAAGACCACTGGTGGATACTAACACAGACTGTCAAGAAAGTTTTCAACTTGTACTTATCACGAAGTCTTGCCTTTATGTCTCAACAAATTCGTAGGCCAAGCTATTGCAATTCTACCTCATGACTTCTACAAGGTTTTAGCGAAAAAAATTCGGTGCAATGGGTCAATTCAAAATGCATCGTTTTTTATCCATTGGATCCAGAGTAAAGAAAACATTGCCCTGAAATCAATACTCAAGTAAAGCTGCTTTAGTTGGCCTACAATTCTAATTTAATAAAGAATATTTTATGTGCATTCCATGTTGCTGACTATGTGACTCGCTCCTATATATCTGAAAGTTGCTTGATAGTAATCCCTTAATTCTCGTTTTTCCCAGAATGCTCGCCAGAAATTCGTTCCGCTTAGGAGGCATAACTCGATCTGCTGTTGTTGCAAGGAGATTGATATGTTTCGGTAACATTACATAAACTTATATCAAACTATCCCACGTCTTGAGCAAGCAAAATTTTCATATTTTCAGATCTGACAGACACTCAAAAAGAAATCCAAGCCACCGCATTGAAGTTCGCAAAGGAGGAGCTCATTCCAAATGCGAGCAAGTATGATGAATCAGGCGAATTCCCATGGGATATGGTGAAGAAGGCGCATTCGCTTGGTCTGATGAATCCGCAAATCCCCGAGAAATACGGTACGACACATATATTGTGCTTTCGCCATATAACTCGATGTTTTAGGTGGTCCCGGAATGTCCACTTTGGATACGGCTCTGATAGTTGAGGCTCTAGCCTACGGATGCTCTGCAATTCAGCTGGCCATAATGGGACCCTCACTTGCTATAGCTCCGGTATACGTCTCAGGAAATGAGGAGCAAAAGAAGAAGTACCTAGGTAAAAAATTTTTTGCATAGATAATCCTTTAATCTCCTGTTTCCTGCTATTTTTTCTGACAAAAAAGGTTTATAGGCTGCTTGGCAGCAGAGCCTATAATAGCGTCATACTGTGTGACAGAGCCTGGTGCTGGATCGGATGTGAATGGAGTAAAAACTAAGGTAATTTGTTGTTGTCCCTTTTTGATTTACAATCACCAAAGTTCTTCCAGGCTGAAAAGAAAGGCGACGAGTACATTTTGAACGGACAGAAAGCCTGGATCACTGGAGGAGGTCATGCGAAATGGTACGTATTGAATTTTCGAAACATCCTCAGGGGATGTTCATGATAACCTTAGTATGCATTGAGTCGCTCGGAAATCCCTCTAGCTTGCATTAAATCTATACATATGAGCATATACAATCGAAATCATCAACACAATTTTTCTTCAATTGCAATGCTATCATATTTTTTGGTGAAGTTCCCTATCTCAAAAATTTACTATCTCAGGTTCTTCGTACTCGCTCGTTCCGATCCGAATCCCAAAACACCAGCAGGAAAAGCGTTTACCGCCTTTGTAGTAGATGGTGATACCCCTGGAATCGTAAGAGGGAAAAAGGTACGGTCATGGAACTGCGAAATGTGTACTTTTGTTCTAAAAAGTATCCTCAACCAGTTGATCTATGCACAAACTTTAACTGCAATTATTTAAGAGGCTCAGACCTCCAAAAGTTTGAGTGACAGAACTTCCGCTTATTATAAGATCAACTTTATGCAATTCACTGCACGCAGAGACTGGGCGCGGTTGCATCTGATTGAGATAGTAGGTGTTTGGGAGAGACAGCAGACGGCCGGAGGGATGGAAGGGCGTTTGATTTAAGAGACACCGATGTCCGTAGTGGCATGGCACCTTCTCTCTCCGAGCGTCCTTTAATCGTGGCCATTGTGAACACATGAATTTCCCAAAGACCTTTACTTTGACAACAATCTGTGACTTGTTTCTGTTTCATCCGTTTTATTCAAAAGATGAAAGAAATTTGTTTAGGAGAAGAATATGGGACAGCGATGTGCCGATACTCGGGCCATAACGTTTGAGGATGTTCGCGTGCCTAAAAGCAATGTTCTAGGTAGCGAAGGATCAGGTTTTAAGGTGCCCTGAACTTCCAAAGTTTCTGTTATCATCAATCAAGCTGCTGTTCAGGTTGCAATGAGCGCTTTTGATATGACCCGACCTGGTGTAGCAGCGGGTGCTGTGGGTCTATCATGGAGAGCACTAGATGAAGCTGCTAAATATGCTCTTGAGAGAAAGGCTTTTGGAACCGAAATCGCTAACGTAAGTGCCATAACTATTAGGTGGGTCCGAAAGTTCGTGCCGTTTGTTACACCTATTCTAAAATCGATCAAAATGAAGCTATACAAATCTTTCTAAAAGTATCCGATATAGAATTTCTTCCCCTTTTCAGCAGCTACGTTTTCATTGTGACTGCTTCGATGAGCGCTGAGATAACTGCCGGAAACTAGGACGCTTTATTTTACCATGTCTAACTTTCGCTAATTTTCAAAATTTTCATTTCAGACTTTTGGAGGTGCTCTAATAAGTAACTTATATGGCAAATCTTTTGCAAATTAATGCAAGTTTTTGCATCTCTCTAGCATGCTTTCTGGAATTACTGAAATATATTTTCTGAAGTGATAAAATTTTATATATGGCTCATTCTAACCTCGCCAAACATCAGACATTGAACAGTTTAGGTACCATTCGATGCATTTTTTTTTCTCCTCTTTCTGACAGCTACCTTTGCTTCGCGAAACATGCGACTTTTGCAGTTAAAATTGCTGTACTCTCCAATTTTACGGGTGCGCAAGGTTGTAGACGAAATTCCAAAATCTCTCTGTTTTCATGCCGTAGTCGCTCATTTACTTCGTGATACTAGTGAGAGTAATAACCGAGTTTTAGAACTTCATTATCTTGAGGATTTCGCAGTGTTTAGTGCAATTGTCACGCGACTTCTTGAAAATTCAATGCTCTGGTAAAATTCAGCAAAATTCTAAAGAGGAAGCTGAAAAATGCAAAAAAATGCTCTAATTTGAAAAAGGTTTGTCTTATCAGGTAATTATAGAGCATCTTCAAAAGTTATAATGAAAACTATGAAAATTAGCGAAAGTTAGACATGGTAAAAATGAAGGGATCTAGTTTTCGGCAATTATCTGAGCTGTCGTAGAAACAGTCATAACGGAAACTTAGCTGTTGGAAAGACGAAGAAATTCTGCATCAAAAACTTTTAGAAAGATTTGTCTATCTTCATTTTGAACGATTTTAGTATAGGTCTAACAAACGGCACGAACTTTCGGACCAACCTAATATTTACCTAGTACTTCATAAGACTTGCGCACATCTCAGCTATTTTCGTCTAATTTTGCCAATGCACATAGATTGGCGTTTTCCACTGTGACGGTCCCTTTTCAGCACCAAGCAGTACAATTTATGCTCGCAGATATGGCTGTGAACCTCGAGCTTGCTCGTCTTGCTACGTATAAGTCAGCTTGGGATGTGGATCATCAGGTGTGTTCATTAAATGTGTAAATGAAGTGGCAAACAAGATGCACACGCACCAAATCACCGTAATTCAATGTTGATGCAATGTTCACAGTCATTATCTTTGAGGTTTTTCAACAATAAGCTTATAGAAAACGCTGTACTCAAAGGCACCGTCCACCCAAAATCTCGAATTCAATGTTTTTGTCGCCTTCAGGCCTTCTGAAAGCCCTGATTCCGAATATGGAGTCGAAAATCCACGAAACCCCCAAAAATCCCTGTTTCGAGAACCCTCCGCAACAAGCGCAGGCGAGATAAAGCATGCAAGTGGGCGGGGCGACCAAAATCGCCCCGCCTACTTTGCTACTTCCGGAGCGGATTTCTCGCTCTAGAAGCAGTCTTTTGCGGCGAAGCTTGGGGGGTTGCCTAGTGTGGGGACCCACACTAGTATGCCATCATAATCTTGCCAACCTTCATTTTGGGTGGACGGTGCCTTTAATTGTAAGTTTGAATGGCATGGGATTGTCGAAATCCAAGCGATTTTGTTTCATCGAAATAATTGTCAGAAGATAGTCCGGATATGTATTATGTAACATGGGTTCCGCATCATTTCCCGAACCCAAGATCACTGCAGCCCCATATTCCTTTCGCGCCTTTGCAGTGTTACCGCAGTGGGCGGAGTGTACCAAAGAGGCGGAAGGCACTTTTACCGAGCTTTTCTTGCTTCTGGGTAATGAATTTGTGGGGAAAACTTTGCTAATCTCGGTTAGAACAATGCCATCATTGCTTTCAAACACGCAATACTTGATTCCATGCAGAAAAGTTGACATGATGTCCAAATCAAATACAATTTTCTCCCTTCTTTATCATCAACGTATCGCAGAATTTTCTTGGAAAAATTTACGTTTGTTTTGAAATTGATATGCTTACATTAAGGTAGAAAATTTCAATATCTCACATGTAATAATTAGTGACCATTTAGTCGTAGTGAAACCGTATAGACACCATGCTGCGGTATTCGAATATTGTAATCATTTTGTGCTGTAAGTTCTTGAATGAGAGGATCGAAGTGTGCTACTCACCGAAACCTTACAGTAATGTCATAAGAACAAATTAAACGGAGATCAAACTGGTCGTGCTATTCAGTCCATGCTTCTAGTCTTAGTGGGTGTGATTTTTATGGCCGATTGCCTTTTGACAAATTCCAGTGATACTTTTTGCAAAAATCGAGTTTTTCCTAGAATAGAAAGACGTAATATATGATACTATTACTCTACAGGTTCGATCTTCCTACTACGCTTCTATAGCAAAACGATTTGCTGCAGATACAGCTCAAGAAGCTGCTACCAATGCTGTTCAGGTGACTTCCCAATTCTGAAAGAAACCCCACCTCTGGACCAAAATTCTTGCTTCCTAGATCTTTGGTGGAAATGGATTTAATTGCGAGTATCCAGTAGAAAAGCTAATGCGCGATGCTAAGATCTATCAAATCTACGAAGGAACGAGTCAAGTAAGTCTCGGACAAGCGTGAGCGCCCTCTTCTCTCGATTAAAGCTCGTTCTTCCAGATTCAACGCGTCGTTATCGCCCGTACCCTACTCACACATTTCCAACAAAACCAGACCTGCCGCATGAACTAGATTACCTCAGTAATAAATGCCGAATAAATTATTGGATTTTCGTTTGCCAACAAGCATTCACCGATTACCATTGATGAGCACACAACTGCTGTCAGTGATTATCGTTGAGTTCGATCTCATGAGATAATTAGAATGTTGTGATCGTTCCAGCAGTTGACAAATATCTTACTCTAATGGAAACAAAAGGTGAATCTCAACAACATTGGTAACCACAAGCTGTTCGAAAGTGATTTCATGTTTGAAGGTGCGCAACGTCATTTGCTTCTAAACAGTTCACACTCGAAGAAAAATTCTCAATTTGCCCTTCGATCCCAAAGATCGAATGGAAAGGACATGAGAAAAACTATCCAAGATCAAAATTTGGACATGCTTAGTTTATATTTGGTTGGCAACCGCCAAATGCTACAATTGTTCGTCTGTTGATATTTTGTGCCGACAGAACCCTTTGTATTCGACATCAACCTTGACATCTTTCGGGTACTTTATGATTCCGATGTGGAGCACAGTAGGTAGATTTCGTTGAAAAAAAGATGACGGAGGAATACGCAAGTCGCAGTAAGCAATCAAGGATAAGATTTTAATTCGAGTCTGTATCAATTCAAATAACGAAGACGACCGGGTTTAGCAAAATTATAGACCACGCAGCTCGAACTTAAAAATATCTCGATAGCTTCACAAAGCAACTGGAGCTTGATTTGTCTGGGATTCTCTCGGTGTGAGATTTTTCTATGAAACACACATAAATACACAACTCATCATCTCTCTTTCTCGAATATGTTCAAATTGTTTACTTGTTACTAAGATAAAAAGATTGTGAAAGCTCCATATATGAGAACAGATTCCAAGGTCCACTCCCCTAAAGCGGATTTGCCAAATCAGCACACAGAACCAAATCTGAAAGTAGCTTACAGGAACAACGCTTCGCAGTTGAAAATTCAACTTGAATTACAAGCCAAGATAATGCAGTAGTCCTCAATCCGCAATTCAACCCGCTTTGTGTGATTGCACCAACATAAATTTGCACTGGCAGTTGCACATTCAAAAACAAGATAATTTACCCTACATCTCTTGTCATCGTAATCATGTCACTTCCACATATTTTATACCATTTTTTTAACCATTGCACGGTGCATTCACACAGCGACTGTTGGAATGGGGATGATGTGCAAAATTTGGACGATGCATAGTGAGGAAAGGGAGCGTGAAAATCAAAGCATTTACAGAAACGGCAATTTGGAGAAATCTTCAGTTCAAACAGTTTTCGTTAATGTACACCCGACTATTCAGTGCTCAAAAATCGGAAATTATTAGCTGAATTGAGGTCTATCTTATTTACTATTGACTCGTGCTAAAGAGAAACATTTTCAAGTCTAGGCGCGATTATATACAGTCTGTACACTGGGATTCCTTCCATAGGTCCCACTACGCGGGATGTGAAACGTACTGGGAAGACCTTTGGAACACAGACCATACCTCAGTACATCTTCAACAAGCGAAAATAATATGGTTATGTGATACACATTTATATCATAGTACATCTTCAAATTCAAGTGAAATTGGCTATGTGATCTACACATTCTCACGAGCACAGGCAAAATGTGTCAATAATGCTATATTCACCTAGTGGTATGAACGGGGATGTGACGGCCAAACTGCCAGCTATTGAGCATATTCGGGCGTCCTATATGTTAAAGTCTCTCGATGAAAGACTTGCGCTAAGGCACATGAGGGTGGCTTCTGATCATATAGTCTTCATACAAATAAAGCAAGTAGGCTGATTAGCGTAAAAACGATGGCGGCTGGATTGGGAGACCATGCGACGGATCGCCGTCGAGACTGACCAGCGTAGCAGTAACGAGGCGTTTTACATATGCATTCCTGTATGTCGAGAAGATCGTGAAGTCTGCAAAAAATCAGCATTTTAATTTTTGAATGGCTTAATTGGTGCTTTGAAGTGCCAATCATTCAAAATCTCCTATGCACACAAGCACTGTGAACTTCACGGATCGAGTAGATTATTGCGAATGTGTTTGGGGGCGAAATGAATCCAAGACGAGCTTGACAAGGGATTGAGCGCGAACGAGCTTGTAAGGCATGGCGATTTCTCTCCAATCAGTTCTAGGCATACGCTATAAGTTTCCCCTTCATCCACTTCAGATTGATAAGCACAAAAAGCGGCATAGCTGAACGATATGATTTGTCATTTAGCGTCACATAGGAGAGAAACTGAATAAAGTGATTTGCGCTCTTACGCAATACTATAATACTTATACCGTTTAACGCGTTTCGGGCCAGTGCTGCACATGGTGCATCACCGAGTATGCGACTGTCTCCTGCTTCCTACAATCGTCTCCTTCCGATATAAGAATGTCATCGTAAAGGCACAGGCCTACTGTCCAACATACCTTTTCGGTCATGCGCAAGCCTTATTTATTTGGGCGGAGGAGCGGCACACAGTAAATCAGAACGACAGAACCTTCGCGAGGTTCGTTTTGAGCTGGGAAAATCGCCCTTTTAGGGAAATTCCACTGATTGCAGGGCAGAGGAGAATACAACAGCTGATTAGGAAAGAAGCCTCCCCTATTCTCGAAAACGAAACCCTTCCTGTATGATTATGGTACGAAGGTATACATCGCAAATGTCAAAATTTATTTATTTATTTATTTATTATGGCAAGTCAAAACGAACACGTGAGTAGGATATACTATTGAAACCTGGGTGATGAGAGACCATAATAAAGCAACTTGTGATTTGAAGATAATGAAAAGCAACAAGCAAAACCACAGATTTGGTTAATTTTTGGTTCATATGCGTTATTTAGCATGCATATCACGGATCACGTGTTAATTGTGCAAGCAAGCGAGGTTTTTTCGTGTTACAGTGGGTACATAGTCGACGGATCGAGTCAAAACTCAAATCTGGTCAAGACTATAATGCATCATCCACTTGCATGGCGCAAAAAGAATTTTTTAATTACGTCCGAGATCATAACTGTGATCGGGCTGCTGCTAATCCCCTGTACCCCTTGCACACTAAGTTTTGAGCAAATTTGAGCTTTTTACTTATTCACTAAATAACCTTAACAACACAGAAAGGCGTTTTTTATGCGAAAAAGTGCGATATTCGTGATTATCATGTTAGATAACCCCTGTACCGAGTTTGAGAGAAATCTATGACTTTGAAAATTCGAGGCTCAATTTTGGGACAGTCAAATGGCTCTGGCTCCGGCTTTTATTGTAAAATGAAGGACCACGGCGTCAAACGATGTATTAGGTTGACGCAAAAGAAATGGCCGATTTTCCAAGCTTTTTTTCAGGGCAACTTTTTTTCATCAATACTTCTTCTTTACAATGGATGTAGTATATTGTCGCAAAGCTGTTTTCATGCTCTATCTAATGGTGCTTGAAACGGGCTCTCATCCTCATCTCTTATAAAGTTACTGAGCTTCAAATCACCGCATTCAAATTCAGAATTTCATTGCATTCACTTATCCGGCCAGAATTCAAGCGCGTATCAATGGAATTTTCTTAGAAAATTTAGCTATTGTATGTAGTAGAAATTTTCTGCATTATGCACACTTAACTGCATTCTTTGAAGTTATCCAGACTGAGATATCGGCGCCTAAACATGGGTAGCTGTTGCGGTCATTTTATGACCCATAATTTTCTTCTGAGGAAGTCAGTCGCCGAAGCTTTGCTCAATTCTGTAAGCGTAGAGCTAGGACATTTATTAGCAGTTTTTGCAAAAACATCCAGCTGTTCAGTACATAGAAAATCAGAAAATTCTATATTCCGGACTTTGAGGCACACTGAAAAAATGTTGAAAAAAACTGAGAAAATTTGAATTCGATTTTTTTCTTTCTCGCAAACATTTTTGTCCGAATTCTTTTTGTTGTATTTTGTACTACTGGCTTGCGGCTACAAGATAGACCACTTATCATTCATACTAAGAAACTTTGAAGGAAGTTATGAATTGTCAAAAACAAGGTCCCACAGAAGATCCTTTTTCGTCTTTTAGTCCGTATTTCTCTTCCCGTTTATGGTTTGAGTATAAATAAGTATGCGCTGTATTGCGAAAGGTCTGCTGCTTCTAGGGGTCTTTACCGCATTCAGAAATGTGGATCTTTTAGAAACTTATAGCACGTCAAAGTGAGAACTCTCAAATCGGCCATTCCTTTTGCATCAACCTAATACAATGTGGAAGTTAGCGTAAGAGAAGTGCGAAACACGAGGCTTAGCACAATTTTTCCACCCATACTGCCTTCTTTGCCTTTCGACAAAACTTCGAAATTTCCTTTGAAGACCTTTTTCCTGTTCCTCAATGTGCAAGAAAGGGCAGGCTTTCATCATCAATAGCACTAGGTAAGGAAATTTTTGTGTTAATTTGGGACGAAGACCGCACTCAGCAGCAAGACACATTCACCGTTCTGGTCACCGTAGTGCGTGTTAAAAACGCAAATTTACTCTCTTCTTCAGTTTGCTCAATCAACAAAAAATCATGCAATCAACTTCGGTTGCCAAATTAGAGATTATGTAACTATGATAATCCGTTGCGTGTATTTGACTAATCCGGGGCAATGGTTTTGAATTACTGCCAGATGCACAGTATACGTATTATTGCAGCGCTTGAGAATAAGCTGTAGCAACGTTCAGAATCTGATAGGCAACGAGCTTACCTAACTCATGGAGTGGTGCCACTGGCAATGATCCAGAACTGCTGATGGTGCAAAAGCACGCAGCAGGCAACGCTGCACCCACCGACCAGATTTTTTACAGTAGTGCAAAAGGCCCTACACTTTATTAGACCATCATTATGATATTCTTACCATACTGCCAACAGCGTTTGCCCGCAGATAGCGGCGATGGGACAGAATACACTAAATTTGCTCTCAAAAGGCCATTTTCACACGCGCCTGTTGTTATCATTATAAGATGGGGGTTTTTTTGGCGCAAGTGTTGTCGCAAACGCAGATGCACTGTATTAACGTATAATCTAGAAAACTACATGTTCTAGTCTCATTTCCCCTTTTTTCGAACAAAGAATCTTACTTTGTACATTGGTTGCCTTCTTGCTGCTCCAGCGTCTTCGTATCAATGGCTCCAAAATTCTCAGCACATCCTCGTAACACAAATGCTGCACCTATAATGTCAACTCTGACTTTCTTCCCGTTCCTTTCTCACAGAATCGAATATTTCGCCAGTACGGGCGAAATACAGCGATTTGGCAAAACAGTGATTAAAAGTTCTTCCATAGGACTGTATGATTAGGGGAAAGAGGGCAATGTCAAAAAAGAAACAATCACGACGAGAGGCCATGTTGAGGAAAGTGCATAAAAACCGGTTGCTCCACAATTTTCGAGCTTTTTTGTGTGGGAATATTTTCATGCCGGTGACTGACAGTATTTATGATCTTTTCAGTCACTTCCCACGAGTTCGAGAAGAGCAACTTTATAGCGCCATAAGTCTCATTTACGGTTCAAAGAAAATTTCCGGGACATAAACATGATCATAATTATGTTGTTGTTCATACACACGGCTCGCTACTCGTTTTATAACAAAATTCCGTCGGGTGGTACGCGCCTGGTCTGGATTCTTCGCCATTCTGAGGAGTGAAAGTGCAACGACAGCCAATTACGGCATCTGTGGCCTTAATGCCAGACGAAGTACAGCAATTATACACTAGAGATAAGGATCACGTGTACGTACGATTTCGTAGTTCGACGTCTGCTATAGTGCCCTTCGATGTCGACAACATTTGCGCGTAAAAAATGGCAAATGGCACATACTTTCAAGCTTCGCACAATAAGGCCAATTATTTCTTGCGTGTGTTGTCGCCAATGCAAAGATATTACATGAATCGTCAATCTTTTCCGACAGAGGAAGAGTCATGAATCTAAGTAAAACAGTACCTTCATTATGGTCCACAATCGAGAGTGTTTCACAGTAGGGATGACGGCATTTTTGTTTGGCCCAGGAGCTGGCATTTCTTGCGTTATTGCACAATTTAGTGGCTACATCTGAAATGAAATGAAGAAATACAGGTATACGTAACCTGGAAGTATAGATATAGGACAGTGCTCTTAGTTTTATGATACAGTTATTATTCCGCAATAAGTCTCGGGTATACCTCATGCGTTTTCAGTCTTCACGCGATTTGGCAATGAACCAAATGCTTACAATTTCGCTTAAACACAGTTCGAATAGGAAGGAGACTTCAAACAAGCATTCTATTGAATAACTAAAGTTATACATACTGTCATTTCAACTCTAGTGATAGATGTGGAGAAATTTGGCAGACTGCCATATGCGTAGCCAGTGAAATTGCACGATACACCCAAGGCCATTAACACTCTGTTCAGTCGAAGACTAAGAACTACAGAAACCCCAGTATGAACAAGGTTTGCGAGAAACATTCTTTTTTTTTTGAACAAGGGCATGTTTTTTGTCACCAAAAAACTAATTCAAAAAATGCTTCAGCAGAGTATTGATGAATAAGAAAATGAGGAAAAATAAGGCTGAGCATATTTTGCAGACATAAATCTCTTGTTTTCTCCGGGAGATTTTGAAAAGAATCAGGGAGAAATTCCGAAGTTATCTTCAGATTTCATGGGATCTCTTAAGGAGAGAGCTAAAAAACCATAAAAATCGCGCAAGTGACCTACCATATGGATAAGTAGTCCTTCGTACCTTCAAAAATTGCTGAATAGTTTTCCTCATATCACTGGGCACATTCTTCAGCGGTGAAGCACAGTAATAGCACCAATAATCAACTGAATTGATGGATAGAAAGCAGATTAGAGAACACATTATATTTTGAAATTCTATTCGTTACACACTGTCATCGTCATTATCTTGTGTTTCTGGATGTTCGACCGCCTTCGGAGTAGTTGATCTGATTGGTCTTTCTTCACTGCTTTCCCTCTTTTCATAATAATCGTCTCTTATGACGGGCCTTCCTCGTTGTTGCAACTGCATTTCTTCCTCGAACGCTTTCTTTTCGCTATCCACTATCTAAAGCGAATAAAAAATGTCTTCATTGGAGCTGCTGTATATAAGCAATATTTGACTTTGTGTCACTTAAGTATTCTGACCAAAAACCAATTCCGATTTGCTGAAACACTGGAACAATTGGCTAGGATTTTCGTCGCACGTCTTTTGGCATCAAGCAAAAAAAAATTTGTTTGATACACTTATGACTGACGAAGATTCAGAAAAATTGTGCTAAAGAGTTCTAGAGTTTTTTCCTTCAAAAGTAGATCTCAAAAGAATCGAACAGTTGTATTTAAGTTCCTCCATGTGTCTAGTAGATATTCGCTTAGATTTCCATTTTAGTGCATACACCTCGACAATTAATTCAAAGAATCATATAATTTTTATTCTCAGTTAGCAATTTTATAACCTGAAGTTTCGCATATCTCTTGCTTCCATACCACAGGGATACCTTATAGGTCCCAATTTCGAAAAGTCATTGGAATTAATATTTTAAAATACGCTTATATTAGTTCCATTTGTATCTTATGACAACGAAATGTCATCGTATATTGCATCACTAATTCAAAGAAATCACTGATTTTTATTGCCACTAAATGACCACTATGTAAACGTGCCATCAATCCATCTAAAGCCCTATCTGATTAATATCACTCATTCTGAAACTTTTTATGCCTTGAATATGACGAAACTGTTTCGCGTACTTAATGGAAAAAAATACTATAATTATGCATCAACATGTATTATATTATACTCTAGCTTCACGTCTATGTTGCGTCGCAGCAATAAGCCAAAAACCAAATTTCCCTAGGCAACGTTATGGTTTCTGTTTACCCGAACTAACCCGATTTGCAGGGATCCATAGCAAAATTATTTGTTTTTCTACCACGATATACGTACGGCAAAACTGGTTCCGCTTCTGCACCGAGGACTACAAAAGAAGATGATGCGTCCCTCGGTTATCTCCTCATCTCTACAGAAGCCATACCCACCTCAAGGTCATTATAACGAACAGGAAACGATGGCTTGAAGATGGAAGACTTCGTATCAACATAGAAAGGCATGCAAGAGGCTCACTCTCTTGAAGGTTTTTTGGAACTCCATGACAGATTTGAAATACTTTCCCGCTCTGCAAGCCAGCGAGAGCTAATCTGCCCATATTTGCAGCGGAAAGATTTGATCGCGTGAGTGTAGTCGGGAACTCAAAAAAAGCTTTTTTTGCGAGTTTAAGCCGGGCGTACAATGCTACAACCAGTCACGATTTACATTATTCGGCCGAAAATGGCGGCTATCACGATTACGAAAAATGTTCCGCATAAAAAATTTGCGACCATGCTGTTTAGCTTCGCTATCACAACGTAGTCCTCTAGGCTGAATATTCAGAAACGAGCAAAAAGAAAAAATTGATGGTGATTAAGCAAGAATAAAACTGGAAGAGGCTAAGCAATTTAACTTCTCTGAGCCTGTAGTACGCAGAGAGGAAAGGTAGCTTCCTGAGAATGCTAGATGCTACCGCACAGCTACAGTAATTTCGCCCGCAAATGTCAAATGCATGAAAGATTTATGCAAGATATAGTCTAGTACACCTCGGATCTGTTTGCAAATGAATGAGGTGAGCGCTACGCGTGGACATTCACTAGACATCCGGCTCAAGACGAGTTTGGTAGATGAAATAAAAACCGAGCATTCACCATCGCTATCCGCTGTGCCTCGTCATTTTCCGTCCAGACAGAGCGGACAAAACCGCAGAAGTGCAGCAAAAGCAGAGCTTCGAATATTCGAATGTAACTGCGACACATACAAATACAATTTTGTCAGGACACCGTAGTAAACAGGACGATCGGAAATGGGTCTAGTTTGACGAGAGAGGACGGGGCCAGTATACGATCGATAGGCCGCTGTCGGACCCGCCTCGAAATACAGTGCGTTCAACCTTCACCTCATTCTGATTGTCGGGCAAATGTCACAGTTCACCTCCTCCAGTAGCCATTCAATTCTCATCTGACTCACACTCGCCGCTGCCAACTGTGTACTTTTCTTCGCTCCCGATGACTAGATTTGCAAACCCTCGTTTACGATTATGCAATGGATGGATAGGGCTAGAATAAAAATTCTCACATGTGGGACAGAGACGCAGCTGATCAATCTTGTAACGTCTTGTTTCTGTGCGATATTTTGCACTTGTCCAAAATTTTGATGGATGGACTGCGTTCTACAACGTTCTCGCTTCTGCCTTTTCTCACAGCATTGGCACGTATAATTGACACTTTTGTTGTGACTGTTTGAAACTTGTACCTTCCCTCTAAGAGGGGTTGAATTCACTTTGTTGTAGTTTAGTAGACTGAGCTAAATGGGCTGCTACCCTTGACCGGAATTCTTTGGGCTCCCTCGAGAATCGTGTCATCTTATTGTACTTCACCTGCTATAATCACACTGGGTAGGTCACTAGCACAGACAAAGTTCATTTGTACGCAAACTAAGCATTTCTATGCTAGTAGCAAGGTTTTATCCACCTCTCGAGTAATCTGACTCTTCTTCTGGTTTTTATAGCTCACTCTAAAAGAACGTTCAAGCAGTAATCAGTTACATTGAACAAGACTTGAAAAAACACCAATAGTTGGATGGTTAGGTATAGGTCCTTTTGTCGCGATAAAGATTTGGATACCTACCAAAACATCAGCGGGTTTGACCCAATATATTAAGTTGGCTCAGTAGTTTGCCGTTTCACGGATCAATCGCAAATTATGTAGAATAATCGAAGAGAGATACTTCAGATTTTATCCGTTGCCGAATTTCTTCCTCTTTCCAGCAGCTATGTGTTCGATGTGATCCTTTGGGAGTTAAGATTTTTCATGAAGTTTTCAACCCAGCTTCTATACCTTGTCTGACCTTTGACCACTTTCCAGAATTTTCGTTTTAAACTTGCTCAAGTTTTTGATGATCAGCTGCAGCAGTGGCGTATCGAGGGAGTGGGGCGGGGGAGCGAGAACGGGTCGCGAAATTTTTGAAAGTACATGGTTATAAAATTGTGCAAATGACTTGTCTGCACTTGTAAATAATTAAAATAACTTTTAAAATATTTAAAAAACTCATTTTAGCCTTACAAAGAAATTTTTCTTCGAGGGCGTGGCTGATGCCACGGCCCTTTTTTTGAAATTTCGGGTTTCTGAGCCCGCGAAAATTTTAGGGAGCATACCAAAAAAATTTTCGGAGTGCGTGGCTCACGCCACGCTTTTTTATGTCCCCCCCCCCCCTGAGCCGAAATCCTGTGTACGCCACTGGCTAATAGTGCACTTTGCAATGCCTGAATTTTCAAAGTCTCTACAAAGTGTTTTGCGGAATAACCAAATATTCGGTCTTGACATCTTAACAGTAATTGATCCAGTCACCATACCACGCAGCTCTTTCTCCTAATTCTAATCGCTAGTTTCTGTGAGATTAATGTACAATATGGGGACAAAATCGTCGTAATTTTTGACCCTACAAGTACGTACGCATGCACCTGTGATTTCAGAATCTTTGAATTTCAGAGCAGTAATCGTTCACTTACTTTATAAAATTATTTTATTGAGTTGTCCCAAATGTGAACCGTTTTTATAAATAAATCAAAGTTTTCCTAGTAGACCTGGGGTACCATCGATTTCAGGTAAAGTTTGGGCCAAAATCGAATAAGATTTTGCATCTCGAAAATTGGATTTTTGCGAAAAGAATCCTATAAAGCTGCAAATTGCTCACCGAGAGGATACATAGTAGTGTTCATAAATGCATTTGCTGAGTATTTTTGGGCATGGAAATCGAGGGAAAAAAGAAGGTTCAAAAATGGAAAACTCCTCCCTCAGCTCCGCTCACAAAGGTGATTGTCTACGGCATACTTTAATGAGTATGTTACGTGCCCTCATACTGAGAAATATCAAGTTTAACATGGAAAATCCGGAAAAAGTGGCATCTTGGCATTTGGGTTATTATTTTTCGAAATTTCAGCGCAGAAAAAAATCCAGCAATTGAATCATAAATACTACATGTATAGTGTATGTTGACCAAGTTGGAAGTCCGTAGGAACTTTCTGAAAGGAGATCAACAGGATTACGAGACTTGGGTGGATCGAGGTCATTGTGTAGAGCTTGCTTTACTCTATGAACTGGTGCCCAAGTCTGCCAAGAAAACAAACGGTTTGATTTATTCAGAACATCGGTTTACTTTTGGGACAAGCTAATAGTAATAGTCGAGTTTTGGAAGCCCCAGATTTTCTATCTAGGTTTGACGAAACTGTGAAATATGCAATTTCTGTAAAACTCGACTTCCAGAGATTATCTGGATGAAGCCTGGAAGGTGAACTGTAGAAGCCTGAAGACAGTATGTTGTGAGCTCATTTGAAAGCGTAAAGCAAGATTTTCGAGAATTAGCTAAACTGTGACAAAGTGAAACGATAAATTGGAAGCTTCAAGGATTATCTGAGTGCTTGTTAGGGGAATCACTTTGAAGATACAGCTGACGGAAAGTGGGAGACGTACTGCATCAAATATGGTTTGAGACTTCTCATCTACTACATAGCACTTGAACATACGAACTTGTAGACCTAATAAGTATGGATCGCTTGCAGGTTTTCGCCATTCGTTTTTTTCTAACTTGTATGCTTGTGAAATGATCTTCCTTTTTTGCTACACAGTGTTAGGTTTGTTGGAGTGAATGATAATATGATCGAATAACCGAGCGCAGATTATTTTGACTACTGAAGGTGAATTTATATATAATACTTCAAGAGCCTATTGGCATAACGAGATTAGGTGTTATTCGTGGACCGAAGTACCTCTTATGAGACCCTTTGAGTGATGTTGTTCAAACATATAACTCGAGGTTTCTTGCGTCTCAGTCTAGGAATTACTTGTTCAAATATGCGCATGGTCTTGAGAGTATTTGTGCTTCGGTTTCAAGACCAGTTATATTCACTTATAAAACTCTCACCCATGGTATGTATGGCTCAGTCACAAAACAAAACGAATTTTGAAGATAATTTCTCGCTACGCTAGTTTCCTGAAATTTTTTAGTGTCACGTCAATAAAAGTGATGCACGTCTAATTTGCCCGAATATAATAAGGTAGTTTTTACAGAAAATCTGACAGAAAATCGAATTTTTGGAGGTAACTCCTGCTTTGCAAATCAAACATATGATTGGGATATGTGAATGTTGTAGTGTAAATAATGTCGCTTTCATTTGCTCGCTTCAGCAAAGCAAGCAATTTTAAAAAAAGCGTAATGGGTAGTGTTCGATAGAGCAAAGCAAGCTCTATAAGCATGCACACTCATCGTTTCGCGCCAAGTATGATCCACGGAAAGTTTGAGCTCAAAATACAGGGTGTCTTAAGAGTACCCAAGAGTATGGTATACACTGTTTCTTCATTAATCGCTCTTTCCAAAGAGTCTTTTGCCTACCTTAAGGTACCATTTTGTAGAACTGGCTATAACTTAGATTTGCAGTATAAAGCGAACCATCGATCGCTCTTAAGTACTGTCGATTATGGAAGGAACTTTTGGCTTATAGCTCCATTGTGGATTAGCCGTGTTTTAGAAAGTTTCCAAAAATTCTGAAAAGTGGTGTACCAGGGATTTTACGTGCGCTGATTTCATTACTCAGTTTTCTAGGAGTTGTAAAGCTTTTCAAAGTGTTGACTGCAATTTTAGGGAGCACAGTAAAAACAATTTTTACGGTTTGCGGGGCGTAAGTCATGAAGGAATCATCGCGGTCAAATGCAAAGTTCACGATTAGTTTTATCGATTTTACTTAGCCTAGTGTAGGAGTTTCCAAATTGTGTGGTTTGCTTCCTAAGCCGAAATAGGGCTCTTAATGGCTCAAAACCCTTCTCGAAGTTCCTACCTTAATCATGCGTAGTAAACGAAGATTTGATTTGCTCCATATTGTAAATCTAAGCTGAAGACTGCTCTGCAAAACGGTACTCGCACACTTCTGTGCTTTCAATATCAGACATCCGCGCAGCTGCTGTATTTTTTACTTGACTAGAAACTAAGAAAACTAAGAAAAAGAGGTTCGTGATATTCTTAGAGCCACGCTGAGCTGAGCTCTCACATAGGTGATTCTGTGCTACAGACCTAGATGAGTATAACTGTAAATTTTTTGCCTATTCTGAGAAGTTTTCGAGAAATATCAAATTTGATTGTCTTCTTCTCAGTTTCAGTGCTAGAATCGACATTTTTTTTCGAAAAGTGTCGCTCAGAGGCTAAAAATCTAAAGTTATACTTACCTAAGCTTGTGGTATAAAAATGCTTATGTGAGAACGGCTCAGCATTGTTCTGAGAAAAATACGAAAATTTTTGTTTTCAATTTCTAGGCAAGGAAAAACAGCAACAATTTGCGAGTGGGAGGTCCGTAGAAATTAATTGGACGAAGATCCGATTTCTTCAATTTTTGGGATTTAGAACTCTTTATATTTTGAACCAAACTTGGCGTGAAATGATGAGTGCCCGCTGTAGAGCTTGCTTTTCTCTATCGAATAGTACCCCCCTTACCTTTTTGGGTTGGTCTGCTTGCTTTGCTGAAGAAAGCAAAGAAAAAACGACATTTTAGGGCCTATAAGAGTGCTACTGCTATGTTTTTCTACAAGTAGTTACCGCAGCTTCCATGCAAACTTTTTGTTATGTAACTAGACCCCAAATCTGAAGTTGTTTACAAAGAACAATGAAAAATTAAAGCAAAGAGCACAAATTGAAGACCGTCATGATTTTTTACTTAAGTTGACTTTGGTTTATCTCTGATCTTGGCATTGCTGCTAATATTTTTTGACGTTGTATTGTGCTGTGACCAAAAATCGTAGATATTTATCTGCTGAAGTCGATGCATCTAGAACTTGCCTCTGCGGAGTGTGCAAAGACTGATACATAAGTGCCTGTCTGTTCGAAAATGAAGAGCGGCACAAAATGAAGAAGAAGAACAGTTGGATACCTGAAGAACTAAAGACTTCAAGGACCATAACACACTTTCACCATACATTCCTGAGTTCTTCAATCTCTTGAAATTTCCAATTTTCAACGAAATTGCTCAGGAACTCTGCATCTATGGGAACAAGATTTGGGCTTAAATTTACTTCTTAATTCACTTCTTATTACATCGAAGTCCTTGAATCAGCCTTATGCTTTGTTAATTATATATCAATACTTACAACACACCATATTCTCTGTCAGATGAGAAATGTATTGCACTATATAATACAGACTTTTCTTTTGTCGAATAAATGAAATTTTAAAAGAATTTATTCAAATGTTCTGTTTGGAAACTCAGTCGCTTATTCGATTTGAACTGAATATTGAAGCCGCCTCGGATGACACGGAAAAAACAAGCTTGTGATTTATCCTTTACTTGAATAAATTTGCGATTCAAAATTTTTTGATAGCCCTGTGACTGATCATAAGAAGGACATGCCGTAGGGCATTTGCAAAGTCAAGACTGGGATCGTGCTCAAAACTCCTGAGAATCTTTTCTTTCAGAACCCGATCTTACGAGAAGCAGGGTTGCTCCATCCAAAAATATTTGTAAAATAATGGCACAGGGCACAGCGAGATGTCACCAGGACTGTCAGAAATAAAGTTACTATTGGTTTTGTGGAAAAAAAATTAGACATACTCAAGGAAGCTCGTACAGAACAAAGATTAAAACCAGAAGACGACGCTAAAGGGACACTACATAATTGACAAAAAAAGGGAGATGATGACATCTGCATTGACTGCTTCGACGGCATGTTGTCTTTGGCGCGACCTACCATTATCCTACCGTTCCGAACTTTCTAGAGGATATAAACTTGTTAAACCGCAAGAAAGGAAGGCAGATTTGGAATCAGCGTTCAAAGACGTTCTAGTATACTTAGCGAAATTTGAAATTTTTTCCGAATATTTGACTTTTGAATTTTATTTGAAGATCGAAAATCTCGAATATTCGACTTTCGCATACGGTGGTGGCCATAATTATAAAGCCACTCTAACCGTTTTGAAACTTTGCTGTATTGTGCGCATGCGAAAGCTCAGTGAGTACGTACTCGCAAGAAGCATTTCTGCGGCTGTGCATAGACGTAGTTAGGAGGCACCACATTCAAGGGAATGACGTCTTGCCGCGTGAGTAACTACCTTTATTGCCACCAGAACCCATCACATCTCGAACGTCTCTGGGAGATGGTGGAATCTGGACATCGTGCAGGTGCAGTCGAAATTCCCAACGATGATCTGAGGGAATAGGAAAGAATAATGAGGGATCGTTACGCTTCCCTTCCAGCAACGCGAAATGGGCGAACCGATCTATTGCCATAGCAAGTTTCAACTCAGTTTAGACCGAAACTAGACTGGTGGGAGTCCGCTTCGTAACGATTCGCGCCGCTTTGCAGTCTGCGTCTCTTCATTCTAATCTATGTCGCTGAGCCGTGGCGGTGCGGATGCGTTGCTCCACTCGGAAAGTTTCGCCTACTCTGGGTTGAAAAAGACTGTACTACCATTTTTCCTCGCAAGTGCGAATTGCTAGAAGAAAAAGGCTGCGAGTCGTAATTCTAGAGCTGTACGCCGTCGTCTTCGCCGTAGTCACAAGACGTGGTCATGGGCACACTCATTAGGTGCAGTGCTTCCGCTATTACCATTATTTCGGTGAAATAGACGCTATTTCCCTTCACTGTGGTGCTGCATTGCTTCTGCCGGAATTACCAATGACGCGGTGAGCTCCACGTGCGCTGCAACTTTGGCAACATCATCTCGAAGACAGGTTTGTCGAAATCTGCGTGCAGCAGGAGCAAAGCAAGAATGTTCAAGGCATCGCTAGCGATGGCATTGATGTACGCAATAGTTGGCTTATCTCTTGGTCACGTTTTGTGTGTCTTCAAAACTTTCACTTCGTTGGGATTCAGGATCGCAGGACCTGCTCTAGATCGTGGGTAAGGCACAAACCGCAGCGGAGCACCTCGTTCACACTCGAAATGTGATCGGCGTTGAGCGGGTGGTCAAGATATCCGGCCTGGGGGTCTTACTGGGGGTGAGGGATAAGAGGGCCGCATTTCAAGAAGCAAATTTTCTATGAGACAATGCTAGGCGTGAACAAGGTGAAGAGCAAAAGCGCTAAGTTGATAGATGTCATGCTCTTACTAACAGTTCACTGGTCATAAGATTGAATACGGACAGCATACGTAGTAACTCTACTACCACTGTTTCACTCAGTTAAAAACCATCATTCCCTCCCGCCTACCGTAAGCTACCAAGTGATTTCCATAATCAACATGTCAAATTACATCGATGAAACCATTACCTGCTACAATTTTACAATTTTCGGTACTTCTCAGCATCCAAGACGGATCAATTTCAAACATGATCTTAGTTTCAAAGATGAAAAAAAAGCCTTTTCATACTCGCGGAGAAAAGTGTTGGTCTTTCTAAACTACGCCAGGAATTTCATTTCATATCGTTCCCAGATAGTGGATTTAGAAGGGTTCCCACACTCCAACCACCGCGTTTTCCACACATTTGATTGCTTCGCTCCATGGACTACTATAAAGCCAAAAAAAGTAAATAATACGTTCGTGCACCTAATGTGTAAGCTAAGAGATATGTACTAACGAAGGACAATAACTTGGCTGAAAAAGCTTCCTTGAAGATATACTATAGTAATGAGAACGCACTTACTCAAAAGATCAGGTTGGCCTGAGCTTTCACAGCCTTATGCCTGACCCTCATACCTAAGAGGGAACCCACCGGCTTACCGTAAAAGTCCGCAAACCGCTCCATTGCTGATAGGTAGCGAGCTTGGAATCTTTTGTTGCCACAGTAATAACTTGGTCCCAACCTTCCTTTTTTGAGAAAGTTATCGCTCTTGGAAGAACTCATACCTAAGAGGGAATTCAATTTCAGTCACGTTGTTTTTACCGCGTTGGTCGTGTGCAATCGCAGAAACAGGCCACAGCCAAAAAAAAACTCGCAGCTAAGGCTTGTTTTGCTCAAAGTGCGACACTACGAATTTGTAGAGGTGAATGAGAAAGGAGAGGTGGTTCAAATAGGTGTGCGCGGGCGGAGGTCGTTTTCACATGTGCCTGACCTCTTACTCAATCCTGACTGTGAAGACGTGATGACTGACTAGTACACAGTTCATCACACCGATCCTTCCGGTGTATCTTACAAGATTATGAAAGATTTTTCAAAGGAAAAGAAGAAGATGTGCTGCTCAAGAAAACCGCAGTACTGAGTCTATTTGTGAGGTTCTCAAAATGGACTATACTTTCGACCTTGGTCTACAACGCCCTACGCAACGGGTTGGCCGTCTTCCATGTCGGCGAAGACGGTGGCGTTGCCGCCCATCGCGGTTCACCGTCCATCCATAAACGCGGTTACGGGTCTTAGACATTTCTAAGCTTGTCGATTGCCTGTGCTACCCTGTGTTTTCCCCACACGAGAAATCGGCTAGATTCCGGATCTGAAGAAGATGTATCACACTTTTGCATTCGCGTGTTCCATTTAGAATGCTAATATTACTCTTGCATGGTCCAAGTTATTAGCAAGTTCACTCCAATTTGCTACACAGGAGCATAATTGACTCGACTATTTCGCTACCAGGGTTGAGCAAGAAGTGTGGCGCACGACCGCTAGATGCGGCCCCCCAACTGGAGCGAGTAATGTCTCAACGAGACCTCTCTGAATTACGGTTGCCTACCGTAAGGCCCTATCAAGCATAATAAGTATGTCTTGTAGTATATCAAATACCGCGTAGATCAATTGTTAGCGATTTCGTTTTCATATGCTAGGCTACTTAGCTATGGCCATTTTTAAACAGGTTAGTTTTGCTTTAAAGGTTAGTAACCCACCTTTTTTGTACACAGTACAAAGCACTAACCTTGTTACTTCACGCCAGAAACCTCATTTCAAACAGGACCGAACTGTTTAACTAGAAATCCAACTAAAATTCTCTTTTATATCCCATTTTTTATTCCTAGTTACTATTTCAGCTATCACTACTCAAAATGAAAACGAATCAGGCTCGAAGCACTTCCGTGAAAATTGTGACATTTGAGCTATTGAACCATGTATAAAACATCCGCCAAAACATTTTTTCGTGACAAGAATACTGTTGCGTGACACGACCCCTGAAAAGATGTGGGATAGCAAAGGCTTTACCGCTATCCGCAGGAGGTAAATAGGAGCGCGAGACTTGCAGAGGAGCTCTGCCAAGATCAAAAACTTGGCAAAGAATATCCATCTCGAAACAAGTCCTCATAATTTTGCTTAGCGAATTTTTTAGAGGATATGTAAGACAGATTTGGAATCGGCGTTTAAATGCGCTTTTTTGGTATGCTTTACGGGTGGATTTGCGATGCTCTCGCTGTAGATTTATTTTTATAAAGAAAATTGTGAATGACGCTGAAGTCAGTTTTGCGAACAGGCGCAAATCTTTTTTTGAAAAGCATTGCAAGTCTAAGGAATGACCATCGAGCTTCAGGATTTTTGTTCAAAAATCGAAAATAGTGATAATCAAGAGATTTTTCGCTATCTCTACGAATCTGCTTCTTTGTAATTTCATTAGAGAGAAGAAATCTCCTTCTTTGTAAATGCATTTTTATGGACTTCTACTATGCATCATTGCAGAGATAAATGAATTAAGAAGATCATTTAAGTTTTGCCCATTTTGAGTTAGGTCGCCAACTTAAAACCGATGTAGGTTTCATGATCTGCTCTTTGCAACGGAAAAAGTTGTGCGGTTTCGACAACTCTAGGAAAATGATGAAGTGTATGAAATCTTGGGGACGTTTCAGTTCAATCAAAATTAGAATATTTAGTGTTGAATAGTGTTCAAAGTGTATCTTGAATCTTTAAACAAGCCTGAAAGCGTTTCTGTGACATTTTGGTTCAAACTATACTTAAAATGCAGACTTTTCCATCGCTTCAGGAAATGTAGTGGTCTGGGAGAAGCCTGATTTCTAAGAGTTTGAAACGCAGAGTATTTTGCGGTCTAAAGCGACTATGCGAGTTTAAGGTTAGTTCCCTTATTATTATTTTCTTATCCAAACGATCTTCCCTCCCTACTGATGATTTCCGGAGAAGATCGTTCTCTTATCCTTCTCCGTCTAGTGGAAGGAATGAAACGGAATTGGATATCCTTTAATTTTACTTTTATTTGTTACTTTCTCGTTTTGTTTTAATCTTCTTATTCAAAAATTCAGAAGCATTATTTGAATATGCAAGAAAGCTCGCATATGAAATACACTTCAGAACATTTGCAATTTTTTTCTGGTAATTGAATAATCGAATATGCAGGGTGTCCGTAAAGTAAGTATACACTGTTTGATCGTTAATATCTTTCTTCCCAACAAGTTTTCAAATGCGTAAGTAAACGAATATCCGAATAAAGTTCTTTTTCACCTATTCGACTATTCGAATAATCGAATAAATTCTTCTATTCGAATATTCGACTAATCAAATATTCGAAAATTCGGGTGGTGAGCTATAGGAACGATAGCTGGTGGGTGTCAATAATGCCATCTTTCACCGTCATTTTTGTCCATCAGAAGTCTAAAGCATTTCCTCCTAATATGCTTTGATTTGAATAGGAGAATTAGATAGATTCTGTTCGCTCGGAAATAAGATGTGAAAATATATAAATATCAAAAAAAGGGTTTCAAAGGTGACTCTTGCATTAACATTACCAAACTGCACTTATCAGTGTGCTCTGAGCAGAACTCGTTGAGTAAAGCATTTATCCCAACTTTACTCGAATTCATATCTGAAATCAGCGCAGTTTGAGGCAAATACTGCATTGGCAGCAGCGGCTGGCAATTGCTATCGGTCCTCTTGCACCACACCCCGAAAATTCGAGTACTTTGAATAAATTACTCGAATATACGAATATTCGGTTCCAACTATGCTGCACCATGCCCTGACACTACGTGCCGATACGTGATAACACCGCTCACTAATGCAAGGAACCCTAGAGGGTATTCTAGTGTGGTTTACAATGTTCAACAGAAGCTGCTTAGAATTATTTATCAAGACTTTCAAAGACATGAAAGCGCTGAGCGCAAAAACTCCCATAATGATGAGAATGAACAGTTGCGTAAAAAAACAATGAGCGTCATGCTTAACTGGGATTATAGGCTTAAAGCTTTTACATCTCAAAAAAAAAACAACAAAAAAAATCACTTAGGGTTGCACACAGAAGTGGACCGGGGTTCGTAGAGATTGACAGTTTTGGGAATTTCGGAGAGAAAAAAAATGAGAAAGCTTTCAGGTGTCTTCGAAGAGAATGTTCCAGAATGCGTATGCGTGAAAGCACAAAAACAATCACAAAGCTGCGTGAGTGGCCAGAATATGCAAGAATGATAAGTACAGATAAGTGCAATGCCAAAGACATAAGAGAAAGATCATAAATGAGGGTAGACAGATCGCATCAAAGTTACGAAATCCTTCTAGTTTCGCTGAGAGTCGAATTTGGCAGCAAGAGCGCGTACACCAGCATCTCCGGGGGCACTAAGGACTTTTGGTGGCTTCTTGGGTATCGCAGGGCGTTGTGTCTTATCATTGAATGAAGATTTCTGCAAACACATTGTCAAAGTTCAAACATAAAATAGAGCTCATGGAAAGCTGTACCTGAGAAGCGTGAGGAGGTGGTGGTGGAGGTTGAACCGGACGATTCAAAGTAGCTTTTTTGGATGAGCTGAAATCTTCTGGTGGTGGTGTTGGCAAATCCCGATAGGCGTACTCATATGCGTTACTGGAATGTAATAATCAAGGAACTAACAAGATTTCTTTCCTTCTTGAAAGGATTTTCTACGTTGCAAATTATGGATGAAAGGCTTGCACGTATAAGTGCATGAAATCTATGTATCAAAGGTCTAGATTAGAGTTAGCGAAATGAATACGTAGGCTTAATCCACATACTTGATTTGTGGGAAAAATGAGAAGGTAACATGCAACCCCCCCCCCCCGAATTGTGCCAACTCAAACCCGGAATAGAAGTTGTAGATGCACACTATATAAAAAAAACAAGCGCATTCCTTTGGGCTCATTGTTTGATTTCTGCTCTCATACGTGGTTCATGAGAATGTCAGCGGTGCTCTAAAGTCTCTAGCCCAGCAACTTTACCATCTGCCCAATATTGGTTTCTAATTCGAACCCCAATATGACGAATTTAAGAGAAAGACTTTTCTCAGCAAATTAGACGGAAGGTTCGAAACAAAATTTTACATTATTTGTAATTTATCTGACTTCCTAATTTCTAAATTTGAAAAAGAGGTGCTGAAATGGCAAAGTTTAATGGCGCACGCATGGTAAAGGAAAGGAGGTTCCGAAAATAAGAACCTTCCAAAAAATTCCCGAGCATGTCCGACTCCTTGCATATGATAGAAAACATAATGTGCCTTAATCTAAACTTCGAAAGATTTGTAGTTGCCTTTGATGAAGCTAGATTAAATTGGCACATTGTAAAGTGTCAAAAATATAGTCTTGCGGGTTGAACCACGTCCCTCGCTGGTTTATGACAATGCCTCTCTAACTCAACTGTTGAACTGTGTAGCATTCCTGATGCTTGACTACAACAAGCAGCAATGAACTGATGGTTTATAAAAATAAAAACTATATGAAAACCACAGAGGATGGCAACATGGTGTCCTCAGTACCACCCTCTCAAATAAATGCACGCGCTTAGTGCAGGCAAATGCAAAGTCAAGACCGCTGCCATGAATTGCAAAACGCTTTAAAATGATATCAGAATGGTAGAAAGACCGCAAATCAAAGTGCACTACATTGCTTGATGTGCCTAGCATGGAGATTGTATGCTTCGCACCACTTCGCTTTCTCCTCTCTGCTCAAGACAATAATTTTGAATACAATACAAAAAAAACAAGCAAGGGACATCTTCCTAAAAGTCACACTTCAACTCCGATTCTCAGAGTTTCCAAAGACTGCTCTGTACCTTTAATATAGAAATCTTCCGAAAAAAAAACATAAGCGAGAAATTAGGGCGTCCATAGCTCTGTCACGCCAAGGTTTAGCTAGTACACCTGAAGATCAACACAGTGTTCTTGTGTTGCCGACACTACAACGAAAAATGACCATGAGGAGCAGCTTTGAAGTCTGCATTCGGTTCTGCCTTTGAAGGGCAGACAGTTCTCTCTACATAAGAGAACAATGAGCGCAACATTTTGAAGCACCAAAATAGTGGACATTTTATGATAAATTAAAAAGTGAACAACATCTATGTTAGTCATAATTTTACAGTCACGTTCTTGTCAAGAAACTGTTGTTAGTATTAAACAATACGCAGTTTTGCCATAATCTTTGGTCGACAAATTTAGTCCTTCTCGCTGCTCACCTGTTGATGATACCCATTTCCTCTCCTCTTTCCTTGTACAGGTTTTCTAGTTTTGATTCGGGTGGACGTGTAGGTACAACAGGTGGTGGTTCTTTAGGTCTCATAGAGGGTACTCTGGTAAAAGTGACCTAAAATGATCCTTATAAAGTGTTTTGAAAAATTCAAAAACAAAAAGAAAAGCTCGCTCTAGAAGGTGGTGCTAAAGTTGTGTAAGCTGAAAAGCTACCTTGTTGTTAGTGGTACTATTAGCTGTGACTGGGAACTGGACCAAAGGCTGATTCGAATTTTTCGTCTTGGTAGTGTGATTTTCGGTAGTAATGGTCATGGGAGGAATGGCCGGAGGCACAAGAGTCTGAGGACGCTCGCTTGCAGAATAAGTCACAATGCCATCACTCCACATAGCATTTAAACTTTCCCTAAAACTCAGAATTTTGCAGCAAATAATTCTTGAATCCCACCATACAACAGAACAGTACTGTGAAACCTGAAAACACGGTTTACCTTTTCATATGCCGTCTAGGAGGCGGTGGAGCTTTCCGAACTGGCACTAATACGCCGTGCAAATTCAGTGTCTTCCTCATGTATTCCCAGAACCTAATGGGAAAAATCATTCAGTTATAAAATGGCGACTACTCTAGGAGGGGTGTGGTGCAAGAGGAACGATAGCAATTGCCAGCCGCTGGTGCCAATGCGCTATTTGCTTTCACAATTCGCAAATCGCGAACTTATAAGAAATAGTAGATATAAAATTAATGCTCTACTCAACTTACTCTATAAGTCTTGCTTAAATCCCGGTGGTATGTGCAATTTGGCGATGTTCTTGCAGGAATATGCTCAAAATACTTAAAGTTTCACCTTTGAGAACTTTTTTGATATTTTCAGCTGATTTTTACACCCCATTTTCAAGCAAACACAATCTATACGATTCTCCTGTCTAGATGAAAACATAATAGAAAGAAATGTTCTAACTTTCTGTATGCAGGTGGACAAAAATGACGGTGAAGTACGCGCGAGTTACTGACACCCACCAGCTATCGTTCCTCTTGCTCGCCACCCTTCTAGGAGGCATCAAAGTAAAAGTAAACAAAAATCACTCTTTAGGAAGGTTTCTCTTCTTCTTGAACCAGTAAAAGAAGCAGACCACGATCAAAACTATTGTCGAAATAGCTAGGAGAATCAGCAGCACAGTAGACGGAGTTATTCTGAAAGAAAGCGCAAGAAATGATTAAGGAGTTATCTTCAAGAAAATGAAATACTTCGAAAAGGAAATAATGGAGAGATAAGCCAAACTAACAAACTACGTCGCTGTCTACTCACCCTCTACTGGTATTGGAAGGATTACTATTCACAGATCCCCCAAAACCTGGAATTTCGCAAGCAACTCCGCCAAAGCCATTTTCACAGTGGCAATTTCCAACATTGTTACAAACTCCTGGAAAGGATTAAAAAGCAAATTATACATAAACGAAACCCAGTACCTCTGTGATGGCAATGATCATTGCACTTGGAAACAGTTTTCGACACTTCCGTGAGGGGTTTGCATTTCGCACTCACACATATCTACAAACTGACAATGAGAAAATTACAGTAAATTTGCGAAAAACGAGCCTTGTCATCGCCGCACTTGGAACCATCAAGAACCATTCCAGGGTCGGGCTTATTCTTTTCGCCAACTATATAAGTCGTCTTGATGACATGGCATTGGTGAGTTTCAGATCCTGAAGAAATCGAACTAAGGTGACATAAGCCCTACATTCATACTTGACATGCAGTTTATTAGAGAAATTGAGCATTTTGCAGTCACATATCTAATCTAATATATAAAGAAACGTAAGCGCAGTTCAAAAATGTGCAAATAGCGGGAAACCGCATGGCGGTTCCGAAGCGCGCGCATGCTACTAGCACCTTGAAGTACTGGTTCACTAGTCGTCACAAAAGCTGCATATTGTTCGAAAGAGTTTATTGTCACAAAAGGATACTATATCTGCATATTTGCAATCATGACCAGACATTTGTACGACCACGGTTTACCAAACATTCTCTGTGCGTAAGGCAAAAGAATCTAGTACATAATCGTAAAGCCACCTATTTTTTAAAAATCATGACTGAGAATCCGTACGCTCAAGCAGAGAAGGAACACTGCACTCACCGACTCTGACATATGTATATGCAGAAGTAACAGTAGTTGGATCACCAAATATCGGACGTTCGGCCTGTGTACCACACTGTAGTCGACCACACATGATGTCACTAAAAATATGACTTTAGCTATGAGCCAGTGGCTTAAACGAATAATTCTGGCGGATGATTTGTTATGTATATAGAACATACTCGGCTAAACACCGGGTAAACTGCGCCGTATGAACATCAAATCCACAATTGCCTTGTATTATCCCATTAGTGTTCTGCTGATAACAAGCATGATCCCCCTCTTTTCCAGTGGGTCCCCATATCGACACACACTGATCTGGTCGGCTTCCACATTGACCATCGTAGCAGTACTCCTGCAAGAGATTTTTTTTTTCAAGACAAAAGCTTTCGCAGTAAATGAATGTATTATGTAAATATTTCCTGATGGATTTGCAAGCTACACTGTGTCTTTGTGAAGCTACTGCGTTATACGCGTTCCTGCATTGAGCTGTAACCGCGTAGCAAATGCAGATGGGGATGGTTGAATTTAGAAATGTTTCCACATCACTTAATGGCTACCACTTCTCCCGTTTCCAAGCAGCAGAACATAGGGCTCTGCATAATCGTGATGGTCGGTGAGTTGCTCGCGCACTGAATTTTCTCAAGTTTTTTTCCCTCCTGTCAAACACTCTCCTACTAATAAATGTTAGCTTTCAATTATCTGAAGCGATTCTGAAAAGTACGAGGGGTTTTTTGAAAGCTTTGAGGCATCCTGTGTGAATAACGCAAACACACCGATCTTCGCGAATGCAGAGCCCTGTTGAATGCGAGTTGAATTTGAATAAGGGATGACAGAAAAGGCATCGCATCTGTCAGGCGAAAGGAATAACAACCTGCGACTACTCTTCTAATGCAAATCTAGTTTTCAACGCAGAGGGTCAGCGATAAACAGCTAGCAAGGACGAAAGGTCAATACTGCTTGTTTGACGATGCAGACATGCAAACGCAGAGCTACCATATTGCAAGGGTACATTTGCGGTGTATGCACAAAATACCGCCTTTTATCAATGGGGTCCACTCAAAGGCGGCATTCGCAATATCTATTGGGCCTTACCTCAAAAGTTTGACGACGGATTTGACTGCGATGTTTGCGCCCCCTCCCCTCCTCCATCAAAAATAGCAAGAGCATATAACCCTCAAACAAAAGACATCACTTTAGAGCTCAGTTACTTCAAGGGTCTAGCAGCTAACATATACATGCCAAAAAGTGTTGAAAGAAGCAAAGAAAATGCGATTGCCGAAACGCGACGCGATGGCTGCCGCCATTGTCACAATTTTATGAGTGGCCTGTAAATGGGCGTGCCTATATCATGAATCCTGACTCGGTGAAAGTGGCACTGAAAAGTTCTCGTACGATCAAACAAGCCGTCACAATAAAAGACTTCCACCTGCTTTCGATATATGGGAGCCCAATAGCGAGATACTTCACAAACAGTACTTTGCAGTGCTTTCATTACAAAAAATGGCAAGCATACACAAACAAAAAACTAACGTCACTTCTGCCAGGACAAAGTTGACCATTCTGAATAAAAAAATCGGCAGGACATTCAGGAGTGTCACCATTGCAGTACTCCGGCAGATCGCAAATACCAGTAGAAGCACGGCATACTACAGCCCTGGGCTTCGGCTGGAAAGGAACAAAGTATAAGCTTTTTGCGCCATCATTTCCAAAGGAAAATAAAAAAGTTTGGTCCAATCAAACAAACCTTGCATGTGAGCAAATCGCAACAATCTCCATCTGCGCATTCTGCATCTTCAGTCAAACGACAAGTCGCACCATCACAGCAAGAATGTGGGCACTGCTCTCTGCCACAGTCACATTCCTGGATAGAATCGGATACTCATCAGAATAACACTAATGTTGAACTGAAAAACAGACCTCGCCAGTTTCTACTATACCGTTTCCACATTTCGCGCCACCCACAGTCTTCTCCGGAGCATTCTTCAAACAAAGGTCAACTCCGTGACTGAAGCTAGTCGAGAGGTATTTCAAACTGCAGTCTGACCAAAATGTTGGAGGAGACGCACTGCAATAAAATGCTTTCATGAGCAAAATACAGTATAGACTAATTTCCAGTAGCTTCTTCAAACGAGACGGCAACACAGCAAACAGAACTGACGACCGCAAAAACATTGCATTAAAGGCAGCGTCCAAGCAAATCTGGACATATGGGGATCTCACGTGGATAGTAATTTTGGGGCTATAACTAAGCCACTGCCCAAACGGCAGCTCAGGTAGTGATCTAACCCGTGGTCCTCGCGCAAAACTGATGGGTTGCGCCATGAATCCATGCAAAATACGATCATGGTCCAGTTTGGAGGCATATCTCAGCCGTTAGTGAATCACCTGCGCTGCCGCTTGGGCACTGCCTTAGTTAGGGCCCCAAAATTACTTTTCGCGTAAAATCCTCATTGGTCCACATTCGCGTGGACGCTTTAATGACCTTGTAGGATGGTATGAACACTATACTTGGGACCGAATCGAATGATTATTCGATTATTCGAATAAATCATTCGAATGCGAATCATTCGAAAAGTCGAATATTCGAAAATCTGAGATTTCGAATAAAATTCGAAAGTCGAATATTCGAAATTTTCAGTTTTCGAATATATTCGATATTCGAATATTCGAAAATTTCAACATTCGAATATTATTCGAAAGTCGAATATTCGAAAATCTTAATTTTCGAATACTATTCGAAAGTCGAATATTCGATGGTCATCAATTCGATCATTCGATAGTCATCGAATATTCGAATCATTCGATGAACATCGAATATTCGAATATTCGATAATTTGAATGATGAAACCAGAGCCCGGCGCAGATTGTATGGAAGCAAGCTGGATTTGGTTTTTGGGGCGGAAAAGCAAGAGGATATCATTTTTGTGGCCAAAAATTGCGACGGTTTTTAACCGGCGTTTCGTCTTTTGAGGGTTTTTTTAACGTTTAGGGCTGACAGTCAAAGTTTGTTTTCAAGAAGCTTAGAAACGATCTCATGCTGGACCCTGGATGGTAAGTCTAGCACGTCAGTGTAGAAGTTTCCATCAAGCTACAACTCTCAATGGGGAGTGTATAGGTGCCGTAAAACCTAATTGCCCGCGCCGTGCCTTAAACACCAGCGTAAGCGAGCCGACGAAAGCTCCTTTCAAAAGTTTAAAAAAATATGTGCGGAAAGGGTGCGCGTTCAGTGTCGCTCGCAAAAGACTTGTAGCGCTTCGGGACCAAACGTTCCCAGCCGCGTCGCGCGTGGTGTTCAAAGCGACGCGTGGGCAATTGGATTTTACGGGCCTGTATACGCTTTGTGGTCCTGGCGCAGTAGTCTATACAGCAATCGTGATGCGCCAATTCTGTTGCAGATGTAGCTGCTATCGATTTTTCGCTATCCAGGGACGCCAGATTTTGATGCTCTTCAACAGCGTCTATCAGTTTTTCATGAGCGTCATTGAGTAAACTTTGAAACTTAAACTTAGAGTTTAAACGTTTAGAGCCACCGTAACACGGCTTTATGACCCCAACAGGAGTGAAAAATGAGTGCCATATTTTTGATCTGCGCACCGAACAACCTCCTAGACCAAGGTTTAACAAGGTTTCAAAATTTTGTAGATACCGGGCGTTACGATACCCCCCCCCCACATGCCTGCTGAAAGTACGAGCAAAATATACTCCGGAGGACTTTTCAGCTGCGTCTCTTCTTTTGTACACTACTTCTCTTTCTCTGATCAAACTCAGATTTATCTCTGAGTTCCACGATAGACTGTAACGCCCACCAAACTCAGAGTTATCGCAAAGCACAGCTGCGCGTTTGGTGGCGCTGTTTCTAGTGCAGAACGATTTCGACAATGTTTTCCTACTAAGGATAAATTACCGGTTACGGAGTCTCCTGCCATATGTCGCTTTCTAGATTTGGTCCATTCAACTGTTGAAGGGGTAAGAAAGGTGCGAGTCAGCTCGGATATAACTCAGAGTTAAGTCAAAGTAACTGTGAGTTCCGACCAGACTACTACCGACCCTGCCTGAGGTCTAGTGCACGCTGTTCTTCATTAGCATTCGGAAAAGCTGATAGATGTGAACGTGAACGTGAAGATGTTCCTGATATCGTCGCAGCGTTACTTCCACTCGACATCGTAAATTGAGGGCGTATTCAAGATAATGCATTAGTGACCGGAATGATAGTGTTTTGTCAAGAAGTTCGTCGTTTGTTGTAGTGCGAGAAAGGGATATGGTAGAATCAGTCATTGTATAGTATTTCCAGCAGCGATCTAGCTTATCGCATTGCCAACGAGAGGAAAATTGCTTATTGCCACGAGTGTCGAGTCGAAAGTTGTGGGTAAAGCACTTATACAGTTCAACAATGTGTATACTATATGTGTATCGTGGAGTTGTCGACGGCAGGGCTAGATGTAGAGAATCCGCGCAACGCCTAAGATATGCGTCATATACTGCAGAGTAGTAGTCGCATAAAAGGGCACTACAAAGACCTACAGTACTTGTGAACTATGCGCTTGGTCATGTTGTCATATCACATAGACATTAATTTTTCGAATGATATTCGAGAATCGAATGATATTCGAAGGTCGAATGATTTTCGGTATTTGAATGATATTCGATATTCGAATATTCGAAATTTCCGATTTTCGAATATCATTCGATAGTCGAATATTCGAAATTTTCGATTTTCGAATATTATTCGATAGTCGAATATTCGAAAATCTCGATTTTCGAATATATTCGATAGTCGAATATTCGAAATTTTCGATTTTCGAATATTATTCGACAGTCGAATATTCGAAATTTTCAATTTTCGAATATATTCGATATTCGAATATTCGAAAAAAATTTCGAATTTCCCCAAGTATAATGAACACGAACCCCGTCGATGGAGCCATGACACAGTGATTCCCAGGACAATTGCACGTTGTTCCGTAATCTACGTCGTGTTCCATACCAAAATTGTGCCCCATCTCATGCGCTACAGTGGCAGCAACGATAGCGGAGTTATTGCTATGGTCCTGATGTGAATGACGTAAGAAGCAAGTATCGACAATATAAAGAACGGCAACAGTCAACAGAATGAAAGTGTTACCACGTCAACACCGCCTGAGTAGTCATAAGAACACATAGTTCCTTTGAATGCTTTGCCAACAACGTTTGCTTCAAATCGGATATCACTGGAAAACTAGTTTTACTGACAAACCCAAGGATTGACACAATAAAAAAAACTTACGTGATCATATGAGCATTGTCGTTCGGATGAGCTTTGATAATCTGTTTCCTGTAGTTGAGGAACCTATCCAAAGTGCGATCACCGCTTGTTGCAACTTCGAACTTGTCGCCATCCTTCCACACTTCCGCAAAAACAAGTGTGATACGTATGTTCAATGGATAGTAGACCTGCAATGCATGATACAAAAATGCAACACATCGACACACATCAGTCAATGCCTACCGCATTAACATGATGAGCAATGGTTTGGAGGCGTTCGATGACTTTAGCTTCGTCCTTGCCATACTTAGCATACTGAAAATACCAGTTAGAAGCCAACAATCGAAATATTCTAAAAACTAGTGGAAAACTGCAGGTAGTTGATTGCCTGCAAACTTAATTACTAGCGCAACTTTCTCTTTCATATTCAATGAAAACATCTTGTCATAATTTTCTTGCTAGAGGAACTAATTCTTGTTGTTATTTTTCTTGATTTGTAAAGAAATGGAAACCGCTATCACATGGAGGGATTCAATGAAGCGAGATATCAGAATTCCAGATGTAAATTGCCTAGTGGGCCTGCTGCAGTAAGCTTCAACTAGTATTTTCCACGACGATGCATTCGTTTCGAAAGATTTTCTTGCCTGCTAGGTGAAATTCAGTACGCAAATCTTTCGCACCAACGTTTCTAGCAATCGCATACTCAACAAATTATATATTTGGTGACATATCTGCAACGGTGCGGAGGCTAACAGTTTATGAGTTCTCTAGGCCTGAACAGTCCCTTTTTTTCAGCTTTTTCTGAGATGAGACGGGAGTGAGTAAATCGCGATATTCTACCTGAGCCATTTTTAGGTTAATAAAAGCTATAACAATCTTATTAACGAGGTCACAACGCAAACCACTAAGTCCACTGACGTCATCTAAAAATGCAACATAGATTTCTAGTATAGGTAAGATTTGATTAACAGTAACTACTCAGCACCAGTTGGAAACCCAGCTGACAAGTAGTAAGCCAAACAGCTGTAAACATCCAACACACAATTTAAGTAAAACAGGACTAGTACAACAAAATAATGGAAACGTACCACAGAATAATCGGCAACAAGAGCCAGCTCAACGTATCTCCACCTTCCATCGTTATAATCAGAATAGTACGATGGTAATGTGTTCTTGTTAGTTTTTCCTTGCCGTTTCGAACGCGTTTTTAGTTCTAAGAAAGTCATAGTGATTTGCTCATTACCGTCAAGCTCAGCCAAATAATTCTTCAAAAAAAAAACACTCACCACACGACTTCAGCGACTGTGGCAAAAGAACAAAATCCTTTCCGTTTTTAGTATCAAGAATAAAATAATTAGAACCCGCGTGGATGATACCCGATATGCTAGAAGTAGTGCAAGCACTCAATGTATTCAAAATGCCATCAACTTCTTCTTCGTAAAAGCAGTCATTCACCTAAATAATTACCATGAGAAGCATTACAAGATAATCTGTCTCGATAGAGAACAAAAGACTTACACTGGATGAAGGTAAGCTCGCACGCGGAGAGGTGTGCCTAAATTCGTACTATCAAAATCATGTGGAACACATTATGGCTGAGCACCGATTCTAAATCTAAGCGGCGCTTAGCGAGTAATTTCAGCGGTTTTCAAAGAATAAAATTTAGACAAAAAATACAAAAAACGAGATGAAATCAAAGTTACAGGAAGTTTCACAATTAATTCAGACATATGAACATGAGGAAAATTTTACTTACCTTGTACGATTGAAAATCACATCTATAGAATCACCAGAAGAACCACTCAAAGTGAGAGGAAGAATAGAATTTTTTGTGGCAGCTTTGACTAGAGAAGAGGGAGTGAGCAGATGCTCTCCTTGCCAAGAAATATGTATGTTACACTCCATCGTAGCCTATTTACAGACAAAACATCTGAAATAAATGACAGTAGCAGAAAAAAGCTTTCAGAGGGTGCAGAGAACAAAGCCGCTGGCAAACATATGGCGCTGAATGTGTGATGTGAACATATAGACGCACGTCAGAATGTACTTTGGTTAGTGTTGGTCTGACCGGCTTGTCAGCAGGTGACCTTGTCGACGAGGATCGATTTCGAAGCGCAACAGCAGAAGCGAACGAACGGATGGCGCGCGGACGGCAACCACTTATTCCGCCGAACACTGTTTTCTATACCGCAAACAGCGCTAAGGGGCGGATGAGTGCGAATGAGTAATATTTTGACCAAACTCGAACGCTGCTCGTGTCGTAGCCGGAACACGCGCGTTTCATCCATTACACTTGCGCTTTCGCATCGATTTAGCCCCTACCCCTAGTCTGCACTTGCTGCTCTAATGCTCCTCAGCCGTTACTGGTTGCACTAACAAAGGACATTTGATTGCTTGATGGGCTGAGCAAAGAACATCGCAGATAGTTAACCTAACGTACAACGGTGGCGAGAGGAAATTGTACTGGCTGGTGCCATCGGCGCAGTAAATCGGAGTTCTCCTTCATCCCGAACATAACATCGGCTCAAATCACGCGCTTTCTCAGTCCCACCAATTAATTCCCTTAGCAACGCAAGGGTTCCTGACTGTTTAATTGGGATAAGCACAGTTGCGCTGACTTGCCCTATCAATTCGACTTCGAGTGATGCGATAAGTAAACCTGTGATAGTTTCTTCATGTCATCAAAGAGTACAAAGTGGATAAACTGATGAAATATGAGCCCGTCTGTGTACTGCGGCACTCCAGGTGTCACGAGTGGCTAGACACCCCGAGGAAGTACTGGTTTCTGAGGAACAAGTTTAAGTACTGACTCTTAGGCAAATGAGACCTACAATTTCTTTGGAAACCAAACCATCGCAGAGTAATCTGAGAAAAAAACAGTGTATATTTTCCTGAAACAAACGAGATCTTCAACAATGGCTACTGAAAAATTTGGCGTGTTTGCGCAGACAGTTTTCGCGCAAGACGGATTGGAGCGCGAAATTATTGGGTGAGATGAATCGACTATGATATGCATGTATGATGTCTATTACAGTCCAGGCATTAGGAATGTACTTATGGTTGTATGATGAAGAAATATGAAAATCGGGTAAATTTGAAACTGTGGCGTCCGGAATCCTCTTCGAGGAAGATGTTTTCTTTACTGAGTATGCGATAGTCGCAATATATATATATATATACATATATATATATAGTCGAATATATCATCATAATATCGCATCACATATGTATGTCTTCTAGTCATTTGTAGCTATATGTGAGTTTGCACATCACGCGCTACCTCGCGGTGTGCTAGATCAGGACCATTTGATTTCCAGGAATTTCTCCTTGTTTTCTTCCTCATCTGGTTCGTTAGGATATATATTAAGTATCGGTACACATTTCCACAACTTGTTCCGCTAGAAAAGCTCCCACTGACGAGTCACAAGTGAAGTGTCGTCGGCTGATACTGAATTACAAACGGGACGATGCAAAACAAGGTACAAGAACGAAATGCGCTCTACCTATGGATGACTGCTTTTAAGGTATGCTGTATGTGAAGAATTCAGCAGCTGAAAAACGAAGCTGACCAATGTGTATCCTAATCGCTACAGTTCCTACAGTAGAAATGGAATTTTTCCAAGACACGAGTAATTTCTTGCGTTGATAAGTTGCCGCAGTAATAGTGACTCACCATAGCATCAGCCGCGTAGTACCATTTTCTTGACCACAACAGCTGTGAATCACCAATGTACAAATATGGCCTTTGTTTGGGCAACTGAAGATGAGGTGGTCTGTGTGGGTTGAGAAAACAAATCAACATTGCTCTGATTTCTACCCGGTGATAAGTCGTAACTTTTCATGTTTGCTTGGAGAAGAAGGGGGGGGGGCATAAATGACAAGCTTCTTGAAGAAGGATTATATATACCATTTATTCTGAGACTAGGAACGCAGTAATGCTTTGCACAAGTGTACTCAACAAGATGATACCGGTGTTCATCGCTTCATTTTGGCTGAATAAGAACATTAAATAAAAATCAAGTTCGACTTCGTTAGACATGTGCAAAGCTTTCTCGAGTTCGTCTCGGAATAGTGACATGTACGTCAAGTTACCATCCAATGTACATTTTCAAAAAGCTCCTTCACTCATAAGAAGTATCAGGAGGTCTCGTTGACCTTCAAAGAAATTCAAACCTTCGGTTGCCGATTTTTCAGACCTGTTTTACAGCTTTACGCGTATGTTTACAGCTCAAGGTAGTTTTACTATTCGGTTGCGGACCAATTTGCCGCAGTGGCGATACTGTCTTCTTCCAATGCATAATGTTCTACACAGGCATCCTTCAAATGAATCTGCTTACCAACGCAAGCAAGGTAGTCATGAGAAAACACGGGCTATCTTGCTATGGACTGTGTCATCTAGGAATATGCCTGTGGGAACTTTCCAGGGACAAATCATTGCTAGATATTTGAAGGATTTGATAAGTAATAAGTGCTTCTTCGCTGCAAACACACTTGCGCGCAAAACATGGCCACAGAGCGCACAGTCGTCGTTTTTTCACAGCAAATGTTGCCTTCACCGGCAGGCATTTTATCAAATTACGAGGTACTAGACTATGCTTATTGGGTGTAAAGAATAGTACATGATCTATATACCAATATAGTACATATGATCTAAATATCAAACACATAATCTTCACCCTGAAGCTGAGAGGATGACGTCAACGCAGTGTCGCTACAGTAAAAATTATGTAAACATCAGTGGCGGACGAGTACAGGGAGGAACGAATGGGATGTGATGTTAACATCTTGAAAATACGTGATAAAGCTAGTCTATATAGGCAAACACCTGCAAACTAGTAGTGTTTGTACGTTAATGAGCAGATTTCACGATAAGTTTAGTTGCACTTCGTCTTTCTCTGGAAAATCTTAGAAAACATAGCAAATTCTCAAATATGGCATGTGGAGGAAGGAACGAAGAGCTATCCATTAGCATCATTTCATCCCTACGGATATGAGCCATATTATTATTGTGGCAGTTCTGTGATGGCACTCAACCTCATTTCTCATTCATTCTTCAAAAATTCACCGACACTTTTAATCCCTTTTAGATTCTATGGATTATCGAGAGCATCAAAATTGATAGAAAGCAGTTTGAAAGTTTAAGCTCAACTAGCACAAGTTGGAAATATGCCAATAATTCGAAAAAAAAGTGCAAAAATTCTGGAGTTGATTTTAAAAGTGCATCCAATCATTTTCATTCAGTTAGAATGTCAAAAATCTGCAACATTGCAACATCCAAAATTGTCAGAATATTAGTTTATTGACCTCCTCTCTCTAAACGAGCAAAGTTCCTGCTGAACAAACGTTTCTACAAAAGAATTATGACTTGCACAAAATACCAAAAGAAGTACCTATGTGTAGTTCTGAAAAATCACAAATCATTTCAAAAATCTATAATCAGCACAACCTTTCTGAATCAGAACGTTTAGGGAATCGTGATACTGTCAGTTTCGCATTCTATTGGCAACTTGCGGATTTTGGCTATAGCTATACAGCTTCGATCATCGGCGCTTGAGTGAACTTCTTCTTCGTTTTTTAGTTCCGGGATTTCCTATTATAAAGCCATTAAAAACGCCTCCAAAGCACATGAATTTCCTCTCTTCAACATAGATTACCAGAGATATGATTTTCTAAAAATGGAGTGACAGAGATTACAGAATGATCTGAGAAGACAAATAGCTTTGTGAGACAAAGAAGTATTGAAGGGTTGGTTTTTCAATAATTTCGTGGTCTCAAGCCTTTAAACTATTCATAAAATTTTGTTTGAAAGTCTAGCTAGCTACCTTTCTTTAGGAAAAGAAGGATCTCCCCACCCTAAAATATTTTTGCGAAAGCCCGATAGAAAATCGAGTAACTTAGTTTGACACTGTGAAACAACCAGTTTTCAAACACTTTATAAAATCAAATCTTACTAGAGAGAAACTCGGTAGACACAGTCAAACAAACCGACAATAAAATAACTTGAAACCGTCTCAAACCATCTTCGAGGATCTGTTGAAGAGGAGTTGAAAACGTTCCGCTGAAATTTACATAAAGGAAAAAACCTTTGCCGGTGACTTGGAAAAGACTGCAATCGATGACTGTGCAACTAACATGTTTTTTTGCGAAACTATTCTAAAAATTTCGCAAAAATCAAATTATGTTTGTTACGAAAATTAGAGATGTTTCCTAAGAGTTCTTCGCATGTTTGACACTAATAAGGGAATGGTCAGAAATCGAAGTGGCCATTCCAGACAAGCTGCATACCGTTAGATGCAGCATGAAGCGCTGACTCTAAATCTGTCTTCCTTACCTGCTTATCGCTTTTCTGGACGAAGCTATAAGCCATTAAAGACCATTATTTTGCTAAAAAATTATGCGTGAAATTGAAAATTTAGCCGTACAGAGCCACGTTCGCCTCAATGCTGGGCCAAAACATGTCGCTAGCTTACTTTAAATTTTTGAAGCCAGAAGCTGAGCTAAAAGCGCAACAATGTGCTCAATTTCGCTGTTTTTATGTATGATTTTTTCACAATAAAACCGCTTGTAGCTTCGTCCACAGAAGCGGGAAGCAGGTAAGGAAGACAGATTCGAAGTTAGCGTTTTATACTGCATCGAATGATATACAGCTTCTCTTTGGCCACTTCGACTTCTGACCATTTCCTTGTACGCACTTTTATCTTAAGATTTTCTCAGCTCCTAGCCCCGCTCTTTCCCCCCCCCTACTTATGGATAGACTTCTGCGACTAGTATTATATGGAAGTAGCTTCTTGAAAGCTGTTTAGATGGCGTTGCAACAGGGCGCAATTATCAATTCTTCTTTAGGTTACCACATTCATTTATCGCAAGAGAGCTTATACGATATCTGAACTCCATTAAGAGTATCGATGGAAGCGTTTAGAATTTTTTTTGTTGACTTCCTTTTAACAGCTTTTCCTAGTCACAAAGTTTCGCGTTCTCATGTCTCAGATTTACTGCTCTGTAGATTTGGAAATCTGTCACGATGTTGTTGTCAGCTTCATTTAGCACTCCATAAAAGTGTCCCTTGATTTCGGCGCGTTGCATATCATCAACTCCACACAGTTTCCGCTTCTAAAATTCTAGGGATGATTTTAGTTCGGTTCCACTGCCAATGTCCACTGTCTAGCCACTTTTTGAATGGATGGCTTTACCGAAGCTCATCAGAGCTTTATTCCCATGAAGCAGCACGAAGTAGACCGACTGATATCCCCACAAAAATTAAAACTGTGTAGCAGGATTTTCACGCATGCTTAAATCAATACATCACTCTTCAAAAGATTTCTGAGCTTTTTCAGTGGTGTGATCGTGCTACAAATTTTCGAAGAACATTCGAAAAGCGTTTAGTACGGTTCACCTGAAATAACTTTTGAAAGGAGCATGAATGTGATGTGCAATTCCATATTTGTTAGCGACTTTAATTAGTTTAGTACAAGGTTTTTTGGCTTGATTGGTTTCTTGAGGCAGAATGCGACTCTTGTCTCAAAACCTTTTCAAAGTTCCTGCCGTAATCCTGCAGTGACTTAAAAAGGCTGGAGATTTGCGCCACACTCTAAATCTATGCTGAAGCTAGTTCTACAGAATGACATCTATCGGTGAAAGATATTGAAGCAGGAGAGATATTGACAATCAAGCAGTGTGCACACTTTTTTTGGACACCCTGTATTATGCGATGCTACTACGTCGACTGTCCACGACTGCTGCGGGTGGTTGGCATAAAGTGATGTTCTGATGCAAGGATTGTCAACTGTACGAGTGTGCCATCGCATCGTATTTCATCGTCGGCCTTTCTTGGCTTTGTTCTCTCATCTGCTACGTCAAAGGATGAATGCTGGTACGACAGTCGGTCTGTGAACCGTTACCAACCTATATTGCAAATGAAAACTTCCTTTTTGTCCTTCTTACTAAAGAACTGTTTATCGTTCACATTTCAAAGATTCTTGAGTTGGCAGTAGACTTGTACTTATTGAGACTGGTGTCACCTCACTTGAACTTTATTGTTCTAAATGCAGGCGTGTTCGTTAGATGGTGTATGAATAGAAGTTGACTGCCCATATCCTATGATATGGCTCCGATCCGTTTTCGTCCATAACACTAAGCCGCGCACAGCCAACGTTTTAGCTTGATCCAGATTGTGCCAGTCGACAGGTTGTGCCTTCGGCTTAGGCCCGTATGCACGTACATCCCCGCGGGGAGGGGAGGGGATCTGAGAGGGGAAGTGCCATATCTCGCTGCTTCAGATATCTTTCTTCCTTCTTCTCTATCGTGCTTATAAAGGTTCTCATACCCTTATTCCTGCGCATAATGTATGCCAAGTTACTGCTATACAAGATTAAATATTCATTATTTCTTCCGATCCCCTGGGGATCCCCAGGGGATCATCTCACTTTTCAAAGTTATTTATCTTCCTGAAAAATCAATGAAAACGCTGCAAACTGTACTGAAGATATACTACAATACTGCTGAGCATGTTTTCGACAGAAGAAATGGAATCCAAAGATTTTGATTTTTTCGATAATCCCTGGCTCGCGAGCAGCGGTTCATCGAAGATTTTGATATTTTGAGATTTCACTCATTTCTACCATAAACATGTTTAGCAGTGCTGTAGTATGTCCACAGCACAATTTTAGAGCATTTTTATTGAGTTTTCAGGAAGATAAATAGCTTTGAAAATGTAAGGTGATCCCCTGGGGATCCCCAGGGGATCAGACGAAATAGTGATTATCTAATCTTATATGGCAGTAACCTGGCATCCGTTATGCGCAAGTATCAGTGTATGAGAACCTTCAAAACCAAGACAGAGAAAGAAGAAAAAAGATACATAGACTAGCGAGATATGACGCTTTCCCTCTCAGATCCCCTCCCCTCCCCGCGGGGATGTACGTGCATACGGGCCTAGCCGCGCGTTGCGTGCTTTGCAATGTCGGCCATTCGTGCGATCGACGAAGGTATGTAGCTTCCCAATTTTAGCGCGCGCAGGTTAGCAAGCCCCAATGAGACTCGGAAATAAAGGACAAATTAGCCGCACTTTAAACTCTATCTAGATAGAATTCACTCACTTATCATTCAGTCTAAAAAGTGGTGCGATAACACCGCCTGAGTGAACGTCAACACGATATGTCAAATTTGTCACAGTGGCACTTGCGGAATGTTCCTCTGGTTTAGCCTTAGTGTTATCTAAAGCATTTGCGGAGAAAAAAAAGGGCAAGTGTTGGTTTGATAAGAAAGTATCAACAAATGCGTTTGTAAAAACTCCCATCTTTCACACTTTTATTTAAGGTAATGAACAGATTGACGCTAGAGTAGGCCAAGAAAATCGTCGTTTGTTTGTTAAGTTTCGCACGGTAAACTCATCAAAACTCCATCTCGAAGAAAAAAGCTACATATCGTATGAGAAGAAATATCAGTTAATGGACATAGCAGTTACCTCTTACTACTGTGTTTATACGGGAGACGGAACTTGTCCGCCCAAAGACTTGCCGCAACGTAGTTGCGGGGATCATGAGCGCTATTGGGACCCAGTTTGCACTCAAACAAAGCTGGTTTCTACACACAGTAACTTGTTTTTTTCCTATAGTACATAAATTAAAATTCATTGAAAATTTCGAACGCCAAGTTTCATGTTTATGCGATAGGGCGAATAGGTATTGAAGTTCTCTATCACGATATTTCCGAATATGCTAGTGATTTTACGCTAAGCTTAAAATTTTGTTTATAATGTAAATTTCTTTCACCACTTTCACTGCAAATTTGGACTTTTTATTAAATGACTCTTTTAATGAATTTTGATGAATTTAGAATCTGGTTATTCAAAACGAATCGGCTGATTCTGAGCCCGACCAAGATTACGCTCCAGTGCAGACTCAAAAATGAAAAATATGTTTTGAGCAAAATCCAACGTATTAAAGAACAACATGAGAAAAAACCCTAAAATCCCAGTTTTCACCCGGATAGAACGAAAGTCGCTATTGAAGTAAACTCATGTATCAATGAGAGCAAGCTTCTCTATGCAGAAATCAGCTCTGTTACGATGTAGATTGGGTGATAATTAGGTTGCTGACAGTTCATTACCTCGAGCAACGTCGCGGCAAGTTTCTGAGTGTACAAGTTCCTTCACCTGTTTGTACAGTTTTTTGTGACAGTGACGAAATGAGTGCCAAATATCGCCAAAGCTTTATTTATACTACTTTAAATTAGGCTTTCCTGACGCTAAACCTCTTGCCAAAGCTTTGTGTATAGGACAAAATAATGATTTAAGGTTTCTCGCAAATACCCAGTCGCCGATGATTGAGATATACCCCTCTGACAATTTGCACTATCAACCGCTAGAGCATCAACGTCGCTATTATGCAACATTTAGTAATCGTAATCTGGCGCGAAGCTTAGGGTACGTGACGGGGCACCCACTGACTAAACAAGTAACACTCGAACAGAGCAGTGGAATGGCTCAACATCGGAGAACCTGCGGGAATTCGTGATTTGCGCGATTACCGAGATCTTACATTAGATCCAGACATCTGTTACCCAATCTGTTGCGAGTAAGTCGTTATCCGGTAATGTGCACTACCACTCGGAGATCAGGATACCCAAGTCCCAGACTCCTTAAACTACTTGGTATGATTGTTGGAAACTACAGAACATCATCCAAGTTACCTACGATGGTAAATGAAGAAAATTTCCTGAGAGCGGCTGAGTCACGTCTGTCCCGACAGGCCATCGCGCTCTCTTTGACGCAGTAATACGGACGTCGCGCTGCCGTCCTCGAATGACTGATCAACTTTCGCCTTTATCGACCCACGTCCATGACCCTCATCCATGTCCCGTCTTCTGTCGTACATGTTTCTATCTTATTCTGTCACATACGTCGGATGTTCAATGTTTCACTTTTTGCAGCGGAAGTTCGTTTTTTGCAGGCCTTTCCATCACTTAAACGGCCTCCGAAATGTCGTTTTTCGGTAAAATGAAAAACTTATTTCGGGGCCCTGCCGTGGAAGAATCCAAGCGACCTCTGCCATCCATTATTGAGGTATATTTGCCTACTTGTGAACTACACAGGCTTAGCATGAAAACCGTATAAATAATTACCTATAAACAAATTAAATGAGTTATTGTCGAGAATTTTTCTGCTTTCCTAGACACTCACTTTGCGATATAACGTAATCTTTGCCTACGAATGCTTTCTGTCATGTAACATAAACGGAATGAGAGAAACGAAGTAAGCGCTTATAGGCAGCTACTACTCTTACTTATCGATCACACTATATAGCGACTGTCATGCAAATTTTAGGTAAATGTAAATCCAAAAGACTATTGGGAAATTGTTGGAGAACTCGGCGATGGTGCTTTTGGAAAAGTTGAAAAAGCTGTCTCGAAATCAGACAGGAATCTCTACGCTGCTGCTAAAGTAGGTTTCGCTTTCGATATACTTTGAGTGATTTGAGCATCATTTTAGACATTTTGTCTTTCCGCTTTTTCTAATAGTTGCTGGATAGGTTGAACTCGTTTAGCTCGTCTCAACTTTCTGAAAGAATCTATTCCTGGCAGAAGTACCTCATTGCCCATTTTCAGGCCATTGAAGTTCAGGAAGGAGAGCAGCTGGAGGACTTCCTTGTTGAGATAGATATATTGACATCATGTATACATGTGAACATTGTCAAACTATATGCTTGCTATTTCTATGAGAACAAGCTTCACGTGAGTTTCAGCTTTTCTTTTCCTGCAGCTCAGTTTTTCTTTTGTGCATGAGATGTGATTCTTGATTTGCACATGCGCTTTGTTCGTCTCGAATATAATCGCGTATTTAGATGATGCTGGAGTTCTGCGGAGGTGGTGCGGTTGATGCAATTATGATAGAGTTAGAAAAGCCACTCACAGAAAAGCAGATCGCTTATATCGCGAGGTTTGTTATGGCGCAATCCTGTTACCTTCTAGAACCTTCTTCTTCTTACCTCAAATTACTTAAACTACTTGCGCAAAGGTTCGATTAGGTATACCTGCGAAGCGGTAGCTTTTCTACATGATTGCAACGTCATTCATCGCGATCTCAAAGCCGGTAACATTCTTCTCACTAGCGATGGAATAGTGAAGCTAGGTATGTTAGTGTCGTAGTGAGGTCTAAATTTATAATTATCTTTTCAGCCGATTTTGGAGTCTCTGCAAAGCTCAAAGATAGAAATGAAAGGAGGGACACTTTTATCGGCACACCATATTGGTAACCGAATTGATTATACTTACTACGATTTTTTAGTCCGTTAGTCATCTAATCTCGTAATCAACCGACCGTTGAAACCCATTTTTTGTTTCGATTCGTCATAAGTTTTGTGTTGTGACCGTAATCTTTATTTGCATTTGATAATTCAGGATGGCTCCAGAAGTCATGATGTGTGAAACGTTTAAAGACCAGCCCTACGATACCCGCTCTGACATTTGGTCATTTGGCATCACTCTCATCGAAATGGCGCAGATGGAGCCTCCTCACTCCAATGTGCGTTGCCTTATCTATTTGAACAGTTCTACAGTACATAAGCTTTGAAAGTATTGTTGATTGTAGCTCAAAACTTTATGTTGAAGTATTGACGTAGATTCTCGCATGAATGACATTTTAATTTCAAAGTGACGTTAGAATTGTTTGAAAAGTAGTTAAGTTGCGAAGGGCACCTGACCAATTTTTTGCTATAACATTCCCTTATTCATCACGTTTAAGGTGTCTCCCATGCGTGTGCTGATAAAGGTTCAAAAGTCAGCTCCTCCTACTCTTGAGAATCCTTCCAGCTGGTCCATATTTTTTGTCGATTTCCTTTCTCACTGCTTGGTAAAGGATCCTTTGGAAAGGCGAACGGCCAAGCAACTCCTTTCCGTAAGTCATCTAGTGGTAATTCTCTTTGTCATGATGTTTTTCAATCTTAGCATCCTTTTATCGTAAATGCCACTGATCGCCACCCAGCGTTGGCTCTGTTAGCCGAGGTAAATGCTGAGATTCAAGAGGAAGTAGTCATCGATGATGATCGTGCAAGCTGTGACGAGAGTTGCGCAGATTCAGAAGATCAAGGTGGGCACTTAGGATAGTAATATTTAGTTTACTGATATGATCTTGATTTTAAGGTAGTATATTCTTTTATATTTTGATTTTGAGTTTGTTTATGCTTTATTTCTGAGTATAAGGTTGATTATCTCTCTCTTTTATATTTTAGCTTCATATTATGACGATTAATGTTCTTTACATGAGGCCTACAGCCACGCCATTTGATCGTCATATTATATTAAATCTGGACAAATTCTTCAGATAATACAAGGTCTGTGGTCGTTTCTGAAGACTCGGTCTGGGCTCCTGTTGCTCCCATTCCCCAACCAAAAGACAGTGTTCAACAATCAGGGGATTTAGTGCAGAAAAAGCGAGCCGCTCCACCTCCGCCTGATGAATCTATCGTAAAACCTGCAGTAGGTTTTGAAATATTAGTTGTTAGGAAATGCAATAGTAATATAAATTCCATTTAGGTAATCGAGAAGAGATTCTCTGAAAAGGAGCTGTATGTTCAGCCTTCACCTCAGCAGGCTAAGGTACGAAGCTTGAACGGTTAAAATAGTTCATTCTTTCATTATCTTTTTCTAAGAATTTCAGGATTGGGGTTAATAAGTCAATGTATTGTGCATTGACGATACTGATCTGGTTGCATCTGCAACTTTTTTGAGCGAATCTGTACATCATCTTTTAATTCTTTCAGGGAGCAAACGATCTTGTCAGCCCCGGACGCGAAGCTCTCAACATCCTTGATGACTTAAATGTTACTCTTGACAATCAAAATTCGTCACCCGCTCCTGTACTTAGCGACGGTACGTTTTACATCTTTTCAGTCATCTGAAATCGATACCTATGCTTCGCAGATGCCTACAGTCAAGACTCTCTCAAGCTTATGCCAGACCTTGCACACACTACCGAGATTACTGTGCACAGCCCTGCTCCGCAGCACAAAATCAAAGATGGTTTGTCTGCTCACCAAGTTATCTTGCGCCTTTTCTCATTTTTGTGGTTGTGTTGCTTCTATTAAGTCATTATTTAGTCGTCGGTGCTGCACGTGCAGCGACAAACACTCCTAGTCCACAGTTACCTAGAAGTCGTCAAGGTAGGATCTTGAAAATTGAAGTTTACTTGACATATTTTCTCGACCTTTTTCCAGATGGATCTCTTGCTAGTTCTTCTGAGAACGTATATTCACAGAATTCGTTATCGAAGGCTGCTTCACAGCAGAGCGTTCATGACAAGGCGGTAATAAAAGTTGGAATGGATGTTCCTTATGTACCAGTGAGTGCGCTAATTTTCTGGATGTAATATCGCTGACACGTTGTGATGAGTTTACCTGGCTCTTTAGCTTTGCAAATTGACACACATATGGCCAAGGTTTCCTGTCATAGGCACTGTATTTCAAACTAGCTATCCCAAAGCGCAAGCTATCAGCTGCCAATGGCAGTGTTAAGCAATTATTGCAAGTGTAAATTGTCTCATACGTCATTTTATAGTTATCGAGCGTGATTGCGCCTGGATACAGTACAACAAATGAAACAGTTATTGAGAAGGAGACATCGAGGATTGACATACTTGCTCAGGACAAGGTAAAAGCTTCAAATTACGGATAACACAGCTTGCTCCTCAAAGCTTTACTTGTTCTACGCTGTTTCAATCACTGCTTGCTCAACTACATTCTTTTTATTTTCATGACTTTATCAAATTACATTTTTCTAAGCCATTGACGCCGTGTCGACTCTCAGTGGTGTTTGTAAAGGGTACCACGATTAGCAAATAACTTGTATTCTCTAGTGTTTCTTTAGCGTTCATTATCCTCTTCGACCGACTACGATGCCCCCACAATAGGACAAAGCTTCCAGGGACAAGCCATCCAGAGGTTAGTCTGTTAAAAATTCACTAGGAATTGTAACGATACGTTCAAGGCCTTTTAATCGGGCTGGTTCTCTTCGTGGCGTTCCTCCTCAACAAGCAGAAATTACATCCTCTCCGCCTCCCCAAAATGTTGGCAGAGTCCAGAAATCTAGAACGGAACCACCACTGCACTACATTGGAGTTTCTACCGGGGAATCCAGTCGCAATGTACAGGAATTCAACTATTCAGAGCATTTTCCGGCCGGTCCCAGTACAGAAAATGAATATGTAAGAAAGAATTTATTGTGAATTCTATTTGGCCACACTTTTGACATACATATTGATGGAAATCATTATTCAAAATGCTTTCAGTTTGCTCCTTCGACTACTGAGAAAAAAGTACCACCTCCAGAGCCTCCTGTTGACTACAACGATCAGCAGAATTCTAAAGGTGAGCTCATATGATGATTCTCAACACACTTCACTACGCTGCACTTCCAGAGAATGCGCCTCCGATTTCTCTACCGAGGGATGTTCCTCTTTCATCTATAGTGCAGGGTCCTAGGACGCAAGATGTACAGCATCGTTTAGCAGTTAGTTAATCTTTGTAGGTTAGCGCACGGTCTACATGCTATTAGTTTTTCACATAGAAGGAAGGCGGAGATGCTGGAGTGGGAATAAGAAAACATCCGCATAGGCAGACCGTCACAAAGAAAACTCGTACTTACACCATTGATGGGATGCAAGTCACATCTACAACAATGCATGTGCTTGGTGCAAAAGAAGATATGCAGATGAGGTGCGACCGAGTTTCTACGAGACACCTACTGTCTTCCAAGCTTTAACTTTTTTCTGCATTGAAGGAAACAGCAACTTCAAGATTTGCGAAGGCTTCAGCGAGAAGAAGCTCGTCAGAAGCAAAAGCTTCAGCTCGATGGCGCCAACTTGGTCGAACAGCAAGGGCGAAAGTTCCAGCAGGAGAAAGCTGTCAGCTCCTCTTCTATAAGGAAACTGATCCTATTTTCGACCGTTTCCCTTTTAAGATTTCTACAAGACAATATGAAATCGATATGGAAGCAATGGAACGTAAGCAGAAGCGGGAAATTGAGGAGGCAGAAAAGTCACAGGAAGAAGAAATGAGACAAGTTCAAAAGCGCCTCAAATACGAGCAGGTGTTTTCTCTTTAGATTTGTTTCTTCCTTCCTCAACCCTTCTACTTAGGAAAAGGAACTGCGTGCTTTCAAAGACCGATTGAAGCAAGAAATGAAGATAATGAAACAGGAAATGGATATGCTACCTAGGCAGCAAAGAAGAGATGCAGTACGGATGAAGAAGGACCAAATGGAGCACGAAAATCACATGAAGGTAGACTAAAGCTAATTCCTTCCCTTTCCTTTAGTAATTAATTGTGTTATGCAAGTTTTAACTACAGGAAGCTGACTTCATTACGCAGTTACAAAAGAATGCCGAAGCAACACTTACAAAAATGACGCAGAGGCACAAGGTACGCTCGGTGTGTTTTATGTATATACGGTTATCTATGAAATAAATCAAGGAGAAAATGGCTACTCTTGAAAGACAGTTCCTTATGCAAAAGCATCATCTATTGAGAGCTAAGGAAAACAATGACTGGGAACTTGAGGAGAAGCAAATGGGAGAAAGGTAAGGCTTATGCGTTCTACTTCGCAGTTCATCAACCCAAAAATGATAATGCGCTTCAGGTACGATCTTCAAAGGAAATTATTCAAAGATGAGTACTTTTTGCTACGCACGCAGATGCTAGCAAGGCATCAGAAAGAATTGGCCCAAGCTCAAAAGATCAACCAGGTAACAAACTTATCTAATCTTTGCACTCTTAGGGCTGCATGCACTAACATCCCCGCGGGGAGGGGATCGCAGCTTAAAAGAAAGCTTTATATCTCGAAACTTCAGATACCTGGATTTGACGTTGTGTACCTATCCGTAAGTATTCCTACTACCCTTCACTATGGACATGTTGAACAGGAGCGAGAAGCTGTACGAACCGCATTTTCCAGATGTTGTATGATCCCTGATGATCCCCGGCGCTTTTCTTTAAAGTCATTTTTCCTTCTCCGAAGTTAATGAAAACCTTTCAAAGTTGTACTGAACATCTAAGCCTACAGTGCTAAGCATGTTGCTGATAAGAACAAATGATGTTTTGAAGTCAAAATTTTCGATGATCCGCAGGTCGAAATTTGAGGTTTATCGAAAAATTCGACTTTTCAAAAACTCATTTGTTCTCATCAGCAACATGCTTAGCACTGTTGTGCTAGATGCTCAGTACAACTTTGGAAGGTTTTCGTTAACTTCGAAGAAGGAAAAATGACTTTAAAGAAAAGCGCCGGGGATCATCAGGGATTATACAAAATCTGGAAAATGCGGTTCGTACAGCTTCTCGCTCCTGTTCAACATGTTCATAATGAAGGGTAGTAGGAGTACTTACGGATAGGTACACAACGTGAAATCCAGGTATTTGGAGTTTCGAAATATAAAGTTCTTTCAAGCTGCGATCCCCTCCCCGCGCGGATGTTAGTACATGCGGCCCTCAAAGGCAGCGGCTCGTCAGAATGACAACTTTGGGATATTTATCGTCCTCGGTTCTCCTGGATGAGCTAAGTCCAAGACTGTGCTTTGCAGCTCCAAAAGATATCAATAACCCGCTTTTCCAGACATGAAAATCGCTTTTTGAGGGCGGACCGCGTAGCTGACCTCTAGAGCGCGATTGGCTCGTGAGTGGAGATACTGTATCCACCATACCCATGAGCCAGTCGCGCTCTAGAGAGCAGTTATGCGGTCCGCCTTCAAATAGCCCTTTTCAAGTCCAGAAAAGCGGGTTGTTGATATTTTTTGAAGCTGCAAAGCATAGTCTTGAATTTAGCTCATCCAGGGGACCGAGGATAATGAATATCCCAAAGTTGTCATTCTGCCGAGCCGCTGCCTGCAAGTTGTGTGATTTCACGGCTAATGATTGAGAGGCAAAATTCTTTGCGTCCTTCGATTTGTTTGTAAATGCTGCGTGCTTGTCATATTTTTCTAACTGCTTTTTTAACGAAGGACTCACATTCATCCAAATACCAAGAGCTTTCGTGTAGAAGTTGTTACGACGTCATTCCAGGAAGAAGAGGATGAACTTGAACGAGCCCTCGCACTAGATCGGAAAAAACTTCCAAAGATGCTACGCAATGAGGCAAAGACTCGTAGCGTCATGTTCAAAGAAAGTCTTCGAATCAGCATGCAGGTTCTGCTTTAAAATTTCCATATCTCCTCAAATGAGATCCAATTATTCAGTCTATGACTCCAGCTGAAATGGCTGAGAAGCTAAGACGTTTTGATGAGCATGAAAATATGCGAATCAGGAACGCTCTAGAAGAACATGATCTGAAAAGTGCTAAGAAGATTGCCCAGCTGAAAGAAAAACATCAACAAGCGGTGAGTCGTATCATGTTTGTCAGAATCATAAGAAAATCTGATTAATGTAGCGCGGTTGCAGATGAATGAGCTCGACGAGATGCAGAATGAAAAGAGGAAGCAATTGTTGGAAAAAGAGCGTAATACTATGCAGGAACATGAGAAGCAGTATTTGAGTATGAGAGAGCAGTGGCAAGATGATTTGGCTCCAAGAAAACTGGTAAGACTGGGTTTTTCGGAATCATCAATTCAACGAGGGTCTTATAGATGCTGGAAAGAAGATTCCAAGAAGAAATGGAGGCTCAAGAGAGATTTTATGGTATCCCTCTCGGCGGTACGATAGCTTCAACTCCGATTCTTCAAACGCGTCTTCATTGATTCTCAAAAGAAAACCCTAGCTCAAAATTGATTATTGATGCAAAAATTCAAGAGTGATTTTATTCTCCTCAGGTGTCATCAGCTTTGATTTTAATCAAATATATCGAAATTTTTGAGAACCATATCCTTTACTCTGAAATGCTAACTTTAATTAGCAAATTGTCACTGGTGCTGCCCGAATGCTCCGGTTTTCAATCATTTTCACTTAACTTATTAGTGTATGGAATGATTCTCTTTAATCTATACAAGAATCCCTACGGTCCATCACCAATCAAATTGCCTTCGTTATAAGCCTTGTTAGCCATCCGTTACTGTCAATTGCTGATTACGAGTTTTCCTGTTGGCCTTGACATCACTATCAGTCGGTTATGGTGTACTTAACAAACATTAGTCTTGTCTGATATATGGAAAGAGAATAATAAATTTATGCGAATACCTCTAGCTGGATGCACGTGTGCGATTGAGTTCAAGGAGTTTTCTAGGTGTTGCCCAAACTGATCAATTTGAAACTTTTTCCTTGCCTTTCTGTACTGCTGATCCTCGCATCGCCTTTAAAATGCGTAAAAATGGCAAAATTTGTTAGTGCTTGCATTCTTCGGGGAACGGCCATAGGTTACCGGCAACAGTTGCCGAGGTCGCCGGCGTTGTCGAGGTTGGTGGGGTTGCCGAGGTTGTTGGCGTTACCAGTCATATTAGGACTCCATGGTAGCTTCCACATTTCGCGCACTCTCTATGCTGTCTTTGATCCCGGCAACGCCGCAACCGCGGCAACCCCCTGGGCAACCGTTGCCGGCAACCTATGGCCGTTCCCTCAGAGAAGATGGAAAGTTGGTGGAGGCTGTCGGCATCCTGTCGCCCTACCCTACTTTCCACAAGTATGCTGGAAACTGATAAAGAAATAAAACCATTTTCGTGCCGATCAATCGGCATACTCTTTGGACTATCATCTAGGGCGCCGCTTTTCCGCACTTCCGGTGCGATTTCCTCGCCCCTCGCTTTAAATTAATCTGTCTCTGTTGAGCGGTCACTTATTGGTTGCCCAGTTCTTCATGAAGCCTTCGAGGTCTTGCTAACATGATAAGCAAAAGAGAAAGACTCGGCGTGCACTCATAAGCACGCGCCATACTCATCATTGGTCAATACAGTGAACTGACCAATAGTGAAGCGGATGAAGTGGATCAAGCGGATCAAGCGGCGGACAACCGCCTCGTATTGGTCAGTTCACTGCATCGACCAGTGATGAAGCAGATCAAGCGGATCAAGTGGATTAAGCGGATTTAAGTATGGCGCGTGCCATAGGCAGAATATTCATCGCATTACGTCCTGTACGCTTGATCCTTTATTCGTGGGAATAGATTACACCCTTTCGCCGAAAATGAGTCAAACTTCAAGTAGAGGAAGATTCGATCCATTGCCAAGTGTTAGGGTGATGGAGCGCACATATGTAGAGCTAACTGCGAAATCTGCGCTACTGAAGACAAATTACTTAGCCTACTGATCACGATCACCGGAAGCACTTCAACCATAAAGGTAATTTACTCGTTGCACTTGTCAAATTACGAGTATTTATGACTTCTTGTTCCCATAGGTCAAGAATTTGTAAGCCACTGAACGGCTATGTCGCCATAGATGGAATTTATAACTATTCGAGAGGATGAGGAAAACGTGGTAGTTTTCTCGACAGTGGCGCACAGGTTTTTGTCTCAGATTGAAAAGAAATATGGTTCCAGAACTAAGCGCAAATTTAACAAATCACAAAACGGATACGGATAAGAAGTACTCAGAAATTTCGCTCAAGATTCAAACTGACTCAATTTTCCTCCGCAGCACACTTCCTCGCAGTATTAGCGCGCTCTATTTTCGCAAAGGCGCGCGCTGGTGAAATTTTTTCAATTTGGTTTTCTCACAAAATGGTATGGTCGCTTTGTTTTTTACAAGCTTTCATCCCCTATCAGGTCTTGTGAAAAAAGTTCATTCATGCATTGGTAGAACTTTCCGATTGATACCCCCTGCAAGCAAGGCAATTAGCGTTGTTCACGCGTGCAAACGATTTCGCAATGGCAGTTTCTTTCTGTTTCATCTCTCCCGGATTACTGCCTTTAGGTGTGTTTGGGACAGGAGTATCTCGTCTTCGATGCGGAGCAGTTCATTTGTATCTGTGCACCCCGAACCAATCTGGTTTGTCTTTCAAACTTATGATCTTATCACATCTCCAGTGCTTTGTTCTGTCATAGCGGTAAAGTTGGTAATCGGCATATGGATTTTTTGAACCAGTGTTCTGTCCAAAGCATGCTGTCTTAATTTGGTGGCGGCCGAAAAGTTTGTGTGAGCTGTTGTTGCTTGCCTGTGTTACAGCGTATATAGTGTTCAGAGGGAAAATTCTCAGAGTTGGCCGTGTCATAAATATCTCGGCTATTTCTGCAAGTTTAGGAGTTCATATCGCCGTGCAGCAGTGAGGACAGAAGCGGAGCCGAATTGGTGAGTTACGTAATCTTTCAGTATGTTTGTGCTAGCTTTACTTCTGATCTTTTGATTAGTGCGAAAAGCGGACTATATTTCCTGATTTTCCGTCTGTCATCTCGAACGGCTATGAAAGCCTTGGGCCAGACTTCACAGCGCACATTAGGCATCGTTCGGCCCGTGCTGGAAACAGAACGGATTTCGCAGTCGTTGCACCGTTTGCTACAGTACCCCCTATAGCGCCCAACAGGTTGTTCGTGGCTGGACCGCGTTCAAGTCACTGGTTTCGCAGCCGAGTTAATCACATCGTCCCTGATTGAAATTGCATTTGCGTAGTTATGGCTAAGAGTTTGACCCTGTGGTTTACTCAGCAAAGCACTAGGATCAATACTTAGGGAAAATACGCATTTCGACCCCACTTTGCATTTCACCGTAATTGCCCTTAGCTCAACTGACTACTGAAAATTAGTGTCTTTTCCCATCAAGTGTGGATTAGATCAGTCCAGGGTTTCATGTATCATACATAGAAACTGAACAGACCTATTTAGGTGGGTGATACTTCTGGAAATCGAAAAAAAAATAGCTGTTAGTCTGTTTATTTTCTATTTGAAGCATCTTACGGAAACTGGTGCTGGGCCAAGAATGAATGTCGCACTAAGGATGTTCGGAGTTTTGCCCTTCTTGATGAGTTGTTGAGCTGTATAACATCACCTGGATAGGTGTTGAAAGCTATATCTTACCATATAACCTAGTATAGCTTACCTATTGTCTTGTTCAAGGAAGAGTGACGACATGAGTTTGGATCTTACACCGTGTATAACTTTGAGAATTCAAGATAGTGTGACAATTTAACTATTGCTGAGGTCTTTCCATCCATTGACCCTGAGCTCATGCCAACGTACAGTCTAACGCAACAGCTTTAGGAACTGTATGCGTTCGTAGCAAAGCGAAAGCCGCTATTTGCTGGCAGGACCATCGCGCACTCGCGAACTTCAAAAAGAACCTGCGATGCTATCTGCGCCCATGATCGCTGTCATTCTGCAGCCTTTTCTCTTCGCATTTTGCCACTATTTGTACGTAAGGCTGCATCGAAGGGAAACTATAATTCGTTCGGATTGCGGCGCTGACTTAACTTACAGTAAACGTAATGCGAGCACAAAATGTGCCCCTTCTTACTTTCTTTAATCTTACTAATTGCATAAAGTGGTCGTGGAATTGATACGATGTGTTGCTGATCCTCTGGATCGTAGCTAACACATCGACTCAAGTTACACTCACTGACTAGTAGCGGGTAGGTAGTACACTGACTAGCTAGCATCGTCAGTGTTAGAGCTTATGATAGGATTTCTCTGAGGAACTGAAGTGAATGACGGTGAGAAATATCAATAATCATATTTACGTCTCATTACAATCGAGGGGACTGAAACAAAAAAAAACAGCATTCGCCAGGTATATGGCGAAAACTCAGACTAGAAGAATGGGGTGACCGGAATATAAGTCTTGGGGAACCTTCATTGAAACATTGATACGCTGGCTGAAAGTAAGAGAAAAAAAAACAAAGCAACTACGAATATGCCAATTTAGACAACGGTTCTGAAAGCAATAGACTCAGAATCTGCGTATGATACATCACCTGTGTTAGGTGCGAAAAAAACTGCTCATCTTTTGATGTCCTTGTAGTTCTTGTACGCCCAAAACCTCGGACAAGAACTGCTTCTGCATTAGGTTCATTTTGGAGTTCGCAGGTACGCTGGCCCCGCCACGAACACCCTGTTGGGCGCGCTAGGGGGTACTGTGGCAAACGGTGCAACGACTGCGAAATCTGTTCTGTGTGCTGGAACCCGTCCGAACCCGCCTGAACCGCAATGCGCCGAACTTGCCAAGGGAGGGAAGCAACGGAATACCTGGGAACTGACATATTGGAGCACGCGTGAAATGTCGCGCGCGTTGTGTACGTATTGGTCACATGTAACTCGACGACACCTATTTTCATTTGTTTCCCTCATTTGGCAGATTCCGGCGCGTTAGGCCCTGGGCAGAGCTCATGCGTTTTCGTCGCGTCGCGGCCTGCCATCTTGGACAAGTGTTCCACGCCCGCTGTTAATTACCCTATTTTCAGGTGTATAAGCAGCACCCTCTTTACTATAAACGCGAGCAGACTCAGGCATGCCGCTGCGCAATTGCCTCGCGAAGCGGTAGCTTTCTCGCACATTGCTCTCACTTAACGCGCCCCATCGTAACAGTCAGTCTTTTGGCGTGTGCGCCTTTTAAGCGAACAGGGTGCGGCTTATACACATAATAGGGTAACTGTATGAGTTCCGAAGCATTTGTGATGGCGCGGCGCGACGGATCGCGCCACACTTTTCGGGGTTCATAGCCCACCTGGCGATATCGTCGCGATTTTGCCGAATCGGCGCGATGTCGCATCGCTCGTTTGCGGTGAGCGACGGGGCGACCGTCGCGCCGATCCTTAAAGGCAGCGGCTCGGCAGATTTTGCATTTCCATCTTTTTGCATGTTTTGGGCCTTCTCGACCCGTAGATCCCGAATCTGAGCTTTAAAAGCGATGAAAAGGCCTTTTTCGGGGCGTTTTTTTCAATTTCCAAAAGGCAGCTCGGACGAGAATTTTCAGGGAAGTCGGGAGGCCCTGGCACGAAGACCCTGCTGCCTGTAATTTTGGCTTTGTATAGCATGCACAATGCGGGAAAGCGGTTGGGGGGTCCCGCGCCGTCTAGCGGAGAATACTTGTCCGAACAAGGTGTTAGGGGAGCGAAAGGAGGAAGGGGAGCGGCGCTTGGGCCGCCCCCTGGCTTGCAGAGTTCACATTTTCGGCGCGGAGTTGCTGTTTTGGTTCACTTGGAGGGCCTCCTATCCATCTGTGTCAAAATCTGAGGTAGGTCAATCTGCCGAGCCGCTGCCTTTAATTGCATTTTCGATTTTATTGTTGTAAGTTGCTGTTTTTTGCGGGTTATGAGTGTTTTTGCATGGAACAAGGCTTCCTCGCTTTTTGAATGAGAGCCCTCACTTCTTCGCTGAAATGCGAAGGGTCCAAAGTTGCCAAAGCGTTTGTTCTCGAATTTGCAGGCATGATTCTTCAATTGTCAAACATCTGTTTGCTTTCAGAAAAAGCAAGAACATTCATCTTGAAATCCAATCAACCAGTTGAAATCAAAAGCTATTATTACCGTGAAAACCAGATAAAACAGTAACAAAAACTAAGGCACTGACTTGAGTAATCAATTAGAGTACGTGGACTGGGTGAATTGTTGTGCAATTGCATGAAATCGCGTCGGAGGTATGCACGCCTCCGGCGACTGAGCGATTCAGTGCGGCGTCCAATCGCCAGTCGCGTCCAGTCAACTCAGTCGTCGCGTTAGCTCTGCCCAGGGCCTTACGGTTCAGGCCGGTTTCGACGGGTTCCGGCGCGGTCTGAACGATCATTGAATCATTGACGGGTAGAGGACTATATGTTGCCGAAATAGGCCGTTCCCGGCGGTCATCAACAAATGCGCACCCTTTTCACATGCATGCAGGTGTGTTTTTGCAAGAAGTCCGTGCGGCCCTCCTATATTTGGCGACATATATGTCGCCAAATACGCCCTTGACGGGCGACATACTTGGCAACATATATGTAGCCAAAATCGCCCTAACCGCGCCACCCGCGCGCCTCCAATTCTCACACGCTATAAGCGTAATGGGTACCCGCGTGAGGTACGACGCTGCGACCAGGCTGCTCCATCACTCGTGGAGCTGACTTACCATTTCTTGGCATTTGAGTGCATTTGAGTAATCGCAGGAACATGAAAGGTTTTCTGCTTCTACGAAGGTTACCTCGACAGCGTCCCGAATGGGTGCTAAATCGGAATTCTTGAATGCTCTGAATTCAAATTCAAATTTTCGAATTTTCTAAATTCGGAATTTTTTTGGACTGTGAAGTTGAGAGTGCTCACGGCGAAGAAAGAAGAAAAAGAAGCTTTATGAAAAACTTATTCTCTAGTAGCTTGCGGACAGAGCGCTTTCGATACCGTGCGGCCCGCGCGCATTCACCGTTCGGCCCGCGCGCACTACAAAGCGCCGCACGGGGAGCGCGCGCGCCGCATGCACCGAATGTCAGAGTATATATATATACATATATATATATATATATATACTCTATATATATATATATATATGAGGTCTTTCCGAAAGTAATGTCGCTTTTTTCGAATGAACGCCACTATTCGTGAAATCAACGTTTTCAAGAGATCTTAGAAGAAATCGATGCAGCACTTCATCCTCTTTCTGATGGTTCTAATTTCGCTGCATAATGTTATATGAGCTCTCGAAAAATTACCAAAATCTGCGACTCATGCTTTTTGCCATTGTCAAGTTCGGCTATTTTCCTAAATTTTTGTACCTATTCTCCGAAGATGTGCAAGTCACAGTTAGATAAAGCAAACCCTACAGGATACAGGATAATCTTTCCTTCTCCTTAGCCTGCTTCTTAGAGTTTCTGGAATCAATTTTTCAATGCTATCAAATTGCACATTTGGTAACTTAAACCACACAGAACAACAACCGGCAAGCAACTCGGGTGTCATTCGACGCAGCTTTTTCTCCTCTTTCTACTAGTTGTTTTTTGTTTCCGATTCATCAAGTTTTCCGAGATAAAATCATCATAATTCAACTTTTCCAGGGTACCCCAAGGTGTACCCGGAATTTTCGAAAGTTGCTAAACCGAAGCGGTGAATGCTCATTTGGTTTGTAAAATTGTTGCCAAACCATAATACATCTTTGTAACTTTCAAAATCCGGAGACTTGTTGGCGTTTGATGCACTTTTGTCTGAGACGAGCCTGCTAAAATTCGGTGGTTCCATCAAAAAATCTGCACAAAAATTATAACGAGCTCTGGAAAGTAGAAAAAGTTGTGCTGTTTCCTGTAGGGTTTGCTCTATCCATCCATCACTTGGACTTCTTTTGAGGTTCGTTATAAAATTTTAGAAAAATTGTGAAACTTGGCCATCTCAAATAGCATAGGTCGCAGATTTTGACTTTTTTCTGGAAGCTCATTGACCGTATTGCAACAACTTCATAACCGTTAGAAAGAGAATGAAGTGCTGTATCAAATGCTACCAGAATCTTCTACACACCTTTGTTCCACGAGATGTGGCATACTTTTGAAAAAAGCGACATTACTTTCGCCAGCTAGTATATATATATATATATATATATATATATATATATATATATATATATCGTCTGCGCCCCAGAGAGGTTCCCATAGATACCACGTCATCTCGCTGCCTTTCGCACTTTTGAACGTGTTAACCTCGGGCACTTCCGTTGAAATCTCAGGAGAAACGTGTCAAAAAGAGCGAAAGGCAGCGTCGCACCACGTACGCACGCTGGTTCGCATGGGAACCTCTCTGGGGCGCAGACGGTATATACTCTGACATTCGGTGCGGCGGCGCGCGCGCCTTATGCGTGCGGCCGCTCATGTCCCCCGCTGCCGGCCGTCAAATGGCGCACGCGCCGCGATTGGCACGTACGCCACGAGTAAATGGTACGCGCGCCGCGAGTAGATGGGACGCGCGCCACACGATAATGGCACGCCGCTCGCACGGTATGAAAATTGCCATTCGCATTTGAAGCACTACGAATCACGCTGAATCTGTAGTAGACCTGATGACAACCTTCAATTTCAGGCAAACAATGGCTTCAATTTCAAATATGAACTTGGAAGTTTCCAAACCTTGAATTTGAAAATTCAAATTTCAAGAATTCAAGAATTCAAATTTCCGAAGAATTCAAACTCGGCACCTACTCGCAGTGCTTATGAAGACTGACTCTCAGTGGAAGATAGAAGCCACTTGTGTCAATGAGACAACCCCATTGCGAAACAGCGATAACCTCAATGAATTAGCGATAAAGCACCCGAAACACTGCGTCCTACTTCACGCAGGTATCGCTTGTGCTTACAGCGTGTGAGAATGCGGAAGATATCATGCACGCCGCTCAGGTAGGCCTAACTTGTACGTAATGTAGTGAGATCCTATTGCAGCTTAGCGAGTCCTCGACGCCGTCATCCAAATTCACCTGCGCTAGTAAGCCGAAGCAGTCGAGAGCGTATCGGATCAGATTCAGAGCAAAGCGGTTAGTTTTAGGTTAGCTCGCACTCACTTAATAAGATTGAGAATTAGCAGCCGAAAATGGTCGCCTGGATAGGCTCAGCGCTGAGTTAACAGAGCTAAGACGTCTTGTCAAAAAGAAAGACAAAGAGAATACGGATTTGAAACGTCTTGTTGAAGAGAAGGACATGGTTATTGATGCTCTACTAGATAGGATAAGCAGGTTTCGACAGCATGAGCGTCTTTCTGATCGTAGATTTACTCTTGAAGGTATTTTTTGTTTTCGCCATAAAGAGTTAGGTTGTCATCAAGTTTTATTTGGAGATGACGAGTTGCCTAATAGAAGAAGTTGCTCTTTTTCTTCTGTGTCGTCACTTAGTCTGAGTCCATACCATTCTCGACAGACGATTGGTCATACATTAGCATTAACGAAGGCTTCATCATCGAAGGTGATTACTTTTACCGGACTCGTCATTTTTCTGATGTGCTTTACCAGCGATTGTACGGTCGGTTGATTCTAGCGCTTTCGCCTTTCGGATCTGTTCAGACCTCCGCCAGCTATGGTTGCTTCCGGGCACACGAGAAGAGAGACTAGTGATGAGGAAGAGGTGAATTTCGGTGCTATACTTCAGTGACGTAACTGTTCGCGACACAGTTGTGAATTGTGTCATTAGAAGTTAATAGTATTCAAGCCATCGAGTTATCATAAAAACTTCAGGTCGAAGTTCATCAGTTAATGGTAGCCACCAATGGCGACAATATAGCTGGAAAATCTGTAGACCAAGAACATGGAGTTGTTTCGCTTAGTATGTGTGCTTATATGCTAAAGTTTCTTGAGTCAGTGCCAACGTAAGTATGCTTCTAGCTCCCGACACCTTTATAATCGAGGCGCTATCGACGAGGACACAGAACACTCATCCAGATTGGAAACCTCCTCTACCTCCTTCAGTGAGTTATGTCCGATGCAGTGTTACGGCCGTTTCCATGGTGAATACTATTCTGCATATACTTTTACAGTACTGTCTAAGGATGAATCGTCCAGAGATAATACGCAGAATTGAAGGCCGTCAAGCTGCGATCATTGCAGCATCTGCATTGAGGCATCAAGTTGCTGAAGAGAAAATGGTACATCTTTCCACTTTCATTGTAATGTAAAAGTTTTTTGATGAGCAGATGGCGGCTCGCGCAGTGATTCAAGGGAAGTGTTCGTATAAACGTGCAAGGAATAGCCTTTCTGTGGATCCTACATTAGTGAAGGCATTTCCTGATGCAGATATGGTTAAGCTAACGAAGAGGTACCCAGTATTCAATTTATTGCATCTAGCAATCACGCTTCACTCATAGAAGGCTTCGAGGAACGAACATCTACAGAAGCGGAATCTCTGAAGAGCAGCGTAGAATTGACACTGCTGCCGCGAAAATTATTGCTCGCGCGTTCAGTGAGGTAAGTTCCTGTAGTTACCATTCTGGACGAACGTTATACATCGAATTTAGTAGTCATGATTGATTTCCATTTTCCTTCTGTTCAAATTTCAGTCAACAAGAATAGCAGTACTTGGTGGTCGCTCACTCATATGAAGCACTTCTGTCTGTCTATGATGTTCATACCGCTTTCGTTATTCTGCTGCTGATTAGCTTTGAAAGCAATTTTGAAACCATGGATTGTGCATAATATCTTGTAGATTGAAAGGAGACACAGACTTTCCTCCAGCATAATCTGTGTTTCCCGTCATTTTGAGCTTAGCCTCAAGTTTATGTTAAGAATTTATAGAATTGCATGTGCCATATGTCATCCAATGCTAAAACACTCGCCACGGGAATCTCTTCAGATCTTTTCATCTTCACAGTATCTTATAGGCAGCGTCCAGGCAAACTTGGACATACGGGGTTCTGATGTGGAAAGTAATTTTGGGGCCTTAATTGAAACACTGCCCAAGCGGCTGTTCAAATGGTGAACTCACAACTGAGACATTCGCCTCCAAACTGGACCGCGGGATCGTATTCTCATGGATTCATCGCGCGGAACATCAGTTTCACATGGATCCTCGCGCGAAAGCGCCACGAATGATGCGAATACGATCACGGGCATAATTTGAAGCCCAATATCATAGCCGTGAGTGCACTATCTGAACTGCCGCTTGGGCAGTGTTTTAGTTAAGGCTCCAAGATTACCCTCCAAGCGAGATCCCCATAGGCCCAGATTTGCCTGGACGCTGCCTTTAAACGTTATGATCTCTAAGTTAGGAATGACTTCTTCTCTGCCCTCTCGCAGGTAATCTCACTTTCTCCTGCAGCTATATCATTGCGTTTTAGTCTTTCATGATATTTTTTGTTTATGCAAATGCTGGATAAAGGAACTTTACTTTTCCGGGTATTATATTGATTTTATAATATTCGCCGTTGTTTCGAAGTTACGACTAGCACAGAAAAGATTGAAATTGTTGTTAGCTTAACACGTTGACGACCGTGTGCATCCGCGCGTATGCACGCCCAGACCACCTTTTAGCACTTTCGTGCATCAATTTATCATGTGTAAACGAAAAGTCCTCAGGTAACTTCCATGCAGTAGTAACACTGGTGGCCTGGTTGTCATATAGAACACACGGCATTGCAGTAGGTGTCAAACAGTCCAAACCGCAGGCGTAGATCATCAGTCCATTTTGAGGTGGTCAAAAATGGCTCGGTCGTCAACGTGTTAAAATTGTGTCGGGGTCGAATATGTGCCTCACCGAGCAGTCTGGTCGCGGCGGGGAATGGCATCTCAGCCCTCACGTTGCTTGGTAATTCATGTATTATGACAATGTTCTTGAACAAATTTGACGTTTTCTTATTGTTGAGCGTCGTTTCTAGCCGCTGTGCTCGGCTTTTGTTCTCAGGTCTTTAAAGGCACCGTCCACCCAAATTCTCGACTTCCATGTTTTTGTCGCTTCCAGGCCTTCTGAAGGCCCTGATTTCGAATATGAAGTCGAGAATCCCAAAAACCCCTATTTTGGAGAAAGCGGGACGGGTGGAAGTGCAGTTTGCAGGGCTGCGGCGCGGTTATCGCGCGGCGTATATCAGCGCCGCAGCCCCCAAAGCTGCAAAATGGGCGGAGTGACCACCTCTGGATCACGTATCACGTAACTTCCACAGCGGATTTCTCGCTCCGGAAACAATCTTTTGCGGGGAAACTTGGGGGTTGGCCTAGTGTGGGGGCCCACATTAGCATGCCATTGAATCTCGTGAACCCTCACTTTGGGTGGACGGTGCCTTTAAGAAACGAGGAAGAGGCGAATTTGTGACGTATACTTCATTAAGACAACATTTCTACACCCTTCTGCAAATGTTACTCACAAAAAAAACTTACGGCAGAAGTTCACCATCTGTGTTTTCTCCAGGTTTATCATTGCACACAGTTAAAAAGCATAGCGGAACGAAACCTCTCGGCAACAACTTTGCTAGCGAACAAACATTGTATTACAAAGATAAACAAATACGGAGAAAAACGACAAAGAAAAGTGCGTAAGTTTGAAGTGAGGGCTGAGGTGTCGCGCTCCGCTGCGACGGGTCTGCTCCAGTTCAGGAATGAATTCGCACGTCGAATATGAGATGGGAACGATCATGGAAGGATGCTGGCATAGTCTAACCTTTCATAGATATATTGAGCTACCTTGAAACACTATTGCAAATATGACCTGTTTAACTGCTGGAAGTAACTCTGCTTGGAGAGGTGTGCTCGACGGTGACGGGTGAGCTTAGAGTTTGGTGACAATATCAGGGGGGGGGGAGAGAGAGAGAAGCTATCTAATATATAAAGAATCGTTAACACAGTTCAAAAATGTGCAAATAGCGGGAAACCGCGGGGCGCGAACGCTCTTCCAAATAGCACCTCTAGATTACTGGTTCACTAGTATATAATAGTATATCATTGCTATAAGCATACGTGCACAAAGGGAAAACATGACCTTTCCAGGGTGAAGGGGTTATAGCGGTCTCGCCTCTTTGAGACCCGATATATCAGAGGCGGTATCTATCAATTTCCCGCTCGCTGTTAGGGCGTTTCCCATCGTTACCCGGACAGGCGTGAGCGTCCAACCTGATATCTGTGAGGTTATTTAAAGGCAGTGTCCGGACAAAAACTCGATTTTGAGATTTTGTGCTTACTTGGGCCTATTCGCTACGCTGAATCCGAAAATGAACATTGGAAAGCGCGAAAACGGCAAAAAAGGGCTCTAACGCAGGAGGGAATTGAGCAAGTGGGCGGGGTCCTCCCCACTGCGAATTCACGTTCCCGGCTTCCGGAGCGATTTTCTCAATTCCGCTACCGACCTGAGATCTCCACAGGTCAGGTGCAAATGCGACTTGAAGTCGGGACCGAGAAGATCGCTCCGGAAGCTTGGAGCGTGAATCCGCACTGGGGAAGACCCCGCCCACTTGTGATTTCCCTCCTGCGTCAGAGCCCCTTTTCGCCGTTTTCGCGCTTTCCAATGTGGATTTTAGGATTCGGCATGGCGAATAGGCCCGGGTAAGCACAAAATCTCAAAGTCGAGTTTTTGCCCGGACACTGCCTTTAACATGGCCTGAACGGGCAGCAGAGCCCGACCTGTCGAGATCGGGCCTGCCGTGCCCGACATGGTCAAACTTGCCAGATCGGACATTTGAACCAATGCAGCGTCTGGGTGAGATCAAGACAGTATGACTGCTATGGGGATTTCCAAGATAATTAATGTGGTTCATGTCAGTCTTCCATTTTATACCATTTGTATTTACTGTTCTGATTAACACGTTGACGACCGAGACATTTTTGACCACATCAAAATGGATGATGATCTACAGCTGCGGTTTAGACTGTTTAACAGCTACCGCAATGCCGTGTGTTCTATATTACAACCAGACCACCAGTGTTATCACCGCATAGGAGCTACCTGAGAACTTCTCGTTTACACATGATAATGATGCACGAAAGTGCTAAAAGGTGGTCAGGGCGTGCATACGCGCGGATGCACATGGTCGTCAACGTGCTAAAGGCAGCGTCTAGGCAAATCTGGACCTATGGGGCTCTCACGTGGAAAATAATCTTGAGGCCCTAGATAAGACTCTGCCCAAGGAACGCCCGTAAAAGGGCTCGCGACTGGGAGGAGTCGAAAGCGCGCTCCATCGCCAATCTAGAGCAGCATCCTTTTAACTGGGGCGCACTTCCAATACTTAGCACGTGACGCCTTCCTATTATGGCTATACGTACTTTCAAATCTTTGTAAAAACTTATCGTAGAAAGCGACGTTACACCAAGAAGTCATCATTGCTTATTTTTTGCTACATAAAAGCCATTGCGTAGATGATTATGAGCCACTTGCATCTTCATAAGTGGCTGCGAAGAGCGCCTCCCATGACCAAACAAATGAAAGTTCGCCACGAGGTACTCCGACAGTCGATAGGGTGCGCAACCCCATAGAATCGTCGCAAAGCAAGTGATGTCAAAGACATTCCCTCCTTTAAAAAGGATTACAAAAAGCGCATTTGTTTCGGTGCTGTTATGCTCAAAACGCATTTCTCCAATTAGATCAGTGTTTTCAAGCTATTCTCAAGAACATAACACTGATACATAAAATGTTTTTTTGGCTGTCGTACTGCATGTGCTAGAAATTTTCTGATCAAGGCCCGTATGCACGTACATCCCCGCGGGGAGGGGAGGGGATCTGGGAGGGGAAGCGTCATATTTCGCTACTCTGTATCCCCTGGGGATCCCCAGGGGATCACCTCTCATTTTCAAAGTCATTTATCTTCCCACAAATTCAGTGAAAATGCTCTAAATTTCTGCTGAGGATATAATATGGTACTTCTAAACAAGTTTATAGTAGAAATAAGGGAAATTTCAGGATATCGAAACCAGGGCCCGGCACCAATGGTTTGGGGTCAAACTGGACTTCGTTTTTTGGAGTTAGAAGCAACGGGAACATCGTTTTTATGAGGTGGGGAGGAAGCGCCAATAAAAACACAACGAACATGTCAGGTTTCACGAGTTGAACGTGTTTTTTCGCAAGCGCGCGAATTTCAAATGCAAGACTCAAACAAACAAATGGCTTGTTTACAGCGCACAAACAATCATATGGCTCCGAATTTGGGCTATGTGTATACAATATTACTCCAAACTATGTTATGTAAAAAATTCCCAAAACTTATGTGTCCTAATATCCGTTCTCGAACTTGTTGGTTTCTAGACCAACTACCAAACCAACTGGGTTGGTTCGGAGCATAAATATCGGAGAGTTCACATAAGTTTTGGACCTTTTTGATTTGGACGATTAGAACTGTCAAAAATCTATCATATAGTGAAGAGAGCGGATCAAACCGTTGCCTCTCCCTTTTTTGAGTCAAAAGCACTATAATTCTACGCGCTGATAGATATCGCGCTCCAATCACTTGCGGTGTCCTTTGAGGCTCCCGCCAGAGTGCCGAAGTTATGCCAGCGTTACGCCAGCATTTCGATCGATACACGTGTATTTCGTTGGGGACGTCAGCTAGCCCCGCCCCAACGAAATACACGAGTATCGATCGAAATGCTGGCGTAGCGCTGGCATAACTTCGGCTCTCTGGCGGGAGCCTGAAATATGTGGCGAAAAATGCATCGCAGGATTGTTGAGGCTACAGATTTGGTTGGTTGGAGATTTTCGACATTCCCGGCATCAAAATGGTACTATACCCAATGGCAGAGCCTTTAATCGACTCTAAATGTCTTTTTTTTTGCTTTTTTGTTATATTACCTCAAAATGCGCTTTTTTCGTTTTTTTTGTTGCTATCTTGGTTAAATTAGGGTTTCCCTACTAATTTTCACGTCGAGAGGGACTTGGTAAATTTTCGCGAAGCCATGGGGGACTTCGTTTCCTAAAAACCTCCAAACCAACGCGTGCCGGGCCCTGATCGAAACTTTCGACGGACCGCTGCTTGCCAGCCAGGGATTATCGAAAAACTGATGATCTTTAAA